AGGAGAAAGGAAAGAGAGAGAGGAGCAGACAGCAGCGACATGCGAGCCAACCCGCGCAGAGCTCGCAGGGCTGGGCCCTCTGAAGAGCTCGCGCGGCTGTCGTCTTCCTCTGGCTCCCTTCTTCGCTCCATTCTCGCCTCCCTGTGATTCGAGGGCGCGCCGTGGTGGCTGCGGCTGAAGCATGGCCACGCACCGCCCAACAGCCTGAGGGTGTTCCCCCGTCTTTTCTGCTAAGTCGTTCCACCTGTTTGGCCGTCGTTCTGTCTGTCCTGTCGTCTTGTCTGTTCCGTCGTCTTGTCTATCCCGTCGCCCTGTCTGTTCCGTCGTTCTGGCTGTTCGGTCTTGTTTCTGTCTCTTCTGTCGTCCTCCTTGCTTGGTCGTCTTGTCTGTTTTGTCGCTCTGTTCGCTCCACTGGTCGTTCTGTCTGCTGCGTCGTTCTGCTTGTTCGGCTGTCTTCTCTGTTCAGCCGCCGCGCCGATGTGCAAACGGAGCAAAGCAGCGACGCACCTGCGCACCGCGACAAAGCGGCGCGCTGGCGGGGTGCATAGTATCCCCGGAGGCTTGCGCGCTTGTGGCCTGTGCTCTCACTGTGGTGGGTGGCGAAACACGTCCAAAACCTCCAAGGCGGCGAAGGTTTTCCGGGTGCCGTTATCGGTCTCGCCTGGGTCGCTTATCCATCGGCTTCGGCTTTTGAACACTTAGGGAGCAAACCCGCCAAAAAGCGAGGCACACAGCGAGGCCTCACAGATGGGGAATGGCCACAACACAAAACCCAAACGCGGGAAAAAGGCCAAAAAAGCGAAGACAAAACGCAGAAAGCTGCCGGCCGTCTTGCGAGCCCCTTAGCGGTTTCGGCTTGCCTAAGTTCTGTCCCTTAACGGTTTCGAATTCCGTGCGGGTATCGGTTTCGAGTGGATCCCCGCGAAACTCTTAGGCGAAACCGCTAAGGGACAGCGTTGCTCTGGTTCCATTGTCGATTTCTCTGCCTCCTTTTTCCCCCGTTTGCCTCCCCCGGTCTTGCTCAAGGCGTGGCCGCGTTTTGCTCTTGAGCCGTCCGCTTTGTTATCGGTTTCGTGTGCTGCCTTCTCTTCTTTTCTGTGCTTTTCTGGCGTCTCCTTATCGGTTTCGCTACGGCTGGGCAGCGATCCCGGGACACAGAGCGGGCATCTCTTGCCGCCTCGGTCCTGTGTGTGGCTCACTACATCGTGAAGTCCTTGGGCAGGGGTGGCCTGGGTGGTGGATGCTTTGGCAGCCCCGCACTGGGAAGGGCTTCGGCAAGTTCTTAATCGGCGGCCAATGGGGGCGGCCCCTCATTTTTTAAATCCAAAAGGTTGCCCGGCTGGGGAATTCATGCTCCGGGTGGCAAGCGATCAGCTGCTTTGAATTATTGCAAACGGCTGGACGGCTGACACAGGGGGCAACTCGCTCAACAATTTCCAAAAGAGTCAAACTTCTCGGGCAATTGCGTTATAAAGTAGGGCCGTCCTAGTGTGATTGAACTGACACACAAGCCGCCCGAGAAGCTCACCAAAGACAACAATCCAAAAGCTTGGCCGTTAAAAAAAGAACCAACAAAAAACAAGGAGAGCCGAAAGGGAGCAGCGGGCTAAGATCGCTGCCCCATTTTATTTCTCGCAGAATCTAGCGGGCGGAAGGTAATTAATCTGGTATAAGTGGCACTGTTAAAGTTATAAATTTTATAGGATTTGAAAAATTTAGGGATTTTTGTGCAGTTTTTCAAATGCGAGAAAAAAGCCGTAAAATAAGTAGGGAAAGGAGTTGCTTTCATGAGTGGGCGCATGCCGTTGCGCTCAGGCAGCTAACTGGCCATCTGAGAAGTTTTTTATTTTTTCAAAATTTTATTGAAATTCTTAAAGATGAAAATCATGAGGCTCAGAGTGTCGGAGTGCAGCTTGGAGACGAATGCGCCTGAAACCGCGGCAAAAGGCGTAAGGCTATGCCCCTATACTGTCCGACGGAAAACCAACATAGAGAAGACGCCGGCGCGCCGGATCTTGCCCGGGATTCGCGCAGAGTCTGCGCCAGTTTCTGCCGATTCTGGTTCCTACTGGGAACCCCGTCGAGGCCGGCGCGAGTCATGCAGCAGACCGCGAAGCGCGTCCCCTTTTCGTGCGAAGCTGATGTGTAAAACCTGGCCCCCGCCATTAGGTCGCGAGTAGGCTGGGCAACTACCTGGAGAGTGCGACTCTCTACGACGGGGGAAAGCAATCCCTTTAAGAAGTCGCCTCTTTTCGGGGCCCTGACTGCCCGCGGTCGAGCGGCTGCCTGCTTCCGGGTTGCGAACCTGAAGCGCAAGGCCTCGCCCCCGCCATTAGATCGGAGGCAGGCGCGGCAGCTACCTGAAGAGTGCGACGCCCTTTGACCCGGGAACGCCGTACACTTTAGAAGCCGCTGCCTTTCGGGCCCTTGGCTGCCCGCGATCGCGCGGTCGTTTGTTTCCGGGTTGCGAAGTTGATGCGCAGCGCCTCGCCCCCGCCATTAGATCGCGAGGAGGCTTGGCAACTACCTGAAAAGTGCGACCTCCTTCGGGTTGGGAAGGTGATCCCCCTAAAGACTCGACTTTGTTCGGGTCCGTGACTGCCCGCGAGGAGTCGAGGACGGACGCGCGTCGCAGAGTTGCCAAGCAGCCGGCCCGCGCTAAGTCGATAAGCCGACAACCGACGCGCGTCGCAAAGTTGCCTAGCAGCCGGCCCGCGGTGCGTCGATAAGAGACGGGGGGCGCGGGGCTGCCTCGCAGCCTGTCCGATGGGTCGACGCATCGCGGACCGCCTTCCGCTTGCTTTCTCCACAAGGGTCCGGGGCTTTTGCGGGCTTCTGCGATGTAAACGCGCAAAAAAGCGCGGCTTTTAGGGGGAAAGCCTACGCGCCCGGACCGTCTGCCCCGGTTGCGAGCCTCGTGCTCCAAACATGGCAGCCGGTCCGCGATGAGTTGACGACACACGCGGACCGCCTTCCGCTTGCTTTCTCCCCAAAAGTCCTGGACTTTTGCGGGCTTCTGCGCTGTAAACGTGCAAAAGGGCGCGGCGCTGGAGGGAAGGCCAGCGCGGCGCCCGCGGTTCGCGACGGCTTTCTACTCCTCAGCGCGGCGCGCTTGGCTCGCTGCCGCCCTTTAGATGTGGCGCAACGGCCGTCAAGTCCATAACTTTTTGCGACTTCACACGCGAAAAGCCGAGAAAAGCAGGGACATTGCGGAGCTTGGTCGGGGCTCTCTCTGCTCCCGAGTGAAGACGCGCGGTTTTTGGTCCCGTGGGCCGCTGGGGAACGTGGCCGCAACCCCACAGCGCCCGCCCGGGGTCGCGCGAGAGCCCGCCACGGTGAGTGGCTTACGGACTCTGCCGCGCGCATGGGGAGGGAGCCCCGGCGCGATGGCCTCTCGAGGACAGCACGCCCCCCCCTCTTACGGGCGGCGCCGCCCTCTGATGCGGCTAGCGGGAAAGCCTGTCGGGCTTCCCGTCCGCTCCCACTAGGGTCCCAAACCTTTCGCCCCTGCAGAGGTGGCCGCGGTATCTCATGGGACTCCCCTTGGGTCCTATAGGGTCTCCCTGCAACGACAACCGGGGGACCAGTGGCTGCAGGGAGACAAGTGGAGTGCCTACAGGAGGCCAATGAGATACGGCTTCCCCCTTTGCGTTCGCAGCGGCTGCGGTGCAGCGGCCCGCACAGCCTTGCTCCTTGCGACTTGGCTCTGCAAAAGTCCCGAAAAGTAGGAGCCTAGCGAGATTCCATCGGAGCGCTTTCGCATCCCGATTGAAAGCGCCCGACTTTAGGCCCCTTAGGCTGCGGCAGAGAGCTTTATCGCCCGTATCCCCTCCCCCTGCCCAGAGCCGCCGGCAGGAAAGCGGAGGGCTTGCCGAGGTTTAAAAACTACGACAGGCGGGCGGCCAAAAGCACCCCACACGGCACCGCAGCTCCAAGAGGTGCCCGCCCTCGGGGTCGCGGCCAGGGACCACGCCAGGACCGGCGCCCACTGGTCCCCGGCGGCTCCGGGGCCCCCCTCCGTTCCTCCATCTCCTGTGGCGACCCTCTTGTGGCGCTCTAAGCTGGTTTCTTTGGGGTCCCTCTTGCGCTGAGCTGATAACGGGCGGGCCGGCTTCCCCTGACTCTTGCCCGCAGCGTTCAAGGGTTAGGCAAGCTTTGGGACCTATCCCCGAGGAAGCCCGGAAAAAAGGCCGCTCTCAGAGCGCGCGAGGGCGCTGCCCGGGGCCTGCTGGTCCCACCCTGGCGGGCGGTCTGCGCGGTCGCAACAGTTCGCGGGGCGCTAAAGCCGCCCGCCCTTCGACCAGCGTGCGCGACCCCGATGAAGACAGCGAGCCCCAAGAAACGAGCCCGGCCGCGTGCGCCTAGCTCCGCCACCCTAGCTGAGCCAGCCTCGCCAAGCTGGACCTGCCTGGCCCGTGCACCTAAGTGATCTTACGCGGCGCGAAGTGAGGTAACCAAACCCGGCTGGCCCTGCGGGGTTACGCGACCTGTACCGAACCGGGCAGGCCGCTCTAAAACTTTCTGAAGAGCCGGCAGGCGGGCGATGCGATTACAAGCCACGCGCGGGACCGCGGGCCCCGCCTGGTAGCGTACCCCTGCAGCAGGGCACACCGGGTAGCACGCGGCCGGCCGGCAGGTTATTTGACTTCGGCGCACCCTGGTCCCACCCTTGACAAAGCGACGCAGAAGCAAAACCCAAACGAGGAGCGCCCCGCGGCGTCGCATTCCCGCCCCGCCCCCCACCCCGATTTTCTTAGGCTGAAGCCTGGCTCAGCTTCTCCGAAGCACATTGGCCAGGCCCTTTCAGTGCGGTGCCTCCTCTCTTGTCATCCATCGGCGAATACCTGCTTGCCCCCCCTCCCGACTGGTTGACCCAAGCTTGTCGCGTGTATTTCGTTGCCTCGCGGGGTTCCCGCCGTCTCAGCCGAGAACAGCTACGCGCGCGTGCCGCCATGTGGCATGTTGATGCCCCCCGTATGTCCATCCCTCATTCCTTTAGGCCTGTATTAAAGAGGACCGATGAGGTAAGCGTAAGCGGCAACAAAAATGGCGTCTTCTTCTGCATCAGTTGCGCAAGCCCTTCGAAGCGGCGTGGAAACTCGAGAAGTGGGAAAGCCTCAAAGCCAAAGCCTCAACAGAGATGAACCGCTGCAGGAACAGGCGCCTTCGTCTCCAATTAAGGCTCACCTTGATTCACCTTCCCCGAGTACTTTTCTCAGCGTTCTTCTTGAATCGTTCTGCGGGTGTATTTGCTCCCAATATATTCTGCGAGGTGAACTTACGCCGTCACCTGTTTTCAGGAAATATACAGAACAAGCCTCTACTACTATATTAATTTTTCACCGATTTTGAATATGTAATGACTCTGAGGGGCTCTAGGACTCTGAGGGGCCCTCTTCTAACTCAGCATCTTCACCAAGGAAAGCGTTCTATTTGGTGCTAAGCCTTGGACTCCACTTGGCATTCGGTTTTTTCCAAGTGATCGGGCGCTATTTGCAAACAGTGGCAGGGATCCCCGCCTTTTATCTCCTCGGCGGAATCCACGCAGTTGCCTGCATCTTCAATTTTATCGCACATCCGTTGTTATCTCAGTGCATTCTTCGCTCCTCGAAGGGACATACAAGCCTTGCAGGAAGCAAGAACAGCAGCGAAGGGTCGTCAAATGCACGATCCAAGAATCAAGGAGGGACAAAAAAATTTCTGGTCGGCACTCTATATGGCTTTGTGACCATGTTTCGAGCACTAAGCAATCTCGCTTCAGCCACCTTCACGTTAACTTTTTATCCTATGCCTGGAAAATTATTCATAAGACAGTAAGATTTTAAGCACTCAACACCGTAATGGATGAGTCTCAGTGCAATCAGATCATTATTCTGAGGTCACATTCAAAGACCACGTAAAAAATGAAGCTGTTTAAGATATAGAAACTACTTCGTTATCATCAATATCTTATGTGTACTACGACTAATACTCAGTACAAGTGGCGTTGAAGTATCATCCTTGACGATGTTTTGTTGTTGAGACGGTAAGAAAAAGAAAATCAACAAAACGAATGAGTCTCGAGGGCGAGTGAAATTAGCACCTTCAATCAGTCTCAGTGCAATCACATTCACATTATTCATTTGAAATGATCAAGAAATTTCCTGTTTTCATTTTAGTGCAGAGTGTCGCGTTGTTGTCGCCCTTTGGTGTGGCACTAGCGGCATTTTTGATATTGGGAGAACGCAAACGGCCACGTGGGTTTTGGCCGGCTTGTCTCATTTGCGTGCTTAGCAGTCTTTGCGTCCTGACCGGGAAGCAGCTTGCGTTCGCGCAACATGAGCCAAATCTTCCACCTGGAGGTGCGGATCATAACACTTGGCAACGTTTGTTAGCAGTGGAGGAGCAAAAACATCTTCTTCACGAGGATAATTCAAAAAAAACTACCCTCGTAGAAGGAGTCTTCCAAAATACTTTCCAACGTTTGCTAGGAGTAGGCGATCAAGTAAACCCAGATCCCTACACTTGGCAACGCTTCGTGGGAGTAGAAGACCAAGGCACAGATCGGGACGATATTATCGTATCGACCTTGCAACGCTTCTTAGGAACAGGAGAACAAGTACAAGACCCAGGAATCAAGACTGCATCAGCACTTGTGACAAGAACACAGCGGAACCCGATCGCACTTCTCAATATTGCGATCGGCGTGGCGTTGCAGTGCGTGACGATTGTACTGATTTCGGTTACAAGAGTGGCCATGAAGCAGACTTATGATTTCTTGCGGAAATCGATCATCTGCTCGAGAAGTATCTTCACTTTATTTGATGAAGATTCAGGTTCTACTAAAGGGGAAAGGAAGGGCTTTGGCTTTCGGATGTTTTTTGTTTAGAACATCGGTTTTCAGGGAAGTAGGTCTAACAGACACAGGCAGTCGGACTGACCTCTCGCGAGTTGGCAGCTTACTCGTACTGTGTGAATTCAGTTCTGCTTCTCTTGATCACCTATGTGTACGAGGGCTACACCTTGAGCGGATGGCGAGACCAGTTTTACGATCGCTTGACGTGGAAATCTTTGGGATTCTTACTCTTTGTCGCGATCGTGATCAACTACTTCGCAAATCAGTGGCAAATCGAGACTGTCCGAGTACTCGGCCCAACATTGTACAGCAGTTTTCAGCCACTGCGAATGGTGTCGTCGATTTTCGGAAGCCATTTCATCCTCAATGAACCAGTGAGTTCTTGGTTATCATGGCTAGGAATCTTCGCCTTGTGCGCAACGCTGTCTTTGTTTTTCGGATCGCAAATACTGTTGCGCGATGAAGACGAGGACGACCAACGCGGTAGTGCAACAAGGGAGGGCGGGCGACGTCGCAGTGATGTCGAGCGGACGTCTGAACAAGAAACTACTGAAAGAAAATTTTGTTTGGAAAGCAAACAAGAAGAAGAACCAGATGAAATAAGACCTACAGCTAGTACTACAAAGAAGACAAAAGTTGTATTGACACCACATGGTTTTGGGACGATGAAAGCAGTTGTTGTAGAAGCAGTTCCTACGGTTGAAGCGCCAGAGGATGCTACCAGTAAAGACGAAGGTTTTTCGGGAAACAAGAACGCTCCACCAACGCATCTCATAGGACGAAAGATGAGACTCGCTGCAGAATAAGATACTTGAATTTTCCATTGCCTTGCCCTTGGACCCGAACATTAATTCTGTCCTTGATTTTCAGAAATATTGATTCAATTTTCCTTTCATAGACAGTAAGTGCAAGTCCTGTCCTCAATTTTTTATCGCACGACGTTTTCATGGCTTGACTTAGTACGACCACCAGGACTGGACGTAAACGTTTTCTGCGGGGACTTGTTCAAGGATGCAACGTTTTTTGTGCACAAAAAATGTTTTGAAACGCAACCATGTAAAATTGATCCGAGGACGATCAGAAAACGATGATTTTGGTTGGTGCTGTGATTCGAAGATGCAGATGTTGTTGCTGTGCTAGGAAATTCAATTAATCGCTCTTAATCATGTTCCTGTCGTGGATTCTTCGGAGTTCGAATGCAGATTTTTCTAGTAACGATCCTCGCACTTCCTTTCTCTTGGCATCAAAAATTGAATCTTGGTTCCTTTTTGCACAGGCAGCATTGAATATTGGAGTATTAGAAAATCCAAATTATAGCTAGAGCCACCACATCCGCGATTTCTGCGTAGTTTTTTTTTACTGCAATAAAGCCTGGGAGTACAACTACTGCGTTCTTCGCGACTTCTTCCTGAAAGTATTAAAGGGGACAAGTAGGCATTACCCTATAAGCCCTTCTCTAAAACAAGAACCTCCATACTACAGATAGTATTAACTACTACACGGAAGAAGCAAAATGAAAATGATGTCTTCCTCGTCCTCCGAGCTGGGACAGTACTGCAATGCTGGCGCCATCGTGCGCCTACCTGGTGTGCCGCCAAGGCGTGTGGCCTTCGATGGCAGTGAAGAAGGACTCTGCCAGCAGATCGTTTCCACCTTTGGAATTCCAAGTTTGGACTCTTTTTGCGACAGTGCGATTCTGGTGTGCGATGGTGAGAGGCCACATCAGTATAGGAGGAGGAGGAGAACGTCTTCTTTTTCAACCGGAGGTGCGACTACTAGAAGAACCTCAAGCCTTGGGAGGAAGGTTGTACAACTCGAAGGTGACGATTCCATGTTGGACCACGTTTTCTTCGAGAACAACAGCATCAATCAAAACAACGAAGATAGCCACGACACCTCTTGGCCCAGCAACAACATCTTCGCCGGTCGTAAGAACATGGAAGTGGAGGTTCTCTGGAGACTGCGTGGTGGTAAGGGAGGCTTTGGAGCACTTCTGAAGAAGCTTACGGGTGGGGGCAAGAAGACGACTAATACCGATGCCATGAGAGATCTGAATGGTAGGAGACTGCGGCACGCGAAAACTGTAGAACGCTTTCAAGAATGGATGCAGAAGAAGAAGGTATTGTATACACTAATTTCAGAGGAGAGTGGATGCAGAAGAAGAAGGTACAGGATACTCATAGTCGAGGAGTAGGTAAGGATCTCGAAAGTGGTTAACAACTGAACTACAGTACCAGTCTTTTCTTGAATTTAAGGGTTACACACTTCTTTGCAAATCAACACGGTTACTCATGTGATTGTAAATTGTATAACCATGCTAGGACGAGGACGACATAGTCGCTATGTTAAACGACGGTGACCTTCCTGAGGCAAAGATCGCGAAAAAGAAGGAGGTCACTTTGGGTGAGGACTTCCTAGGAAAATTAAGGCCTCCCCTCCTGGTCCATCTGCAGAGAAGTCATCCTAGGAGGGAGGCTTTCCAAGGGGAAAAGCGCCCTGGGATGAATCTCAAGATGAATCTCAAGATGGATCTCTAAAAAAACTAGCGGAAAGCGGTCAAAGCAAACTCGCTATGCTCAAAGCGGCACGAGGGAGCGGCCAACCCATTGGACAGGGCCTACATGTCATGTCTGGTGGTGGAAGTAGTTCTTCTTCAAGCTCGTATTCTGGCTTAAAACGCGCCAGTGCTCGGGAGGTGGATCCAGCATCTTTAGAGGCAGGATTGTCGGATGCAAGCACCGACGTAGGATCGAAAAGGCGAGGAAAATGGGACGACAATATGGAAGACCTGTTCGCAGAATTCATGGAAGAGTATTTGCTTTTTTAAGTGTTCTATTTAGAGACGTGCGGGAAGCGCACTTCTTTCTACAAAAGATGCTTTCCTAGTACCTCTTGTTGTTCCCCTTTTGATTTACAAAGTTGAATATTCCGTCTCAACCAATGAACACACCACAGTGCTTCCGACGCCTCTGTAAGTTCCGACAGTGATGAAGAGTTAAACATCAGGACAAAGGGGAGAGGAAACGGAAAAGCGACATCTAGTGCCGCAAATAGCAGTAGCACAAAGTTGTCACCGAAACGTAGTAGTATCAACGCTGGGAAGACTCATGGTGCTAACGGAGGTAATGGGAATGCTAGTAGAGAAGGAATTCCTTCTGGTGAAGATGCTGCAGGACCGAGTGCGAACGGCCACTACGATGTTGATCGTGTTGACGCAGATAAAGCAGATGCTCTTGAACAAAAGGACCGAACAACAACTCCTCCAGCAGATGAACAAGAAAGAGAGAACCCAGAGAACAAGAACCCAAAATTGTCCGGTCGAGCCGCAAAGAGGCAGAAGAAAGAGCAGACAACGACCTCCTTTGTCGTGAACGAATCCATTGTCGTCAGGGATTTCTCTCTCTACAAAAGTGCCCGTGATTTGGAGCGGCAGTGTGGAGAGGAAATCCTGAAGCATTCGTGTGCGTTTCACGGTCTCAAGTTTGGTGGACGCGCAACTGAGCGAGCAACCAGGCTCTGGGAATTGCATCTAGCAGGAGGAAAGGAGAAAGCACCAAAGACTATTTTTGCAGCAACAGCAGCAGCTGTGGAGAAATAATTGGTGTTTCAGTTTTTTGCGCCCATAGCGGGGGAGAAATGATTACGATTGTGATTGCACCTCTCTCCTGGTCCTGTCTAAGTAGTATAGTAGTACTATGAGCCCCGAAGAACGACCCTGAGCAACTAACTGATAGGAATTCCCCTTTTCATCCCACATAGCGACACGGCTTGTAAAACAGCGTGTTAGTTTTCCCTCTATCTCGTAGATTTATCCCTTCAAGCGACAAGTTGTAAAATCATCAGTCACAACTAACTCTAGCTTAGTCTTCATTCTATCCGAGCAAAGTGGAGGATAGAATGGTATGGTATCACTAGGGACCGGTGCTGTTCTCTGACGATTTTCTATGAAATTTGTGCTTTCTGAGTAGAATCTTCATTGTCCTCATTCGCAGAGTCTCACTGTCGGTGTCTCACTCTCGGTATCGGAGGAATTCCAACTAGAACCTGCTTTGAAAATTATTACAATCAGCTTGTGGTTTTGAAGAAAACATGTCTGTAACTGTATGTCCGTCAAAGATAGCTCGATCGGATTCTTGAGTGCTCTGCAAAGTCGGTTTCAAAAGTGTGAAATAGAACAACACCGCATTGTTGTGATTCAAACTGGCAGAAAGACGGACGTAAAAACTCAAAAAAGATGTCAAGCAAAATCGCATTTAACATGGCGTTTACCCCGTCTAGTACAAGTTTAACAAGTTTAAGATCGCATTTATCATCCCCTAGTATAAGTCTCGTTCCACCCGTCTCCGATTTTCCGTCGTTGGTCGTTATAGAGCTAACAAATTGTCACATGTGAATATAAAACTAGTTGTACTACTGTGGTCAATTACCACACTGGTCCTGTCGTACAGGTAATGCTACTACTTGTAGATGGTGGACCACTACTAGTACGCGTTGTATACTAGTACTTATTCGCTGCTTATGAACTTCCGAATTGCGAAAATGTGAGGTTGGTTTCGATCACCGGGGCTTGCGCGAAAATGGTGCTGTTCTTTCCCCAGAGCTTCCGACGGCTGTTCTCCTTCGCAGCAGCACCATTTTTTTATGGCCTTTTCGACAGATGGTGACCTCCATTATCAGAGTGATGGTAGACATCTTGGAAGAGCTCGTGTCCTGGAGAGAAAAGGGGCCCCAAGATGGTGCGTTGCAAGATGGATAAGGATCATGAGCTCTAATTTTTCTTTGCTTTACTACGAATGCAATGGCACGGCATCAATGCTGAAAGTAGGCATGCAAGCGACCTCCTCTCAGCGAACAAGAAAACAGACATACCTAGTACAACACGTAGTAGAGTTAAGGCCCTTCACATAATCCATCTTTCAGTCCCTCTGTGAGCTCCTGCTTTCATCTAGAAAAGGGTGGACATCACAGAAGATGGAGCAAAAGATGGATGAAAATTGTAGTGAGGTAGTGAGTCTGTCCTCTCACTAATTGGATAATTGTAGTGAAAGTTGTACTCTCACTAATAGAGTCTCACTTCTAATACTGGAGCGAAGAAAAAAGAACGTCCCGACTACCTCAACAACGTCTATGATGGAAGTTCCTCATCATCGACTACCACGGATGCCTTGTTAAGGCCACCATTTAGTGTCGATCTTTCCATGATCCATGCAAATGCGTTATCTTGAATAGAGATATACAGCGATCAATTCTGGGTGGACTATTCCCTTTTATGGATCATCCCTTGCATTCTTTTCATGGGGTCGAGGTGAGGGGAGGACCGAGATGAAAAATCAGCTGGCTCTAACCTTGGAGGACGAGGAGGAAGAGGATTCTCACCACCCACCAGAATCGATGGAGAAAACTAAGATGGAAAAAACTAAGAGTTCCTGGAAAGCAGACAGTACAGATAGAAGAAGGAGGACGAAGACCAGAAGACGTTATGATAATGAAACGTGAGTAGTGAGGACCAGAAAACGTTTTGATGAGAATGAGTAGTAGGTGATATGAATAATGAGAAGAGAATTAGTTTATAAAGTTTTTCCTTTTTTGTTTATGCTTACCTCCTTTGTCTACTTTGTGGCTATGATATAAAATGAAAGGTGTCGGTCCTGCACAGACTTTCAAAATAGTATGTTTTCCCTGTCAACAACTCTTCCCAGTTGAAATGGTTGAAAATGAAAACACTTGCTGGTAGAGTATGTCTTACTCTCCTTTCGGTTTTTTCCTTCCCATCACCTCCGTCGGCCAATTTTGATTTCCTTGTCCTCTATTCCAGATATCAGAGGAGAAAACGAACATTTGATTTCCTTGTCCTCTATTCCAGATATCAGAGGAGAAAACGAACATTTTTTCTGCTCACGCAGAATCACGACGATTCCTTTGTTGTAGTAGGGCTACTGGCGTATCAACTTTCGCGCCATACTAGCATTCCATATACTGTTCTGTTACATCTATCTCCTATTCGGATTCCTTTGTTGTAGTAGGGCTACTGGCGTATCAAAATATACTGTGCTATTACAACATCTATCTTCCTCCAAGAACTGCTCTTCTTCTAACAGATGGCAGCACAAGGAAGATCTTTCATGGAGTTTGAATCTGGTGAAAGTGGGTCTGGTCGCTCCACCGTCCGCTCGCGCCTCATAGCAGAATTGATGATATGACAGGAAAAAGGGTACTCATCCTCAAGAAAGGGTCGCAGTTTGGTTCCTCAAGAAAGGGGCTCTCCATACTTGAGTATGAGTACCCTTTTTCCTTTCATAGGCGAGCAAAGGGGTTCACTTAGATGCCGTTATACAACTTGTTAAGGCGAGTCAGGAGCTGTGTAATCTTCATCCTCTCTTCCCTCTCTCTCCTTGCATACGAAGAGTTTAGCGATAGAAGAGGCGCTCTTACTTCTAATTCGAGTTAGTAATGAAGCTATAGTCTTCCTAGAATCTGCAAAAATGGAAAAACATCTAGATGCTAAAATTTAATTACTTAAGTCCGCCATATAGTCTTCCTATTATCTCGTACAGTACAGAGGCTATGAAGCGTTGCCCGCAAGTCCTGTTACCTAAACCTAACCATCTCTCTTGTACTTCTAACCTTAGTTGGAGTTTTGTCAGACGCGTGAGAACGCGGGCAAAAGAGCGTGAGGCGTTAGTCCACGCTAAAGAAGCGAAAGAAGTGTCATCCACTTAAGGATCGTTGTATTGTGTTAGTTCATCTTGAATTAAGTCTTCTTGATCTTGAATTGTGTTGGGAACATTCATTCACTCATCTTCATCTTGAATAAAGTACATGGTGCCCAGTTGTGAAGTGAGGAAATCACAATTCTTGTCCTAGTAACTAAGAGTACTAGCAAAAACAAGTAAGCAGACCATCTTCTGCGACTTGAAATGTTGGCAGACTACATGGAGACTTTGTTACTATAGAGAGTCCTCGTTCGTTTGAGTAACGATCCTTCTCACAACTCCTGCTGATAGGCTCATCAAAATTTAGAACTACCTCCTCTAACGAACTAGTAGCTTCCTTGCAGCTGGTAACGACCCAGCGGAGGTGCCGAAGAGCGATCAAGCAGGCTCCGGCAAGCAGCCAACAAAGAGCGATCAATCAAGCTCCGACAAGCAGCCACCAAAGAGCGATCAAGCAGGCTCCGACGAGCAGCCATCAAAGACCGATCAATCTGCAGGTCCGAGCGAGCAGCCATCAGAGAGCGATCAAGCAGGCTCCGACAAGCAGCCAACAGAGAGCGATCAATCAGGCTCCGACAAGCAGCCACCAAAGAGCGATGCAGCAGGCGGCTCACCAGCAAGTAACGAGCTGAGCACAGATTCCAGTCGTGTAGGTGCACCAGCTAACGCTGAGGCAGGTAACGATTTGGGAGCAGATGGCCGCGGCCACCAAGGAGACCACGACGAGCAGCAATCAAATACCAAGCCAGCAGACCCGAACGAGCAGCCACCAAGTAACGCTCCAGGAGGCGAACCTGAAGCAAGTAACGCTCCAGCAGGCGAAACTGAAGCAAGCAACGCTCCAGCAGACACAGAGGGCCTTCGATCAAGTAGCGCTCCAGCACGCGAACCTGAAGCAAGTAACGCTCCAGCAGGCGAAACTGAAGCAAGCAACGCTCCAGCAGACACAGAGGGCCTTCGATCAAGTAGCGCTCCAGCAGGCGAACCTGAAGCAAGTAACGCTCCAGGAAGCGAAGCTGGAGCAAGCAACGCTCCAGAAAGCGAACCTGAAGCACGTCGCGCTCCAGCTGCAGCAAGTAACGCCCCACCAGGCGGACCTGTAGCAATTAACAATCTACATCTAGGCACAAACGAGCAGCCGTCGAATAATGCTCCAGAAGCGCTAAACGAAGCTCCAGCAGAGAAGTACCAGACAGCAGAAAAATATGGCATTCTGGTCGTCTTATTGAGTGAATGAGGGAGGCGTAATAAACATGGTACATCAATAAAACCGATGTTGTCGCAAGGACAGGAAGGTACCCTAAACCTTCTGCAACAGAGCAACCATATTGCCTGAATGATTGACTCTACTTGTTGTTGGACATTGTAGAACAAGATTAGTATTTTGACTGAATATTAACGATCCTTTCGAGTTTCTTTTTTCTTAGTTACAGGTTCACGGACTTTCGGACCGCTTCAGGAACTGTTTTATCTCTCTAATGACTGAGTACAGTCATTTGAGACGCACCGAAGTTGTGACTCAACTTCTGGACCCTTCTCTTTCTCTGAAGCACGTTGTAGACGGAAGTAGCTGTGTAGTGCTCTTCTTTACTCCTGGAGCGAGTGGGTACATTCACTCACTCACTCACTCACTCACCCACTCACCCACTCACCCACTCACCCACTCACTCACTCACTCACTCACTCACTCACTCACTCACTCACTCACTCACTCCCTAACCTCTGCGAGGGAGCTTGGCATCCTATGGATTGCAGACCGCGTTGATTTCAGCGTCCACCTTACTGCTGAGGGCCCGATACCAAGATAGCGATTATGGTGCCGCATTAGACATTCAGAGAAGCGAAGAGGTGCTGCATTAGACCTGTTCGCTTGTCAATAATAATAGTAATACAACTACTCATCTCACATCTGGGGTACAACAACTTCTAGATACTAAATTTGCTTCTGGTGTGGTCTTCGTCTTTTTCTGTTGTATTTTTTTTTACAGTCATAGAGAGGCGTAGAGGAATTATCAGTTTAAATTCTTTTTTTATCTAAGGTCCAACACCTGCTTAGAACTTTTACAAGGGTATGATATTAAGTAAAGGACCTGCTCAAAGACCTATGTAATCATCTAAAAATACGAGGAGAAAATTGTGTTTCTGCTGCGTGCCACTGGGGCTTTGGTCAATTTATGGACATTTCTTCACTATACAGTATGCATAGACGTCCTCCTCAGTGCGTGCGCCATCCACCTTGACCACGGATATGTATAAATCATCTCATGATATTAACGAGGGGAAAAACGTTGACCTGTTTCGTTTCTCCAGTAGTTGTGCTGCAGGACAACTTTTTCTCTTTCGCATGTAGGAGGCAGTGCAGAAGACAACAAGAAGTTTCAGAAGAACCGCAGTGAAGTACAAGACAACAGTTGAAGTAAAAGGGCCGTGCAATGAAAGCCCTGTTGTAATATTATTAAAAAGTCAGGGATGTAGTTGATTTCAGTACAATCACTTGAGACGTGATGATGATGGTTGATTTCCGAAGGGAGAAAATGCTACTTGGTGTTAGACTACTGTTACCTCAAGTCGAGCATGCTATTATTGGTTCTAATCATTTGGCTCGTAGGCTTCGTGCGGTTAGTAGACATGAAAGCGGATGTCGAACTGAGCCAGAATTTGGAGTTAAGCGTTACCACATTACTTCACGAGTTGTACCATTCTTCACTATATAAGACCCTAAATCTAAGTCTAAATGCTGGACTACCATTCTGGGCTCTTATTCTGGACTATCATTCGTCACTACAATGCTGGACTCTCATTCTGAACTACCATGCTGAACTACAATTCTTCACTACCATTCTGGACTTCTACTACTCATTTGAAAAAGGAGAAACTAGAGGTCAGGAATGGAGTCAACACAGATGATTGTTTGAGTGCTGATTGTTGCCTTCTTCAAAGCATCAAGTTGATGCTTCTTGATGCTTTGAAGAAGGGAGTGCCGCATTCACCGGAGAATGCAGTTTCTCCCTGTAGTGGACTTCGAGTCAGTTCCAGTTCTCCCTGTAGCGGACTTCGAGTCAATTCTTCGAATCCGTTCCTATCTTAAGTATCTTATCCCATCCTTTGATAGAACACTGCCCCAGCCTGCTCTAACAGAAAGGAGGGTCACTGCCGAGACCAAAAGCCCTGATCTTGATATTTCCTCGTTTCCTACGTTGGTCCAGCGAATGCGCGTTCTGGCGGTTCACGTACGAGAAGCACTCTATTCAGCGAAAGTTTTTAAGATGAGCATCTTTTTGGAGTAGCTTCAACTGATGATTAAATTTAATAATGATTTTGACTAATTAGCTTGATCCTCTTACACTGTTAACTGATGATTAAATTTGATAATGATTTTGACTAATTAGAAGCTTGATCCTCTTAGACTAATAATTAAAAACATTTTACGTTCCTCACTTAGGAGACTAATTTACTACAAGAGCTACAGTCAATTTTACCATCTCTAAGTCTAGTTTGTAGGTACAGGTCCAAGTTCTACCTCACCTACCTATGTTTGATTGTAGTGTTTAGATGCTAGCAGCATTTCTAATTAGTTTGGAGGTAATAGCCCCTTTGCGGAGGGCGTGATGGAACAGGCAGTTAGTGGTACGGTAGAAGTATTACGGATGATGTTTTTTCTCCCATCTACTAGGTCAGAGACAACCCTAAACCCTTGAAAGTGTAGAAGAGGTAAAAGGGCATCTTGCCTCTAGTTCTAGAGTGGTCTGCTTCCAGTCGATGGGAGAAAAAACGCTATCCTCTTCATCACTCTGCAATTTGCTCCATTCTGGCTTCTCGGTGCTCACCGAAGCACCAGCACATCTTCAAGATTGGACATCGAGACAGGTACTATAGTACTAATGATGAAAAAGCACTTCTGCTAGTCTAGGTGTTGGTATGCTAGCCAATGTTAGACTCCATGTAATGTAATGTATGAATACGATTATAGGTGGATCAACCTAAAAAGTATCCAAATCCCCAATCTAAAAAGTATTAAATCTTAACTGCAGGATCAGTTGGAATTTGTAGTTGCTTACGTGGCTGCATCGGGAGTGCTGAGGTTAAGGCTCCTTTTTCACAACTATGCGTCCTTCGACGACGATCAAAGAGGGCTGACTTCTACAGATCACATCTTGCAAAATGTAGAGGAACAAGAAAGGAAGACTGAAAAGGGAAGAAGGAAAGAAGAAAAGCCTGCAAATTAAATATCTTTCATACCCCACGAATGGGTACACTTCTACTACTACTACTACTACTACTACTACTACTACTACTACTACTACTATCCAAAGTGGACAACGAACTATCTTGAGTGGACGAGTCCCCTCCTTTGATAATTTGAAGGGGAAAGAACAAGAAGGCAAAGGGCAAACTGTAATTGGGGAACTCACTAAGTACACTCAACCAGGCACAGCACTGCCAAAATTATAGCGCTAATGCAGGACAGTGGAGTACAAGTGCAAAAAGTAGAGAGGAGCCGGCTTTTGGAGGGCTACCTGGACATCATTTACATGGACCACTTGGTTAAAATGACCACGAAGGCTATTGATTTTCTCTTATGGTTTTCATGGGTTGAGATTCTGGAGATCAAACAATGCGTAGTGCCTGATCTTCATTTCTCTGTCCCTCACCACATTTCTCTCTTCTTCAAGTACATGTAGTGCTTCTTCACTTACACATTCTAACCTAACCTTTTCTTCCCACTTTCTGCTCATAAGGAGAAGACGGAGGGGTACACAACTTGTACTAGTCGTACTACTAGTGCCATGACTACTAGCACCACTATTTCTTACCCACTTTCTGTTCCTTCTTCATTTACACTCTCTACCCACTATTTTCTATTCAATCATAAACCGAAGGTTAACCTAATCTAACCTAGGAACTCTGTCGGAGTATGTAACTTGGGTGATTTTTTTTTATATAGGTTGATTAATTGTTTGAAAGGGTGGTGGCATAACAGTCCTAACGCAAAAAAAAAAAATATCGGCACTAGGAACGGTGCTATCAGGGGTACACACATACAACCTAACCTGAGCTCAGATCCCTAGCCTAAAATTTCTACCCATTTCCTTCTTCATAAAAAGAAGGCGAGTCGCATCCTCTCGGAGTGTCTCTGCGAGAGAAATGGGCAGATAAGTCGTTCGGCAAGCCAAAAAAGGGTGAGCTTCTGGATGTCAGGAATTTTTAAGGCTTAATACCGAGTCATCACTGATAAGTATGTACGTAGACATCAGAGGATTCATTTATAGCTTCTCACACAGAAAAATAACTTTAAGTTTATAAGAATTATCTATGAGATAACTTATGCAGTTGCAATCAGGGAAATCATATGTCTGCAACGAATTCGTCAGTAGCATGACCAGACTTGAACAAGTAGGGGTCGTCCACAAGGGAAATTATTTCGACAATGTACTGAGACTCTTCGATTCAGAATTTGTCGAAGGAGGTTTCTGGCTTGACGAGGAAGTGAAGCTCTTCTGTCAAGATAATTCTAGATGTTGTGCTACGAGGGACGATTGATTGTCCTCGTCTAAACTGTGCCGGATAGAGTTACCTACTCGTTACAACTCTACCACGATGCGACACATCAACAAATGGTAATCCATCGAAGTCACGAGTTAAGATCGTGGCGTCTTTGAGCTAGATGACCACATTAGCCCCCTTGGGTTAAATTTAGACCCTAGGGGATGAACTTTGAACTAAATAAAAGAACCGTGGGACTATTCTCAAGGGCGTTGAACCACTTGTCCTCCAGCAGCGTTGAACCAGTTTATTAGTTCTGATTCAGGCATCAAGAACTCATCTGTCGTGAGTCGTGCAACATAGAGAGGCACATAATACAAATCCCTTGTTGTGAATGAGTTCCAACTACTTGTTGCCATCATTGGAAGTTGGTATGAAGAATTTTACCCATGGAATGGAGTCTTCATTGAGTCATCTACATCCTCACCGTGTAAGTGTATAAAAATCTGAATGCACGATCGTCCCTGATCGTCAGGGAAATCTTACGCATTCTGCCGAATAGAATCCCATCGTCATATCGTCCCTGATGTCAACGGGAACACTCTAACTTTCCTGGAGAAGGAGAAGAAAGAGAGCAAGAAAGACGACGAAGGAGACGAAGGACGACCTGTTTTTTTAAGGGTTGGAAGTTGACCTCTTCTCTATGAACAGCATCGCTATGGCAGCTTTCTTCAAGTAGGAAAGCTGCCATACTAGATATGCGAACTACTACGAATGCGAACTACCAACTTTCTTCAACCCCTAAATCTCCGGGAATTTCTGGCATTCTGCTGGTTCGCGTTCATCGCGGTAGTGCTCCTCCTCGCGCTTGTTCTGCCATGCTTCGTATTGTGTCGAAAAAAGGATTTTATGGCGTGATTCATAACTACTTGAGTGTAACAGCACTTTTCCTATAATCGTGAAGTATTAGGTGAAGCAATTCTCATAGAGCCCATCACTACAAAGCACTTAGAGAATACATTTCATTTTTAGACTTTTCCACTTGAAGAGGTTGATATTGAAAGGGCTTTTTGACATGGTAAACAAAGATATCGTCAGGGATATCTTAGAATTAATCGAGTCCTCCTTTCATAGACTACGTGGAGGCCTCACGACGTCAGCCCTGGCCTGAAGGAAAATACAAGGTCTACGGTCGGGAGGTAGATTTATGAAACCAAGAATGATATTGCACATACTGGTACTTCTTACTGTAAATTCTCATTTTTCTTTTATACGACACACTTGAACCTTGTTTTTTAGACTCTTTCCTTCCTTCTACTACCTTACACGCATTAATAATCGCTTGTGGCTTTTATTTTATACACGTCTACTTTCCTCGCAGGATTGTGTCTAACTTTTTCTTGAACCTTAGACTCTTCTCCAGACAAAGAATGAGATCTAGTAGTAATAATGAGGATTTCTCTAACATCTTCAGAACCAGAAGAGGAAGAGACGACACTTCCGTTATGACGCTGCCGCGTGGTCGTCAATTTAATAGTAACCTAGTATCTTTTGCACAGATTCTTCCTCTCCTCCGTCCTCTCCTCTCCTATTCAGTCTTCCTATAGTATCTTGTATCATCCTGCTTTTGTAATTTATGATGCAGATTCCAGTATCTTGCCGGTGATTAGGTACGAGCACTTGAAACGCAAGAATGCCGCTGGAGGAGGCTTGTCGATTGTCATTCCAAGTAGATATGATTAAACCATTCCAGTAGTACTTCACTGCCTGGCCTCATAAGTAGACAGAAATAGCTAGTACACAAGAGGCGCCATCGCATGACATCCAGCGTCTTGCAGGTGACTATGTGCGATCACTTGAAGCGCGATGATGATGATGATGATAAGTATCTTAGCACTCGAAGTAGATACGACTATCATTCATCATCATCTTAGCACTCGAAGTAGATACGACTATCATTCATTCGCTCCAGTATCTTTTCCTCTTGCTTCTAAGATAAAGCACATTCTTGGGTTCGATTTTTGGAGCTGGCTTTGACACCCTTTATGGGGAGGAGGTGAGCGACTATGACGATGCAGATGTTGAAAGGCTTGTTATTACCGGCGGCATTCAACTCGAGAGGACAGCGAAGGAGGAGAAAAAGGTCAAGAAGTCGAAGAAAGGTTTATGAAGTAAACATACAAAAAAGAGAAAGGATTTAAGATATGAAAGTATGTCTAACTATGCTTCTAAGATTCTCGGGGGATCGAGATTATGAAGTAAAACCCTATGCCCTTCATCTACTTCTCCTCGCCGCTTTAGAGTGTTTCAAGAACAACTGTTCTGAAGACGAAAAATGTTGTTGTTCCTTGTATTTAAACCTACGACTTGATAAGTACATCAGTCTTGTGCCTGTCGTGTCATAGAGATTTTGCACGCCTCTCGATTCGCTATTCGATCTATAAAAAAAAAAATCCGTCTGATCTTAGCGTTCGAGGATGCAAGAGAATATCAATCTATTAGACCTCTTGCTAATGTGATTCAAGTCTGTCGCAGGTGACGATGCTGATTTCGGTGATGATTTTGGCGACACGGGGCAGCTCCAGTTATGCTCCTTCATGATTATATTAAAGATATCTACCACCACCTGGCTACATCTGTTAGCCTCGCTTTAAGAGGATACTGATAGTATTCCGTGGTCTACCACCACCTCCCTACAGCTGTTCCACCTCCTTTTCGGTGGCGACCAGAGTCCTCAGTTGTAAAGGCTTTACAACTTCATCGTGGAAAGGCTTTACAAGCTAACCGCGTAAAGGCTTTACAACTGTTTCTTACAGGTTGCAACTGTTTCTTACAACTGTTTCTTACAACTGTTTCTTACAACTGTTTCTTACAACTGTTTCTTACTGTATACTGCTAGTTACCTCTTTCTTAGAATGTTCGTCGTTCCTTTTTGTCCCGCCATTAGGCTAGAAGTACTGAATGTGACACCATGATGATGAAGACTCATACTATTCTGTATTGTTACAATGTTCACGACACAGTTTTCGTTTTTGTTTTCTCAGAGTTGCAGTTCTTTGGTAAGATGAAGAAATTATATTTTGATGTGACAGGAGTGTACATGCATGCTTTTTCGTGGTCTAATCTGAAACTACTGTTGTATGGGCTATTAATCTGAAACTAGTGTAGTATGCCGGTCTAATCTGAAGTACCTTCGTAAGAGGTTTGGGCAAGCAAGATCTGGATGACTATGGTGAAAAGGTGGGGAGCGACGGTGGGGACGGGGATCGCGATGATGGTTACGGCTACGAGAAGTCTCCCCCTTTCAGAAGCATCTTTGTTTTTGTCGTCCTCCCGTTGTTTTAAAGGGAGTAAACAGGGGGACCCAAGATGCTGCTTCGGATTCATTCAACAAGAACAAATCATCTTTACATTACTTCAACAGTGCTTAGACAAATATCTCTACGAAGCTTCTAAGATGGTGCACCGAAGAGTGTTACAAATGTTGCAGATGCGCTCGCTGATGTGCGGGGTAACTTTATGGACATGTTGTAGCCCTTGTTGCCATTAACACATGTTGTAGCCCTTGTCGGTGTTAGCATATGAAATCTAGACTGGTCTTTCCCTTTGAATGGCTTAGGTCCAGCGATGCTAAAAGCACATAAAGAAAAAGCAGCCGGTTAGGCCTTCCCGCGTAGCCTAGGTCTATCCCACCAAGCAGCGTATGACCCTTCTAGGGAAGCTGCAGCCCCTTCAGGGTTGCGTCCGTGGTTAGTTGTTTTGTGGTGCTAGTAAAAGTAGAAAAATTCTTCTTGTTTTAGATCGACAAAGTAGAAGAGCCGACACAAAGTGATATTGAATTATTTAGAGCGTGGGGTAACTGACATTAGACAACCTACAACAGTCTAGGCTCCTTTTCATCATTAATTATAGCGCATTTGTTCTGTAGTGAAACCTGTGGGACTGACAGGACGACGATAGAGCCGGCGCGTAGTAGTTAGTTCCAGCAGATAGGAATACACTTGATAGCTAACTTTTTCTGTTTTTTATTTTCTTTTGGTCTTTCTTTTTTCTAGTTAGGTCTGCTCCACCACAATTGATCGTAGCGCATTGGTTCTATAGTTCGCATCTGTATCGACTGGGATTGCAAAGAAGGCGGCTTCGGATCTTCGATATTGTCACCGTATTGATTTTGATGGGACTGCTGGGTATCTACAACATTATCTGTGTCATAATGACATAGCCACAAGCGTCACACTCCCGTAGAAGTATGCGTTAGCAAGAGAACCGGCAAGGAAGAACTAGTACTAGGAATAGCTCTAATAGATTCAAGCCAGTGCGTCACGCAGTTCAGAAGAAGACGAAGAAGAGTCAAGCCGCGCCAGGATTGAGCAATGAGAAGGTAACAGGACTGGACAACGAGGAGATGGCCCTTCAGTTATGCCGGTGGTATGCAGTTAGAGAAAGTTGCTGTGCTTCACGACACAGTTTTCTTTTTTCTTTTCTCAGAGTTGCAGTTCTTCGGTAAGATGAAGAAATTATATTTTGATGTGACAGGAGTGTACATGCATGCTTTTTCGTGGTCTAATCTGAAACTACTGTTGTATAGGCTATTAATCTGAAACTATTGTAGTATGCCGGTCTAATCTGAAGTACCTTCGTAAGAGGTTTGGGCAAGCAAGATCTGGATGACTATGGTGAAAAGGTGGGGAGCGACGGTGGGGACGGGGATCGCGATGATGGTTACGGCTACGAGAAGTCTCCCCTTTTCAGAAGCATCTTTGTTTTTGTCGTCCTCCCGTTGTTTTAAAGGGAGTAAACAGGGGGACCCAAGATTCTGTTGCGGATTCATTCAACAACAAACCATTTTTACATCACTTCAACAGTGCTTAGACAAATATCTCTAGAAAGCTTCTAAGATGGTGCACCAAAGAGTGTTACAAATGTTGCAGATGCGCTCGATGATGCGCGGGGCAATTTTATGGACATGTAGCATAAATTTCTTCTTGTTAAAAAACCTTATTGACTTTTGTTGTTATCAGCATTCTCAAGGAAGAAACTACTACTTGGAGTATCTCTAATAGGTTCAGGTCAATGACGAAGATGACGAAGAAGAGTCAAGCCGCAGCAGGATTGGGCAATGACGAGATGGCTCTTCAATTATGCTCGAATTTGTAGTTCTTGAGTAAGAAGGAATTAGACTTTTTCGCAGTCTTCTTCGGTTCGGGTCACATTGAATTTGTTTTGAATACCCGCCAACCTCTTATTTATATTTCGCCTTTGACGTTCAGGTCCACATCAGGAGACTTCCTCCTTGTCCACCCTTTTTTGTGTGTCACCGACAATCAGACTCGTTCGCGTATGGACGAAGTATCTTATCCCTTTTTTGTCCTATCTTGTCCTAAGCCCTAAACGTCCTAAACCCTAAACGTCCTAAACCGGAGGTACCTTCTATCTTTATCAAGCTAGATATGCTCCACCAACTTTATCAAGCTCTTTCGAGCTTACGGCCTGTGGCCTTTGCGCTAATGAAAAGCACGTTTATGGTGGGAGCTAAGAGCGGTCGCGGAGGTGTCAATGACATTGGAGAGGAACTGGTTGAAAAGGACGGCGAAGGCGCGGTCGAGGATGCAGTTGAAAACGTTTCCTCTGCAGAGGAGGAAAACATGGCGGCTAAATTTCAGCTAAAGTTAAGGCTCGAGTTTGAGCTATAATTCTCGAAATTTTTAGCAATCAGAGTAGCAGCGCCAGCTTTAGGACGTCGCTTTCTTTTTGGCTCTTCAGAGCCAGCCATGTCTGCTAGTGAACCTGGTTGTACACCAACAACACATAACCTAACCCTAAGCCGCTTATCTATCAATCTTGTGCAGGAAGTAGTCGGTCATCTTGGAAGTCGGAGAGAGTGGGATCGTCCAAGTAGGATCCCCGTTCAGGGGTCATGAGCGCTAATAAAATCGGGCATTAAAAAGAAGAAGAAGGAAGAGCCGCGAACCAGTGGTCTCGACAATCAGGCGATGGCCCTTCAGTTATGCAGCCCTCATAAAGGCTCTACGCCTATCCTATTTTTAGATGCTTGTGTGGTAGTTCCTAACCAATTGTTCCTTGTCACATAGGTTCTCAAAAACGGAAAACTCGAGTGAATCCAGTGAGACTGGCCTGTCTTACTGAACCAGCTGTTCCTTGTCACATAGGTTCTCAAAAACCGTTTTTCTCTTTAACGGAAAACTCGAGCGAATCCAGTGAGACTGGCCTGTCTTACCTCATTATACCTTCCGATCTTATACCTTCCCATCTTACAGTACCTTCCTATATTATCCTAGCTTCCTCTCTTACAGTACCTTCCTATATTATCCTAGCTTCCTATCTTACAGTACCTTCCTATATTATCCTAGCTTCCTCTCTTATCCTAGCTTCCTATATTATCCTAGCTTCCTCTCTTACAGTGCCTTCCTATATTATCCTAGCTTCCTCCCTTATCCTAGCTTCCTATCTTACTTTACTCTGCTATTCTCGAGCAGCTTCCTCTTTCTCAGTAAGACAGAGCAACCGACAAACATTGTGTTCAAAATATCCAGATGAGTAGCTTCGCTTTCTTACAGAGAGTAGTCTTTTAAAACAGAGCACGTTTATGGTGGGAGGTGTGACGGGAGCTAAGAGCGGTCGTGGTGGTGTAGGTGACATTGGCGAAGAGGTCCTCAGCGACGGACAGGCTGCAGTACAACCGGAAAGTGATTATGAGAAAACTTCAAATAAGCAAGCAAGTCCAAAAATACTGTTCTAAGTTACAGTAGCTCGCTTAGATCCCTTTACTCGGCTATTTCAGTTTATCGAATTATATGAGAAAACTCACGACTTTCTTCTTCTTTCTCAAACTCAAGGGTTCGCCTCTTTCTGAGCCGCCACAAGGTTCGTCTTTCTTGTTCTTTCAGACGTGATGACAAGGAAAGTCAACGCGAAAGTCTCGATCAAAGCTTAAGGTCAAGCTCTGGGGCACTTCTTCTACATACATCTTACTAGTGGATGAGGTATATCTAGTAGTAGTTAGAAGTACATACTTTTCTAACCTCTCGTTGAGGAGGAGTTCGACGACTTTTTGGCAGAGCAAGGACTTGATGTTGATGACAACTTGGTGAGTGGTGTTTTTAGGCAAGTCGCGGATCGAAAGGGCAAAGGGTCCATAACATTAAGGCGTTCCCTAAGATGTGAAGGATGATCTAGAAGGTCTCCCATACCTTTCTTAGAATCCTCCTAGAAGGTTTTTCCTAATGAAGGTCTCCCATACCCATTTTGATAAGAGAGAAAGACGTAGTCTTCAGGGGGGAAGGGTGAAGGATCCCTAACCTAACCTAATGAAGATCTTCCCCTCCTCTTCCTCTTGCTGAACTTACCCCCCGAATGGGTAAACTACTAGTACTACTAGAGAGAACGTGGATGAATGAGAGAGAACGACATCCTGGCGAGTAGAGCGAGAGACGTTGTCTTCACGGGGAAAAGGGAGGACCCTCGAGGAAGATGCACTATCTCTCAGAGAACACGTCATCCTGGACGTGACGTTCTGGCGGAAGAGAGGGACGACCCACCTTCAGGATAGGGTACTCTCTCCCTCTCTCAAGATGGAGGATTCAGAGTTAGAAACGTTTTCAAGGGGAAAACGGATTCAGGATGGTCCTGAGGATGGATAAGGGTGAGCTGCTCTAATAACAGCCGAAGAAAGAGCCGAACAGGAGCAGTTTGCGCGGATGATGGAGCAACAGGGGGTAGACAATTCCATGGGCAGTGACACTCTCGTGAGCGGGTTCGTACGCGCGATGGATAAAGGCAAACAGCCAGTTACGTTGTCTGTTCCATCTGAATACTATAGCCGGTTAATTTTCCCTCATATTTATCCTAATCAAGCGAGTCTCTGAGGTTGATGTCATCTAGATTACTCGCGTATTTCAGTCAAACTAGATCCCTCCGATCAAACTAGATCTAATTCTACTACAAGACCACTAGAGAGCTCATCGACCAGAGCTTGTATGAAGGAGAAGGCTCTACTAGAAGACGACAGGACTCATCTACTACAATTTGAGATTCGGTCCTCCAGAAGAGCAAGAAGATTCGACTAAATCTTCCTGAGATCGCTCGTGACTCTACTAGATCTATGAAGACTCTAATAGATACAACTATTAGACGAAGACTTGCTATTTTGTTTTTTGAGTTCTTGTGACAGACTTTTAGTTGCCTCTGCTAATGAAGAACTGTCTGAAAGTGACCACGACCGCTCTAGTGGGAACTCTTCTGATGGGCTACGGCTACCCTCAGAACGCCTTCCAAGTCAGCGTGGAGGTGGCGACCGCCTTCCAAGTCAGCGTGGAGGTGGGGACGAGCGCCTTCCAAGTCAGCGTGGAGGTGGGGACGAGCGCCTGCCCAGTAGGCGAAACGAAAGAACGAACGAGGACTACTCGAGTGCTTATGAAATATTGTATTCAAACCGCATGTAAAGGTCGTCTGCATAGTAGTAAAATAAACAAGGGACGTATACTTTGTAGTCGAATGAGCCTTCAGAGTAAAGATCTAGGGTGTATGGTATTCAAACTATTCAGAGCTCGAAGTCTAAAAATCGGTGAGCAGGATCCTAACCTCAAAGCAGTTGATGCAGTCAGCATAGTAGATGATATGTTTAATGGTTCTTGATGGTTCTCTCATCTTATATAATCGCATCCGTGTCAGGGATAGCTGAGTTATAAAGTAGACAGTACATCACTTTCTTGTTCAATTTCATGGACACTTTCAATTTCATGGACACTACAGCTATAAATTTGCTTCAGTACAACTAGTACTACACTTTCTCTTTCAATTGCATGGGTATTTGTTCGCTACAAAGCAAAGAGCAGATAGATGAACTTCAACTTTGAGACAGTATTGAGTACGCAAAGAAACTTCAACTTTCACTTTGCCAGTATCTATTGATCTACTGTCTGAGACGGTAGAAGTAGTACGATGAAGCAGCAAGAACATGCTTCAAGAAGTTTGACAGGAGTATACGCTCACTCAGTCATAAGTGAGCCTACTCCTATCCTATCCTATTCTTTGTATACTATAAGCAGAAACATGTGATGTCTAAAGAGAGAACGAAGGAAGCACGACCTTTCCCGGAAGCCGTATGCAGGAAGGCGAGCATCACACACTTGGCGGCTACTTATCTAGCATTAAGAAGCGGCTATTCGATGTCGAACTAGTAAAATGAAGATCGACAGGAACATCCTCATGTCCTACCCTTGTAACGAGTCGCTACTTGTTGACACTCTACTGTGAAGGATCCCCAACCTAACCTGACCTAACCTCCACAACTTGACACTCTAACCCTGGTGCTGCTTCCAGCGCGATCCCCTCATCGAGCGGTGGCGATCCCTCTATGTACTACTTCTTTGGCGGCAACAACGTGAATATTTTCTCCGACACAAGCGGAAGCGCGCATAGCAAATCATCAAGTAGCTGCATTAAGGCATGTGGTGGACGGTCGTCAAGTAGTTGTAGTAGTAGAGCATAAAGTTGTAATGAGGCGTGAAGTAGTTTTGAGGCATATCTAGCTGTAGATCGTTATCTAGCCGGTAGTCTAAGGAGAAGTGCTCGGGATGCCAATCGTCTAGAAGTACTATGAAGGCACATGGTAAATTCTCAAGTTTTACTAGGAAGGCGTGTGTTTGTACATCGACAAGAAGTACTCCAAGTCGGAAACCTGTCGAGTGAAAGAAATTGCAGAACCTCATTCTCCACTCTCTGCTAGCCTGCGGCACGACAGCCTTAACCTATACTAAACCTTCTGCCTACTTTACAGGCTTAAGCTATCCTATCCTATGCCTTTGATTTCTACACCTTTAATTTGTGCGAGCCTGCTACCTTGCGGCGTAAGGCACATACTGAACGCACCACCCCAGCACGACGAGCGTCTCGTGATAGGGAAATCCAGAGTACGGGTCCGAAACTTAAGGCGAATGAGATTCAATTCCTATCCTATCCTGTGCTTGGGTTATTACTTGTTGAGTTGTCCATCTTACTTACGGCACAACACAACCAAGAACAACTAATCTTATGTGCCTTTAGCCAAGGTAGGAGATGAGGCATCTTCGGTGTTCTTGACAAGTTGAGAGGCTGCCTTTCCAGATCTTTTTTGTTTCCCTGCTCTAATCCAGGCGATGCGCAGACGCGCTTGACGGGTAGGACGGATTTAGCGGGAAGGAATCTGTACACTCCACTTGGAGGTGAGGATAAAATCCCTTTTGTCACGCTTAAGGCCCTACACTCGATCAGCATCAGTATAACATTAAACACTATAATAACACACAATAAAACAGGGCAATTCTTTTTTTGTCTAAGGTCTACCTGTCTCTGTCTAAGGTCTCCCACACTATCTAACAGGATTAGAAATCTTACATTGTCTCAAGTTATAACTGGATTAGGAATCCTACATTGTCTTGTAAACTTGCCACTGCAGAGATGGCTGAGTGGATGACTACACCTGTGCGAGATTTATTGTGTTGTGTTGTATTTTATCAGAGGACCAGTTTCATGTAGTACGCGTGTTGTATTGTGTTGTTTTGTTATTGTATTGCGCTGTTTTGTTATTGTGTTGTGTTGTATTGTGTGTAAGGTAGTTCTCGAGCCTGTATCGTCCCAGACAAAGCGGCCTGGCCGCAGAGCTGCGGACCTTGAGCCTACGCCTAGGCCTAGACTACCAAGAATATGATATAATCATCAGCTAGTAGTGCCTGCTCGTGCTCTAATACTACGCCTCCTATCGGTGATACGCATACGCCTAGGTTTCCTCAGTTCGGAGGTGCGCGTAGTTTGTCTTCGACGCTTCGGGGTGACGTGGTTACTGGATATCAGGCAAGGATTGGACAGCAAACAATTGCCTACACCAGTCCTGGCATTAAGGCTCATGATGATCATGATATTTCAACTTGCACATCAAATGAATGACCATTTACATCTCCGGGAAGTTTTTACAACTTACTTTCTATGGATTAAGGGTAAGCTTCGTGAGTGGGTTTACTACTACTCCTACTTCCTGAGTAGAAGAATGAACTACTGATATTTGATCTTTTTTTTTTAGGATCATATTAAGTTTAAGTCTTTTGATGCATCTTGTAGACAATTCTCCTTCCACCTCTAACAAAAGTGCAAGTCCGCTGAAGAGTCGAGGAACCACACGAAGGAGTAATCGGCGTCTAGTGGTGGAGGATCCACAAACGGGCTTAGAAGTGGAAGCAGGAACCCTAAGCCCTCAGTCCCCTGCTCATAGTGGTGGTGAGACGAGCGATAAGTCGAATGAAGTCTAAAAACCACCCTTGTCGCTTATCCGTGGTAATGGGATAAGCGACAATGACAAGTCGAATGAAGGGTAACGTTGAGGCCTAATAACGTTGGGTGGATTGACGATTTAAGGTGAAGAATATTCCTGATTTAAGGTGAAGAATATTGATGATATAAGGTTGAAGTTGGATGAGGTTTAAGTGATTTTTGACGTTTCAGGGTGAGGGTTAATCGAACGAAGATTAAGCACGTTGTGTTCCGATTGAAGTAAAAGGAATGCTGACCGGTTATTAGGGACAATGGGGTTGTTTCGATTGTTGACACGTGTCGAGAGGATTGAATGGACTTGTATATGTTGGGTTTCCCCCTTAGAATTAGGTTTCTCTCTGTTTTTGATTCTCTCATGATTTCAGTAGTTAACTATTGACGATGAACCATTGGCATTGCTGTTGCTGCAAAGCTAACGAATTTGTTTCCATCAAGTCACTTTCCAAAGAATGAACTTCGAAAGATTTACCCTAGTCAACTGCAATCAATCATCATCAGGAAAGAGACCGCCACATCATCAGCAGAACAATACTAGCACTCCAGGTATATCAAAAATCGACTAGTTCTAAAAAGTAGAACACCAAGGCGTGATACTTAAAGATATTTTTTTAGATACTAGTACAAGTGTTTAGATACAAATTTTCAAGCGAAGATAAAAGAATTGATGACAATCTGTGTGGACAACTAGCAAGCTAACTCAAGAAGAACCTGTTTATTCTCATCAAGAAAGTAGACAAGAAGGTTTCTACTAAAAGAGCCATGACCTTCTGGCAGTCCTATACCGGACAGGACACCTGTGAGGACCTAGCCTTCATATGTTGTGTTTTTGTGCATCGGATAAGAGTCGAATACGGTTGTCTTATGTAGAACTCCATGTTCATGATCCACCGTACCGATACACTATGCCAGATGGTCTGCTACTGACTATGAGACAATGGATCGAAAAAGCCGCGTGTTTCACCTGCGTCGCAGGCTTCATAATTTCAGTACCTCTCTGTCCTCACGAGATTCCTCTCATGCGTAGAAAGATTTTCTGTAAAGAGTGTTTTGAACTGAGGAGTCTTTCGAGAGAATCTGTCATGCTGAGTGCATGTGAGAAATTTCAACATTGATCTGTCAAAAGAGCAATCGTTCTTCTCGTCTATGAAGAGAGAGACGACGTTAATCATCTGTGGACAAGAGGACAGGATGGCGACGCTTATTATCTGTTGAAGAGAGAGAGAGAGATCTTTCATCATCTGTGAAAAGAATGAGAAAGAGGAAGGTGGTTTTCTATTCAGTGACCTGAATCGCTAGCGTGAAGAGCCTCCATTACGATGACCTCCAATACCTCCACCTCTTCTCAACTCACATTTTCCCTCAACTCAATCTTTGTCCAGAAGACTCAACACATTATATGTTAACATTTTGTTTCCGTTTCCACCATCTACTGAAGATAGCCTTCCTTCATAATCATAATCTTCGTAGAGACCACATTAACTTCCCTTTACAAAATAAAATCTTCGTGCTGAATCTACTAGAAAGGTGTTGAAATTGAATTCTTGAGATAGGCTAAGATTTTGAAAAAATGGCGGACGCGGACGATGACGATGGCACTGTTGCCACCAGTGCCCAGGATTTCCCTGCCATCACGGCGATGACATTGGTACTGTGCCTTTTTTACAATTTGTGGAGAATGCTGGATGAAGTAAGTGTAGACACATAAAAACTAGCTATTTTTTCGACAAAAACAAGAACTCTGTCCTATTCAAGAAAAACCTATGCAACAACTATCGTGTCTTATTATTCATATCTCCACGTCCACTTGTTCCCACCACAAACCACGAACTATGTCCAATCTCTATCCCTATCGGAATCTGATAAGCGAACAGGCCAACGCCTAAGCCACTAAGCCAACTGCGCACTTATCAGAATCTACCAATCTAAACAACAGGGCCTCATAACGTATATTTGGTTTTTGTCGATGACCTCTGGGAAACTGGACGATGGAACGTACGATAAGCTAGGCCCGGCTATTCTGGGGAAATATGGTGGTGGTTGCAGGCAAATGTCTTACGATCTCTACTTCAGCGAAATCGCGTACTTCTATTTTTACTCTTTACTTTTTCTTTTGCAACATTTTCTTTCAAATACTATACTATTCCCTACTTCTTCCACTATCAGGGGCAACATTTTCTTTCAAATACTCTCATATTCCCTACTTCTTCCACTAATATTGCTGTTCTGGGTATTTTTACTCTTTTTTGAAGTGGCACTTCAAGTATAGTACTTTTTCCACTAATATTGCTGTTCCTTTTACTCTTGTGGTGCGGCTCTTTGACTCTTTTTTGAGGTGGCACTGGGTATCAGGGTATACAAGAGTTTGTTCAGGATGTGAAACGTGATGTAAGGCACAAAGTAGAAGTACTATCCAAAACCCACCAAACCAGGCACGGTTTCGCGACTCCCAATAGTGCAGTGTACGCGGTGAACGCAGTAGCCCTTATATTCTTCATGTTGTGGATAGAATTTGCATATCAGGCAAAAGCAACCTGCTTTCTGTTAGGCATTTGGTGGCTCTTGATGGTCTTGCAAGCGGTCGTAATGGACGTCATAGCCGGAAACAAAGGAAATGTCAAGATCCCGAGTGGAGGTACTACAACTAAGAATGTTTATGTTGCTAAGTCGAAATGGCTTAAGTAAGAAGTCTAAACCTAAAGCTGAATACTAGGTGAGGCACAGATGAAGAGTTTTCTGTGAGTATGTGATATTTGGGGAAAAAGCTTTGACATGTTCAATTATGTGCTTCCATCATGTTTGTGGTCCCATTTGACTATGCTCCTACACTGCACCTATCCCAACCTCAGGTCTCGGACTCTTCGTATTGCAAATGGCGATATGGCTACCGTGGCAGCGGTTCTTTGAAATTCGGGCAGTGCTTTATCCACCACTGACGAGAGAGGAAAAAAGAGCACAGGAGATACAGGACATTAGCGCAGAAGCACAGAAATTAGGGGTACAAAAATGTTTTTAATATTTAGTTAAGCTTCTACGTCTACCCGTTAGATTACAATTTCCAATCATTCGTAAATTACTGCTGGGTCTGGCATAGTACAACGGAACGTTATGTCCTCCTGAAATTCAAAAGAAACTCTTAATCCAATAACAAAAATACGTCATGTCTTTTTCTTTCTTGGATCATGTAAAACTTACTCCCTTATTCCAACAATCCAAAACCAATCTCTCAGGTAACGTACGAGATGCTGTATGCCATGGGCCTCCCGCAAGAAGGCATTGTGCAAGCGGACGCTAATAGGCGGAAGACAAAGCTAGAGGAGTACAGGATCATGAATAGGAAGACTGGAGGCGTGCTGTCAGAGCGCGATAGATTCCTACAGCGATGTCCGTATCCGAATACCTATATCGTCTGCCTGGTAACGGGAGTACCATTGGTGGCCCTTGCAGCGCAATATCTCATACTAGATGGGATTTCAGTCCAGATGAACATCGTGCCGGTTTTGGTACTTACAACTTCTAGGCTGAAAAGAGTGTTGATTTGAAAGACGTTTTGAGAAGTTCAAATTGGATGACCTCGATGAAAATGTAGTGCTCATTGCTTAAAATATAGTGATTCCTATGTTGGTTCGTAGGAAGGAGCTTCATAAATGACCCAAAGAACGTGGGCAACTTCTTCACTATGAAAACATTCTTGCATCATCAGACTATCATCCACCAAACCAGGTCGTGGGTGTTTTCGGCGCCATTTTCGGTTTGTGTCTCTTCATGATTCCCTGGGTCCGAAGAAAAGGCTTCCGCCACATGCCCCTGAAGAGGACGATTCTGGATTTGCAGGATGATAGTGACGATGACGACCTAGGCCACCAGATGAACACTCTCATGACCGCGAAAGTTAAGGCTTACAATAATTCATCTGAAGAAGCAGGAGCATCGTCGTTTTCTTTGAAGGGGAAGGGGAACGGGCAGCAAGATGCTCCCTTGCCCTAGCATCCTGATCCCGTTTTCAAAAGGAAAGAGGGACATTTCTCCTAGAAAGGTGAAAAAAGTCAAAAAATCAAAAAAGGAAAGAGACAACTAGAAAGGCCTTGGCTGATAATTAGTCGCTCGACGACTCAAAACTGACTTACTAATGAAAGCGCCTACAATCTAAACAGTTCATCACTCTTCATATTTCTCCTTAGTCGTTCGACGACTCAAAACCTATCTCCTCTAATAAAGGTACGGAAGCAGGAGATGACCAGGAAGCGCCGGATATCGGCGGAGAGTGGAACGCCAACGAGCAGTTGTTCCATCGGTACAACCACAATTTCATGTGTAAGTTGGCCTATTGCTGCTTCACGCTGGGCATCGCGACGTACGTGACAATCGCGCAACGAGCACAAATTGGAGCAAGGTTCCATTAATCAGAAGATGATCTTAAGAGTTAGATTAATCTTTAAGGAGAGGAGTAGTGTGGAAGGCCTGACTATAAGGAATGAGTGTGGAAGCAAGGTTCCACTAATCTTTAAGGAGCAAGGTTCCATCCATCTACTTGAGAACGACGATCTACTTAAGAGTAGTGTGGAAGGCCTGACTATAAGGAATCCTGTTAGCGAGGTTCAGCTGAGAACATGAGGTGGAACTAGTTGTAGGGTGGAACTAGTTGTAGAGATAGGTAGGGCCTTAAGAGGTAGGTAGTGGACTAGTAGTAGAGATGATCGTGTTCTTGTACATGGGAGAATAACTAGAAGGTAGTTGTAGTTAATCTTCTATATTGAGTTAACATAGGTCAGTGAGAAGAGATGCTTTCCTGGTGAAGTCTTTCTTACTGAATTAATTCAACCGGATTTTTCTTACATAATTGCAGTCATCAAGTGGAAATTTTAAGTAGTAACCATTTAAGTAGTAACCAACACATATTGTTGTATCAAAGGAATAGAACATGAACAAGTCAAAAACTCATAGAAATTGTCTGATAACACGCAAAGAAACTGGAAGTGACTCACACACTATGAAATTTCGCATACACACAGGATAATGTTCGGATACTGCAAAACACAGTAGAGTATACTGAGTATACTTACAGCCACCATGCAGTACCATGGAGTGATAGTATTTCTCGTCCTAGCGATCAGCTAACCAAGTTTAGAAGTAGTAGCGTTACGCCAGTGGAGTCTAAGTGTACAAAGTAGCAACTACGTACCAGTAAATTTGGGTTTTTATGACTGTAGTGGATCTAAGTCTAACGCACGGACAAGTATTAGTAGGCACCAGAGTAGTCAGTATCGTCGGAAGTACCAGAGCTAGACGTCGACTGTATTTTCATTTTTGGTATTGGTGTAAACAAGTCTGTATATCTGCTTTTGCGAGCAAGTAGATTTCTCCGCTGTGTCGTGCAGGTGGGGCGATTGTGACCCTGCGCGATCAGAAAAAAGATGCAGATTGAGCATTGACTCCGAAAGGAGAATGGAAGATCTGAAAAAATGTTGGGGAGGACTGCGACTGTGCGGGAGGCAATCGCAGTGCGAAATTCATAATTATTCACATGTGTTCTCCGGCTGCCTGTAACACCTGGAGTAGTCGCGGCGTAGCATTTCTGATCTGCTAGAGACCAACTGCCACTTGACGAAAAGATCTATTATCCGAGAGAAGCTTCTTGCTAAGACAGAGTTTGGCGGTAGTGATTGAGAGGTGCTGGCTGCAGTTTTATTCTTGAACTTCAAGGTATGGCGTCTTTCTTACTAGCTAGTAAAGGCGAGAGTCCTCGAGAGATCCTGAGAGAAGGCAGTCGTTGTAGAATGAAAGCAATGTGAAAAAGTGTGTTCTCGTTATAATTGCAGCACAAGTGGGTTGTTAGTAGCTCCTAATATAGAGACTTTTTTATCGAGACTTTTTTTTCGTAAACGAGACAACAAGATCAAACTGGCGAGAGTGAGAGACTTACAGCAAAGGTGCTTTCTGTCGTCAATGCAAATTCTGAACGAGAGAGCGAGTGCCAGCATCGTAGTATGCTTGTCGAGTTGTATTTCAAGCACTTTTTAGATAACACACTGTATTTTTCTACTTGATTTGTTTCTGAATAGGTAGGGCACTGCATTTTGGACCTCATAGATACTAGGATATTGTTGGGCTGGAGACTTACGGCACAACACACTTGATGAAGGTTACCACTGTGTTATGATTGAGTTCACCCACTGAGATCTGTTTACGAGCGATACATTTTTCAGGTTGTCAACGAGAGTGCACGGACGAAAAAACCGATAGAAGGCTGATTTGCAGAACCTTGTTGAGTGGCTTTTTTCTTTTATAGATTATACCGAGTTACGTAAAGCAAAAACATCATATTGGTCCGTCCATCCTTATCCTTTCCACCAAACTGACTCAACATCACAAACTGACTCAACATGACAATCACAAAATCCTCCAAAAACCTCATAGCTTTTTTCGAAAGAAATAATGTCGTAGAGCGCTCGTTAATTTTTCTCGTTACTTTTCGACCGTTCACTATAGTTTGTAGTGTTGAGAGACTCAGATTTTTATAGTTTTTTCATGATTGTTTGAAATATTTGACTAGTATATATTCACTATCTTCAGAATCTTATGAGTATTTAGGCTTCTTATCGAGTTTAATATCTATTGTATCTTCTTCGCTGTCAGTAGGGATTTCTTGTATTTGTAATAATTCTTGTTAAGAGTTAGATTATTCATTAAAAAAATTGGATCATTTTCGTCGAGTCGTTCTCTATCCTGTTGTGGTGCTATTCGTTCCTGTTCTGACAGGCACAACAGTGATTTGCTTGCTTTCCCGCGTGCACTCGAGCAGGATGAGCGTTAGAAAGGTACTAGCGATTGATGTTGCTATAAGGCGCAGCTTCAAGAGACCAGCACTGCGTAAGTAGTTTTACCGTAGGCCAAAAGAATGCAAATTTCATGTCTGTTATTAATCATTTCCTATTTCTCCATCGTCGATTCTGAAAAATCTAACTATTCTTCTTATGCTAAACGAAATATAATCCTTTTGTCCCTCTACGACTACAGGTGGTCTTGACTGCTTCGGCGGCCTAGATGGAGACCGAACCCGGGGATGGCCCCGGCAGCGCCGGGCCTGCAGTTGCAGGAGGGGCGGGAATAAATTTTTTGCAAATAGGCGGGAGCAGCTCCTCTCGGAGCCGGACGTGGCGGAAGGATGATGAGGAAGCCTACAGAAGAACTTCTGATGAAGAGTGTTCATCAGTTGCTTCTTGTAGCAGGTCTTCAACTTCTACAGAGCAAACAGCAGAGGATGTGAAGTCCTGTGATGTCTTAGGGGGTGGGAGCTTCGACGAATGTAGTACTAGAAATAGTCTAGTAGGAAAAATAGCGTCATCGCGAGTGAGAAGACGCGATGGCAGCTTTGGCGACTCCCCAGGGTCAAGAGTAAAAAGAAGAAAAAGGAGAAGGAAACAACAAAATAGCGCAAGGTGTGGCAGCACCGGTCGCAGTATGGAGCAAGATGACGCAGACAATGATCATGATCATAGCAGGACTTCTAGTAGCGCGTGGCAGCGCGTGAAAGAAGTAGGAGTTGAAGACCGACGCTGCAGGCGGCGTTGTAGAACAAGCGCTCGTTCTAGAAAATCGAGCGACATAGAACAATGTTCGCGACCACCAGATCATGAAGAACAGTGGTCCAAAAATAGCAAGAACCACAGAACCTCATTTTCCCAGAAGAACTACTCCCGCAACAACAACAACAACAACAACAACAACAAGAGTTTCTTCTCCTTCCTCCCAACGACCACCATGACCTTCTATTTTTTCCTCTATTCCTTTTTCTACCTCACGGTGACGAACGCCTTCGTGCTGATTTCCCGAGTGGGGGAAATTTCCCTGTTGGGTCCCGTAGATATTGATCCTAGGAATGAGGTGCAACCACAAGTTAGCTTCCGTTTTAACGGGCAGAGAACGTGGAGCATCTATAGAAACCCGGGACGTAGTGAGGACGACTTACAGAAAGGCGCTTTGGTCATTGCGAAGGAAACTTCGGTACTAGCATAATTATATTATAATTTCAAGATGTTGAAATTGAAAATGTACTGTTTGAGACTTGTAGATTTTGATTCCTTGAAAGTAAGTGTCGTGTTTCTCTGGACGAGTCTTGCTTGCTTTTGATCTTGAGAGCGAGAAGCACTCCTAGTTTGTTGGTCGTTGAGAGTAGGATGTTTTTCTATCGAGGAGAGACTTCAAAAATTTCAGTTTTTTTTTAGAGTTGTGATCCACGCCCAGCAGCAAGAATTGTAGAATTATACTGTTTCCACTTTCTTCATCTTCTCGTTCACATTCTCTCTCATCTTTCCCACCTCTCATCTTTCCCATTTTTACCCTCTCATCTTTCACTCTCGCACAGGTCGACGGCGGCCCCAGTGAGAAGGAGGATTATATCACGCTGAAGAGCAGCGACGAGGAGATCCTCTTCTGGACTAAACTGAGTGTCACAGACGCGGTGAACCTCGGAAAAAGTCTGTCCGTGAACAGCGACTCTAGACTCGCTGGCAGAACCACTATTGGCGCTCCGCAAGTCGCGTCTGACACCAGTGCGGGCACCGTGGTGGCGAACAAGCTCTCAGTGGCGCAGGAGACGGTGTTCGGCGACAAGTTGTCAGTCCGACAAATGGTGAAATTGGGTTCAATCTTGTCCGTGTTCGGGGACGGCTTCTTCGGCGCGGGCATGAGCGTACGACAATTCGTCATGTTTGGACACCGACTTTCCGTCTTCAACTTCGTCTCCTTCTCGTCCAGTTTCTCATTGAGATACTTCGCACGATGCGGATCGAACCTCTCAGTGTTCCACTGGGCACGGTTCGGCAGTGCAATGTCAGTGTTGGGCTTCACGCAACTGGCGAGTTCCCTGTCCGTGACGGCGTTTACGCGGTTGGGAGGAAATTTGTCCGTGTTCTGTAAGGGTATTCTGGGCAGTAGCCACAGTGTGCTAGACTTCGTCTCCATGGGCAGTTCACTGTCGATCCGTCAGTACCAACGATGTGGTAGTTCCTTGTCGATGTACGGCATTTCGCGAATGGGATCTATGCTCTCAATTCTGGACTACATCAGTTGCGGCAGCACGATCTCAGTACGTGGTTTTGCGCGATACGGAAGTAGCATGAGTGCCTATGGGCTGTTGAGAATGGGCAGTGTTCTGTCCCTGCTGGACGTGTGCTACATCGGCAGTGTTTTTTCGCTCCGAAGTTTCGGTCGTGTAGGAAGTAGCTGCAGTATCTACGGAGTGACGCGAATTGGAAGTTCGCTGTCGGTACTCGACTTCGCTTCCATGGGTAGTGCGCTGAGTTTGCGCGCCTATTGCCGTATCGGAAGCGGTGCGTCCTGCTACGGGATGATGCGGTTAGGCAGCAACTTATCGATCCTAGACTTCGTGCACATTGGTTCTGCCCTGTCAATCCGCAGCTACGCACGTATCGGACTGACCATGAGTGTCTACGGTCTGGCGCAGTTGGGCTCTACACTGTCGATTCTGGACTTTGCGCACTTTTCGAGTAGCATGTCAGTGAGAAACTTCCAGCGATTGGGCAGCACGATGAGCCTCTATGGAATGGGCTTCTTAGGATCCGCGATGTCCGTGTTGGATTTCGTTTCCTTCGGTAGCTCCATCACTTGTCGTGCGTTCGCCAGACTGGGATCGACCTGCTCTGTCTACGGCTTCTCGAAGATCGGGAGCTCACTGTCCGTGTTGGACTTCTTCAGCATCGGCAGTAGTATGAGTTCACGATCCTTCGCGCGATTGTCCTCCAGTTGCAGTGTGTTCGGACTGACGAGACTGGGCAGTGGACTCTCCTTGCTGGATTGCAGCTCGTTGGGCAGCAGCATGTCTCTGCGGTCCTTTCTGCGTGCTGGGTCGATCATCTCCGTGTACGGCATGACGCGCATTGGATCGCTGATGTCTGTTCTGGACTATGCTCATTTCGGCAGCAGCGTTTCGATCCGCAACTTCGTGCGCGTCGGGAGTTCCACTTCCGTCTTCGGAAACACGCGCGTCGGCAGCTTCGTGTCCGTAGCACAGCAAGGCTACTTCGGGTCCAGTGTGTCGGTGACGACTTTTGTGCGTTTGGGCTCCGCGTTGTCAACTTTCGGTGTAGCGCGGTTTGGAAGCTCATGCTCGATTCTCGACTTCACCCACATTGGAAGTTCGTTGTCGTTGCGCAGCTTCGTGCGTCTGGGAAGTAGTTTCTCAGTGTACGGCTTGACGAGACTGGGAAGTAATTTGTCGATCCTGGACTTTGTGAACATGGGAAGCAGTTTGTCGCTAAAAAGCTACGTGCGTATCGGTAGTTCGCTTTCCGTCTACGGTGTGGCGTCTCTTGGATCCGCGTTTTCGATCCTGGATTACGCGAGCATAGGCAGCACGATCAGCGTCCGATCCTTGGCTCGGCTAGGATCCTCCATGTCGCTGTACGGTCTGTCCAATTGCGGTTCCAGTCTATCCGTTTTGGACTTCATGCAGGCAGGCAGCAGTATGAGTGTGCGCACGTGCACGAGACTCGGCGTCATGCTCTCTGTGTTTGGAATGACGCGCTTCGGCAGCGCTCTGTCGCTGTTGGACTGCGGAAATATTGGTTCTGCGACCAGTCTGCGTAGCTTTCAGCGACTGGGCAGTTCGCTTTCCGTCTTCGGAGTATCATTCGTCGGCAGCTCATTGTCCGTCTTAGACTTCGTAGGATTCGGTAGCGGCGTTTCCGTGCGCACCTTTGTGCGATTAGGCTCTAGCTGCTCAGTGTACGGCTTCGTGCGACTTGGGTCGGCAATGTCAGTCTTGGATAGCACCAACTTCGGAAGCTCAATGTCTATCCGACAGTTTTTGCGAGTCGGACGATCGGTTTCGGCTTACGGACTAGCACGACTGGGCTCCAGCTTGTCCGCCTTGGACTTCGTCACGATGGGCAGCTCCATGAGCTTGAGGGCCCTGGTCAGATACGGCTCATCAATGAGTGTCTACGGCGCAGCCAGACTAGGATCCACGCTCTCAGTCTTGGACTTCGTGCACATTGGAAGCAGCTTCTCTGCGAGAACGTTTTCGCGGGTCGGGTCCTCACTTTCCGTGTTCGGAGTCGTGCGTTTGGGATCTGCGATTTCTGTGCTAGATTTCTGCACGTTCGGTTCCGGCATGAGTCTCCGATCCTACGCACGATTAGGCAGTTCTATGTCCTTGTACGGCTTTGCACGGTTTGGAAGCGGCTTCTCAGTGCAAGACATGGCGTCTCTGGGTAGCTCGTGCTCAGTCCGAAAGCTCGCTCGATTAGGATCTTCGCTTTCGTCGTACGGAGTCACGAGATTGGGCAGCTGCTTGTCCGTGCTGGACTTCGCGCAGATGGGCAGCAGCATGTCGTTGCGAAGCTTTGCTCGTATGGGCAGCAGCATCTCGCTGTTCGGCTGCGGCCGTATTGGATCGAGCATGTCCGTGTTGGACTTCGCGTGCTTGTCCTCGTGCTGCAGTGTGCGATCCTTCACCCGAAAAGGAGGAGCACTCTCTGTCTACGGATTAGGGCTTTGCGGCAGCAACTTCTCGTTGCTAGATACCATCACAATTGGTAGTTCGCTCTCGTGCAGAACTTTCGCACGACTTGGTAGCAGTTGCTCCATTTACGGAATCACGCGCATGGCCTCTGGCCTGTCAATGCTTGATTGCGCATCAGTCGGGAGCTCCTTCTCCGTGTCGCGGTTTGCACGCGTTGGTAGCTCCTTGTCGGTGTTCGGTATCGCCAGACTCGGATCCGCATTGTCCGTATTGGACTTCGTGTCGCTCTCGTCCGGCGTGTCCATTCGTGGCGTCGTGCGATTGGGTTCCACGCTGTCGCTCTACGGCTTAGGACGATTCGGAAGCGGCATGTCCATCCTGGACTTCGCGACCTTCGGTAGCAGCTTCTCCCTGCGATCCTTGGCTCGTATGGGAAGCGCAATGTCGCTCTACGGCGCAGCAAGACTGGGAGGCTCGATGTCCGTGCTCGACTTCGTGCATCTAGGAAGTGGAATGTCCTTGCGATCCTTCTTCCGGTTGGGCAGCAGTATGTCGCTTTTCGGCATCGCGCGATTTGGAAGTGCGATTTCCGTTATCGATTTCGTGAACTTCGGATCCGCGTTTAGTATTCGTAGTTACACCCGCATTGGATCCTCCCTGTCCACCTACTACTTGGCACGCATTGGTAAGGAGCTTTCGGTCCTGGACAGCTCGCATTTGGGGAGTTCGCTGTCCTTGCGATGCTACGCGCGAGTGGGAAGCGCACTATCCGTATTTGGTCAGGGACGCTGCGGATCGGCCATGTCGCTTTTGGACATGATGTCGTTGGGCAGCGCAATGAGCTGTCGCGGATTCGTCAGGCTCGGGTCGGCACTCTCTATCTTCGGTGTCGCGCGCTTGGGCTCTAGCTTGTCCTTGCTGGACTTCATCAGCATCGGATCTGCTTTGAGTATCCGCATGTTGGGGCGTATGGGCAGCAGTCTTTCGATTTACGGATTCTGCAAGTGCGGTAGTAGCGTGTCAGTCCTGGACTACATCTCCTTCGGCAGCTCATTGTCTGTGAGAAACTGCGCAAGACTAGGAAGCTCATTGTCAGTCTACGGATCCAGCCGACTGGGATCAGCGTTGTCAGTCCTCGACTACGTGATCCTTTCTAGTGCCTTTTCGTGCCGCAGCTTCTTGCGACTAGGTTCTAGTCTCTCGACCTTCGGCGTTCACCGTCTAGGATCAAGTCTGAGCACTCTGGACTATATCGCATTCGGAAGTTCGCTGTCCCTCCGATCCTTTGGCCGTCTCGGTTCGAGTCTGTCCGTCTACGGTCTTAGCCGACTTGGCAGCAGCTTTTCGCTTACCGACTACGCACACATGGGCAGCAGCTTCAGTCTGCGATCGTTCGCACGACTTGGATCCACATGCTCCCTGTACAGTTTCGGCATGTTGGGTTCCAGTCTGTCGCTGCTCGACTACGCGTCCTTCGGCAGTGCCATTTCGATCAGGAACTTCTCTCGTGCAGGCTCCTGTATGTCGCTCTACGGCATCGGGCTTCTGGGAAGCGCCATGTCCGTCCTGGACTACGTGAGCATCGGAAGTAGTATCTCTTTCCGTTCCTTCGCACGTATGGGAAGCGCATTTAGCGTTTACGGAATCACCCGGTGCGGCAGCAGCGTCTCCGTTCTAGACTACATCGAACTCGGCTCGTCTCTGTCGATTCGTTCCTACACGCGAGTTGGTTCCACGATCTCCGTGTTTGGTGTGATGAGACTTGGTAGCGCCTTTTCCATCTTGGATTGGTGCATGTTCGGTAGTAGTTTGAGTCTCAAGTCCTTCAGTCGATTCGGATCCAAGCTATCCGTGTACGGCGTGTCGCGATTGGGATCTTCGATCTCCATTCTCGCGTTTTACACTTTGGGCAGCAGCATGAGTGTCCGGTCTTTCTGCCGATACGGGTCCGCTTTGTCGGTCTACGGAATGTCGCGGTTAGGATCTGCGCTTTCCGTCCTCGACTTCGCGCACATGGGTAGCACTGTTTCCCTGACCTCCTTTGCGCGTCTCGGATCGGGTATGTCGATCTACGGTTTGGCCAGGTTTGGATCGTCGCTGTCCGTATTGGATTACACCAGCATTGGTAGCGCACTCTCCATGCGAACGTTCACGCGATTCGGTAGCAGCTTTTCGCTCTACGGAATGGGACAGCTAGGTTCTTGTCTATCGACATTGGATTTCGTGCACTTAGGTTCGTGCGCATCCGTCCGTGCTCTATCCAGACTAGGCAGAAATTTATCCGTCTACGGATTAACGCTTCTTGGTTCCTCGATTTCCGTTTTAAATTACGTGGCAATGGGCAGCGGCTTGTCCGTGCGTTCGTTTCTACGAGCAGGAAGCGCCACCTCGATCTATGGTATTGCGCGTCTCGGTTCCGCAGTTTCGTGTCTTGACTACGTCAGCTTCGGTTCCGCCATTTCCGTCAAGTCGTTCTGCCGCTTCGGTAGTGGATTGAGTGTGTACGGAACTGCGAGAATGGGATCCGCTTTTTCGATCTTGGATTTCCTCCATCTCGGCTCCTCACTCTCAATGCGGAGTTACACGAGGTTAGGATCCAGTTTCTCGGTCTACGGATACGTCAAACTAGGCAGTTCCTGCTCAGTCTTGGACTACGTCTTCGCGGGCAGCAGTCTTTCTTTGCGAAGTTACGTGTACTTCGGCAGCAGTCTGTCAGCCTACGGTGCCCTGAACATGTGCTCAAGTCTGTCGATCCGTAGTTTCGTCCGCTGCGGTTCCAGCTGCTCCGTCTACGGTATCGCACGACTCGGATCTAGCGTCTCCATCTTGGACTACGTCTCACTAGGAAGTTCGCTTTCGATGAGGAGTTACACGCGCTTGTCGAGTTCCATTTCGGTGTACGGAACAACCAGATTAGGGTCTGCGTTGTCTGTTCTCGATTACGTCCACTTCGGTTCCGATCTGTCGTTGCGTTCCTTCCTGCGGCTCGGCAGCACGATTTCCGCAATGGGCTTGTGCCGCCTGGGTTCAGTTTTGTCCCTCGTGGACTTCGTGAACTTCGGTTCCAGTTTGTCGTGCCGATCCATGTGCCGATTGGGTAGTTCGCTGTCCGTGTACGGAATGGCGCGCTTGGGGTCCAACGTGAGTATCCTGGACTACGTAAACTTCGGTAGTGCCATGTCGCTGCGTGGCTTCTACCGAATGGGCAGTGCGCTCTCCGTCTACGGACTATCCCGTATCAGCTCAGCAATGTCTGTTCTAGACTTTGTCAGCATCGGAAGTTCGCTCTCGACCCGCAGCTTTACGCGAGTGGGCAGCGCGATGTCCACCTACGGCCTGATGACATTGGGGAGTTCCGTGTCCGTGTTGGACTACTTCTCCTTGGGAAGCAGCATCTCTATTCGGAGCTATTGCAGGTGCGGCTCGTCGTTGTCCGTTTACGGTACGATACAGATCGGCAGTGCTCTGTCTATTTTGGACACAGCGTGCGTCGGGAGCTCGCTGAGTATCCGCAACTTCATTCGGCTGGGAAGCTCTCTGTCCGTCTACGGCGTGACGCGTCTAGGAAGCAGTTGCTCCGTGTTGGACTTCGTGTCAATCGGCTCGACCATTTCGGTGCGCAGTTTCGCACGACTCGGATCCAGTCTTTCCGTCTACCAGATGCTGCAACTAGGAAGCGGCATTTCAATGCTGGACTTCGTCTCTCTCGGCAGCACGTTGTCGATTCGTTCGTTTACACGATTAGGCTCTGCCACCTCCGTTTTCGGCATCTCCAAGATGGGCAGTTCTCTATCGGTGTTGGACTTCATTACACTGGGCAGTTCGCTCAGCATGCGGTCGATGGCGCGGCTCGGATCGGCGCTGTCCGTCTACGGAGTGAGCTACTTGGGAAGCACAATGTCCTTGCTGGACTTCGTAAGCTTCGGATCCGCGATTTCAGTGCGCTCTTTCGCGCGAATGGGCAGTTCTATGTCGATCTTCGGAATCGTCCGAATGGGCTCTCAGGTCTCGATATTGGACATGTGCTCGCTCGGAAGCAGTTTTTCGTTGCGGTCCATGATGCGCTTTGGATCTACTTTGTCCGTGTACGGCATGACCCGATTCGGCTCCATGATGTCCATCTTGGACATGTTCCATTTGGGCAGCGCGATGTCAGTGCGAACGATCATGCGCTTAGGCAGTTCTACATCGCTGTTCGGACTTGGACGATTAGGCAGCACTTTATCGATCCTCGACATTGTCGGCATTGCTAGTTCGCTGTCCGTGCGATCGTTCCACCGCATCGGATCGAGCCTCTCCGTTTTCGGTGTGGCGAGATGCGGATCATCGCTTTCCGTTTTGGACTACGTGCTTCTCGGATCGAACTTGTCAGTCCGCTCCTTCTCGCGTATCGGATCTAGTATGTCGATCTGCGGGTTGGCAAGACTCGGATCGTCGCTGTCCGTGTTGGACGTCATCTCCCTTGGGAGCGCGTTTTCGACACGACGCTTCTTTCGTCTCGGCAGCACGATGAGTGTCTACGGTTTGACCACCTTCGGATCCTCACTCTCCGTGTTGGACAGCGTGCAACTCGGCAGCGGCTTGTCCGTACGAACGTTCCTGCGTGTGGGCAGCGCACTGTCGCTGTACGGCCTGTCGCGATTGGGAAGCAGTTTCTCAGTGTTGGATGCCATCTACGCTGGTTCTACACTGTCGCTGCGTTCCGTCATGCGATTCGGTTCCTCCGTCTCCGTTTTCGGATTGACGCGTTTGGGAAGCACATTGTCGATTCTCGACACAGTCTCAGTTGGCAGCACCCTTTCTCTGCGCTCTTACGCACGCATCGGAAGCACATGCTCCATCTACGGCATGTGCTTGCTCGGAAGCAGCGTCTCCATTGTGGACGCGTTCTTGCTGGGTTCCAGCATGAGTCTGCGTTCCTTCTCGAAGCTTGGATCTTCGGTTTCGCTCTACGGCATCGCCAGCATGGGTAGCAGCATCAGTTTGTTGGACTACGTGCACATTGGTTCTGTTCTCAGTTGCCGAAACGTGATGAGACTGGGCTCTACGTTGTCCATCTACGGAATCACGCGATTGGCTAGTTCTCTCTCTATCCTAGACACGGGATACGTGGGCAGCACGTGCTCTCTGCGTAGCTTCATGCGGTTGGGCAGTGCCTGTTCTTTGTACGGCATTGCACGAGTCGGAAGTTCGATGTCAATCCTCGATTTCGCGATGATCGGATCAAGTCTCAGTATCCGTTCCTTGTCGCGATTCGGCAGCAGTTACTCCGTCTTCGGTGCGGTCCTCTTGGGAAGTAGCTTTTCCTTGTTGGACTTCGCGCACTTCGGTAGTAGTATCTCCATGCGTGGCTGCTCGCGTCTCGGTAGCGCGTGCTCCGTGTACGGAATGACCCGTATTGGTTCTCAACTGTCGATTTTGAACTACGCAAACTTCGGTAGTGCGCTCTCTATGCGTTCTTTCGTGCGCATCGGGTCCAGTTACTCAGTCTACGGTCTGGTCCGATTCGGATCCAGTCTTTCCGTCTTGGACCGAGTCAGCCTGGGAAGTTCGTTCTCGTTGCGAACGATGATGCGATTGGGCTCTAGTGTGTCCATTTTCGGTATCACCAAGTTGGGTTCCAGCGTCTCCATTTTGGACTACGTGTCCTGCGGTAGCAGTCTGAGCACACGCGGGTTCGGCCGTCTTGGCAGCGCAGCCTCCATCTACGGCATGTGCCGCTTGGGCAGTCAGCTGTCTGTGCTCGACTTCATCAACTTCGGGAGCAGCTGCAGTTTCCGCGGCTTCATGCGTCTGGGCAGCTCGATCTCGATGTACGGTTACGCTTCCCTAGGTTCAGCTTTGTCTGCACTAGATTTCGTGCACATGGGCAGCAGCTTGAGTCTCCGATCCTTCGCGCGACTCGGTAGCTCGCTTTCCGTCTACGGGTGCAGCTACTTGGGAAGCAGCGTTTCCGTGCTCGACATGCTGCAGATCGGAAGTTCGCTCTCCGTGCGTTCCTACATGCGCTTGGGCAGCAGTTACTCCGTCTACGGCATCGTCCAGATGGGGAGTTGCATCTCGCTTCTAGATGCTTCGTCCTTAGGCAGTTCGCTCTCTCTCCGCAGCTTCTGCCGCATGGGCAGTTCTTTGTCGCTCTACGGAATCTGTAAGTTGGGAACGTCTCTGTCCACGGTGGACTACATCACGACTGGTTCAGCGTTCTCTGTGCGTTCCTTCTGCCGCGTCGGATCTAGTCTCTCCGCGTACGGAACCATCCGCTGCGGCAGTCAGTACTCACTGCTGGACTTCGCATCGCTGGGCAGCTCACTGTCGCTGTGCAGCTTTGCACGCTTCGGTTCGAGCTACAGCGTTTACGGAACAGTCCGTCTCGGCAGCCAATTTTCCCTCCTAGACAGCGCGTTCTTGGGCTCTAGCTTCTCGACGCGTAGCTACGCACGATTTGGCAGCAAGATCTCGGTCTACGGATGTCACAGACTCGGATCGTCCTTGTCCGTCTTGGATTTCGTGCAAGTGGGATCGAACTTGTCGTTCCGTAGTTTCTGCCGTATGGGCAGCAACGCGTCCTTCTTCGGAATGGCCTTGTTAGGAAGCATGGTCTCTGTCCTCGACTACGGTTTCTTCACCTCGTCGCTCTCCGTGCGTATGTACTCGCGTATCGGAAACGGCTTGTCCGTGTACGGCTTAGCCAGGCTAGGTTCCGCTTTGTCCGTGCTGGATTACATCATGCTGGGCAGTGGGTGTTCGATCCGCAGCTTCACGCGTATCGGGAGCAGCATCTCCGTTTTTGGCGCGACGAAGTTGGGCAGCAATTTATCGGCGCTGGACTTCTTCATCCTGGGTTCGAGCATGTCGCTGCGTAACTTCTACAGATCCGGCAGTGGCTGTTCCGTCTACGGATTCTGCAAGTTGGGATCATCGAATTCCATTTTGGACTTCATCAACGTCGGTAGCTGCTTGAGTTTGCGGATGTTCTCCAGGCTAGGTAGCAGCTTCTCGCTGTACGGCATCACGAAGATGGGATCCTCGCTTTCTGTACTCGACAGCTGCGCCATCGGCTCTTGCTTGTCCGTACGAACGTTCACGCGTCTTGGCAGCAGCTTGTCGCTGTTCGGCATGTCCAGACTAGGCTCCGTGCTGTCGGTTTTGGACACCGTGATGGTCGGCAGTTCCTTGAGCGTCCGCAGCTTCGTGCGGCTGGGCAGCTCGCTGTCGGTCTTCGGTGCCACACGATTGGGCAGCATGATGTCAGTGCTCGACTTCATCAACTTCGGCAGCACGACGTCTTTGCGAAACTTCATCCGACTGGGCAGCTCTTGCTCTGTCTTCGGGGTCACACACCTCGCGAGCGGCATGTCCGTGTTGGATTACCTAGCACTAGGATCCGCGATCTCTGTGAGAAACTACGCTCGTGTTGGCTCTACGTGCTCCGTGTACGGCATGGTGCGCTTCGGCAGCTCAATGTCTCTTCTGGACATGTTGCAGATCGGCTCTGCATTGAGTCTTCGTAATTGGTGCCGATTGGGCAGCTCTTGCAGCGTCTACGGCATTTGTCGCACAGGTTCCTGCATCAGTCTGCTGGACTTCGCGCACTTCGGAAGCTCGATTTCTCTCCGTAGCTACGGCCGACTCGGAAGCGCGCTCTCCGTCTACGGCATGTCTCGATGCGGGAGCAGCTTTTCTCTGCTAGACTTCGCGCACTTCGGCAGTGGCATGTCGCTTAGAAACTTCCTGCGCCTCGGAAGCTCGCTGTCAGTCTACGGAGTGACAAGAGTGGGATCCAACTTCTCGATCTTGGACTTCCTCACGCTTGGTAGCGGAATTTCTCTGCGAAACTTCCTCAGACTCGGAAGTTCGATTTCGATTTTCGGACTCACGCGAATGGGCTCCAGTCTTTCGACCCTAGACCTCGTGAACCTGGGATCGAGTATGTCCTTGCGTAGCTTTTCGCGCCTCGGATCGTCCCTGAGTGTCTTCGGCATGTGCCGCTTGGGCAGTTGCTTCTCAATCTTAGATACTACGCAGATCGGCAGTTCAATTTCAGTGCGCAACTTCGCTCGATTGGGCTCCAGCTTGTCGGTCTTCGGCATGGCAAGGCTAGGATCCTCTCTGTCCTTGATCGACACAGTAGCGATTGGCAGCTCTTTGTCTGCCAGGTCGTTTGCGCGCTATGGAAGCTCCATGAGCGTGTACGGCATGGTCCGTCTCGGCAGCTGCTTTTCAGTTCTAGATGCAACGCAACTGGCGAGTTCGATGTCATTGCGCTCGTGGGCGCGATTGGGCAGTTCTTTGAGCGTCTTCGGCATCGCACGTCTGGGCAGTCAACTCAGTGTCTTGGACTGCGTCGAAGTTGGATCGAACTTGAGTATCCGTAATTTTGCGAGACTCGGCAGCTCCTTGAGTATCTTTGGCATGACGCGAATTGGCAGTTGTATGTCGCTTTTGGACATGCTCACTTTGGGCAGCTCATTTTCCGTGCGTAACTTGGCTAGACTCGGTAGCAGTTGCAGTGTCTACGGCATCGTGCGCTTCGCCAGTTGCTGCTCGATCCTTGATGCGGTCCAACTAGGTTCGACGCTGTCGATGCGCAACTGGTGCAGACTAGGATCGTCGCTGTCGGTCTACGGCATGTGTCGAATGGGCTCCCAAATGTCGCTCTTGGACATGCTGACCTTAGGCAGCAGCGTGTCTCTGCGCAAAATGTGCCGTCTCGGCAGCTCCCTGTCCGTCTACGGTATGTTCCGATGCGCCAGCAACATCAGTTTGCTGGACTTCATGCACATTGGCAGCAGTTTGAGTGTGCGGTCGTACATGCGGTTGGGCTCTTCCGTCAGTGTCTTCGGCATCACACATCTGGCGAGCAACGTATCCTTGCTCGACTGCCTGCAGCTCGGCAGCTGTCTCTCCGTTCGCACGTTCACGCGCCTCGGAAGCTCCGTCTCCGTCTACGGCATCGGAAACTACGGTAGCGCGATGTCGGTCTTGGACTTCGTGCACCTCGGCTCGGCTCTGAGTGTGCGCAGCTCCTGCCGTCTGGGCAGCACACTGTCGGTGTACGGAACCACACGATTGGGCAGCAGCTGCTCTCTTCTGGACTTGCTGCACGTGGGATCCTGCATCTCTCTTCGCAGTTGGGCCAGAGTTGGAAGCTCGATGAGCGTCTACGGCATGACGCGCATCGGCAGTGGCGTCACTTGTTTGGACTTTGCGCACCTCGGAAGTTCGCTGTCCGTCCGAAGTTGGGCACGACTGGGCTCCAGCATGAGCGTGTTCGGACTGGCCCGCATCGGCTCTTGCATATCCGTGTTGGACACCACGCAGCTCGGCTCGTCCTTCAGCGTGCGTTCGTATGCGCGACTGGGATCAAGCTTGAGCGTGTTTGGCGTCGCCCGGTTGGGTTCGTACATGTCGGTGTTGGACTCAGTCCAGCTGGGTTCTACGCTGAGTGTGCGCTCCTTCTCGCGCTTGGGTAGCTCATTGTCCGTCTTCGGCATCGTGCACTTCGGCAGCAACTTGTCGGTGCTCGACTACCTGCAGTTGGGCAGCAGCTTCTCCGTGCGCAGCTACGCCAGACTGGGCAGCTCATTGAGCGTGTTCGGCATGACGCGTTTGGGCAGCCAGATCAGTCTCTTAGACACCTTGCAACTCGGTTCTAGCATCAGCATGCGCTACTTCTTGCGCCTCGGCTCTTCCCTCAGTGTCTTCGGCATGACGCGCTTGGGCAGCAATCTATCTGTCCTTGACCAACTGCAGCTGGGAAGCTCGCTCTCTTGCCGCTACTTCACGCGTCTTGGATCCTCTTTGAGCGTGTTTGGCACCGTGCAGATGGGCTCAAACTTGAGCGTCCTGGATTACTTCCAACTCGGCTCTAGTTTTTCGATCCGCAACTGCATGCGCATTGGCAGCTCACTCTCTCTTTACGGTATTGCGCAGTTCGGCAGCTCTTTGAGCTTGCTCGACACCATCCATCTCGGAAGCTGCTTGTCCCTCCGCAGCTTCATCCGTTTGGGCAGCAACCTCACAGTTTGCAGCCGAGTGAACTTCGGAAGCAGCATGAGTGTTTTGGAGTACTTGAAGCTCGGAAGCTCGCTCTCACTCCGCAACTACTTGCGTATTGGGAGCTCGTTATCCGTGATTGAGCAAGTGCGCATGGGCCATCAGCTCTCAGTCTTGGACAACCTGCAACTCGGAAGCGTCTTTTCGCTCCGCAACTTCTGCAGAGTTGGATCGACGCTGTCCGTCTTCGGAACCTTCCGCTTGGGAACGAGTCTTTCCGTTTTGGACAGCGTCGCTTTCGGCAGTTCGCTTTCGGTGCGGTCCTTCGCCAGATTCGGGTCCACAGCCAGCGTTTATGGATGCACACTGCTAGGGTCCAATCTGTCGGTCCTCGACATCATCAATATCGGATCGAGTCTGTCCTTGAGGAGCTACTTCAGGATGGGAAGCGCAATCAGCGTCATCTCCAAGCAGACTCTAGGTAGCACCTTGAGTGTCCTAGATTGGTTGCAGCTCGGCAGCGCTATGAGCGTCCGCACCCACATGCGGTTCGGCAGCAGCTGCAGCGTCTACGGCATGATGCGTTTTGGCTCTGCTGTCTCGCTGTTGGACATCATGAACTTGGGCTCGACACTGTCTTTGCGTGCGATGTTGCGTCTGGGCAGCACGGTCAGCGTCTATGACCAGTGCCGCTTCGGATCCTCCGTCAGCGTCCTCGACTTCGTGATGTGCGGCACGTCTCTCTCGCTGCGTCAGTTCCTGCGAGTCGGCAGCAACTTGAGCGTCATCGGCCGTGTCCGTTTAGCCAGCACGGTTTCCGTGTTCGACTACCTGAACCTCGGAAGCTGCCTGTCTACTCGCAACTTCGCTCGCTTGGGCTCCGGCTTGAGCGTCTTTGGAGTGCAGAGACTGGGATCGGCTTTGAGTGTACTGGACTACGTGAACTTCGGAAGCAGCATCAGCATGCGCCACATGTTCCGCATCGGCAGCTCTCTGTCCGTGTTCGAGTGGATGCGTGCAGGAAGCTCTCTGTCCGTTCTTGACAGCGTCCATCTTGGTTCCGCTTTCTCATTGCGCTCATATTTGCGTCTTGGATCTAACTTGAGTGTGATGAGCTACGTTCGCTTGGGCACGAGCGCTAGTGTTCTGGACAGGCTGCACTTGGGCAGCACTTTGAGCTTGCGCTCGTACATGCGATTTGGATCCAGCCTTTCGGTGTTCGATCGCGTTCGCATGGGCTCTTGCCTCTCCGTTCTGGACTACCTGCAGCAGGGAAGCTCCTTGTCGGTTAGGCAGTTCCTGCGGTCCGGAAGCTGCTTGTCCATCTTCGGTCGCACGATGTGCGGAAGCAGCATTTCCGTGCTTGACTTCGCGGCCCTCGGTAGTTCGTCATCGCTGCGCCACTACCTGAGATTAGGTTCCACCCTAAGTGTCTTCTCATGGACTCGTTGCGGCAGCGTAGTTTCAGTGCTCGATTGCCTGCACCTGGGCAGTTGCTTGAGTCTGCGGCACGTGAGCCGATTCGGATCGAACATCTCCGTGTTCTCCAAGACCACTTTGGGAAGCACGCTGTCGATCCTCGACTACCTGCAGCTCGCAAGCTCTCTGTCGATTAGGAACTACTTCCGATTGGGCAGCGCTTTCAGCGTCTTCCAGCCAACGAGGTGCGGAAGCACGGTGAGCATCATCGACTTCGTGCAGCTAGGAAGCAGCGTCAGTCTGCGCCACTACATGCGCTTTGGCAGTGCTATCTCAGTCCTCAGTAAGGCTACTCTGGGCAGCACCTTGTCCGTCCTGGACTACGTGAACATTGGCAGCAGCATTTCTCTCCGAAACTACTCGAGACTCGGAAGTGCCATCTCGCTTTTCACGACCGTAGGTTTGGGCAGCTGTTTGTCTGTCCTGGACACGCTGCAGCTGGGCTCCTGTTTGTCACTGCGATCGATGATCCGTCTAGGCTCGTCCTTCAGCGTCTACGGAATTTCGCGTTGCGGATCGCAGATCAGCGTCCTCGACTTCGTCACCTTCGGAAGTTCGCTTTCTTTGAGACGATTCTCCAAGATGGGCAGCAACGTCAGTGTCATGTCCTATCTACGAACGGGATCCAGCACTAGCCTGCTCGACTTCGCCATGTTCGGTTCCAGCATCAGTCTGCGCAGCTTCATCAGACTCGGCAGTATTGCAAGTGTGATGAACTGGGTGCGATTTGGATCCAACCTTTCGGTGCTCGAGTTCTCGACGCTCGGCAGCAGTATGAGCCTCCGCAAGTACATGCGACTAGGCTCTGTGCTGTCTGTGTACCGACCGGTCAAGCTGGGCAGCTGCTTATCGGTGCTGGACATCGCAACCTTGGGCTCTTCTTGTAGTACGCGGTCGTTTGCTCGTCTGGGATCGACTTTGTCGGTCTACGGCGTCACGCGCTTCGGCAGCATGCTTAGTGTGCTGGACAGCGTCACCTTAGGCTCTTCGCTGTCTCTGCGTCACTACGCACGTTTGGGAAGCTGTCTCAGTGTGTACTCATACACCAGATGCGGCAGCAACATCAGTCTCCTGGACCAAGTCCAGATCGGAAGTGCTTTGAGTCTCCGTTCCTACTGCCGCTTTGGTAGTAGCTTGAGCGTCTACGGCATGGTCAGGTTTGGAAGTTCGATGAGTGTATTGGACTACCTGACCTTGGGAAGCTCCGTCAGTCTGCGCCACGTCAGCCGTTGTGGCAGCGCCATTTCAGTGATGTCGATGGTCCGCTTCGGCTCGCTCTTGTCGTGCTTGGATCAGACCATGCTCGGAAGCTCACTCAGCTTGCGTAGCTACATTAGACTCGGAAGCTCACTGTCTGTTTTGGAGACCGTACGACTCGGATCTTCGTTGACCGTCCTCGATATGGTAAACCTAGGTTCTTCGCTCTCGCTTCGTGCCGTCTCGCGTATGGGATCCCGACTTTCGGTCTTTGGACGAACGAATCTTGGACGTGAGACCAGCGTTTTGGATCATCTCCAACTCGGTTCTATGCTCTCCGTGCGATCCTACTGCCGCCTTGGTAGCAGTTACTCCGTGTACGGAATGGTGCGACTGGGAAGCATGATCTCCATGTTGGACAACGTGCATGTGGGCAGCAGCCTGTCTCTTCGACATTTCGCGCGTGTAGGCAGCGCCATTTCCATCTTCTCCAAAGTACAGTTCGGTAGCAACATGAGCGTCTTGGACTTTGCGAACTTTGGCAGCTCTATGAGCCTGCGCCACTTTTTGCGTCTAGGATCGGTTTTGTCCGTGTTCCGGCCCATGAAGTGCGGATCTTGTATGAGCGTTTTGGACATGTTCCAGATGGGCAGCTCTCTGTCGGCACGTAGCTTTGCGCGCCTGGGAAGCAGCCTTAGCGTGTTTGGCATGTCGCGTCTGGGATCTTGCATGAGTGTTCTCGATGCGATCTATCTAGGATCCAGCCTGAGCACTCGTTGCTTCACGCGTGTGGGCTCCAGTCTGTCGGTCTTTGGCATGGCGCGAATGGGCAGTTCATTGAGCATGCTCGACTTCGTGCTCGTCGGAAGCTCGATGTCCACGCGCTCCTTCGCACGTCTCGGCAGCGCTGCCAGCGTCTATGGCATGATGCGCTTGGGGAGCTGCCTCTCGATTCTTGACACCACAAGCATTGGAAGCAGCGTCAGCATTCGAACCTTCGCTCGTCTGGGCAGCAGCCTCAGCGTATTCGGCATGACGCGCTTCGGAAGCAACTTGTCCGTCCTAGACTGCTTCCACCTGGGCAGTGCCATCTCGGTGCGCAACGTGGTCAGATTCGGCAGCACGCTGTCGGTATACGGTTTCACAAGACTTGGCTCTACCCTGTCTGTCCTAGACTCGCTCTGCATGTCCAGCACTCTATCGTGCCGCACCTTCGCGCGATTGGGCAGCACAATCTCTGTCTACGGAACTACTCGTCTCGGAAGTTGCTTCAGTCTCCTCGACGCATTCCATTTGGGCAGTGCAATGAGCGTCCGCAGCTTCTGCCGACTCGGCAGTTCCTTATCCGTATTCGGAATTGTGCAGTTGGCATCCAGCCTTTCGGTCCTGGACTTCCTGCATTTGGGAAGCGCGTTGAGCTTGCGCAACGTCGCTCGCTTGGGCAGCAGCTTGAGCGTCTTCGGCATTGTGCGACTCGGATCCCAGCTGTCGATCCTCGACGCGGTCTTCCTGGGCAGCGCTTTCAGCTTGCGTGGCTTCGCCCGATTCGGCAGCAGCGTTTCCGTGTACGGCACCTCGCGTCTTGGAAGCTGCTTGTCCGTCTTGGACTTCATCACGTTTGGTAGCAGCATGTCTCTACGAAGCTTTTCGCGCTTAGGATCCAGCGTCTCCGTCTTCGGCGTGTCCCAACTGGGCAGTCAGTTGAGCGTCTTGGACTTCCTGAGCTTAGGGTCCTCCTGCTCGTTGCGTTCCTTCTCGCGCCTTGGCAGCTCGATCTCTGTGTTCGGATTTTGCCGCGTCGGAAGCACGTTGTCTGTCTTGGACGCGTGCCACGTCGGAAGCGCCTTGTCTCTGCGACACTACCTGCGCGTGGGCAGCTCGCTCTCCATGTGCGGCAACATCGCACGCTTCTCGGCCCGTGCCAGCATCATGGACTTCACGTGCCTGGCATCGAGTATGAGTCTCCGCAACTACCTGCGCTTAGGAAGCAGCCTTTCCGCAGTCTGCGCAACACGATTTGGAAGCTGCATGTCTGTTTTGGACTACTTGTGCTTGGGATCCAGTGTTAGCTTGCGTCAGTACTGCCGACTCGGCAGTTCGCTCAGCGTCGTGAAGGAGGCACGCTTCGGCGATAACCTGTCGGTTCTGTCCTTCGTCCACCTGGGCAGCTCGATTTCGTGCCGCAACTTCTTCCGCATGGGCTCCGCGATGTCGGTCTTCGGCCAATCTAGGGCCGGGAGCAACCTCTCAATCCTAGACCGCGTAGAACTAGGCTCTACACTCTCCTTGCGTAACTACTTGCGCGTCGGATCTACGATGAGCGTGGTGCAAGCAGTGCGTTTCGGCGCAGCGATGTCGCTCTTGGACTACCTGAACCTGGGTTCTTCCGTCTCCATGCGGCAGTACTTACGCTTGTCGAGCGCCGTGAGCGTGATGTGCGAAACGAAACTCGGACACTTCATGTCTGTGCTCAACTACGCGCACTTCGGCAGCTCGGTCTCACTGCGTTCGTACTTGCGACTTGGCAGCACGCTGAGTTCCTACGGTGATGTGCGTCTCTCAGAGTCCTGCAGCGTCATCGGACACTGCCACATCGGCAGCTCGCTCTCGGTGCGTTCCTACGTGCGCTTGGGGAGCGGCTTGAGCGTCTTCGGCAACTGCCGTGCGGGCAGCTCGGTTTCGGTGCTCTCGTTCCTGAACTTGGGCTCCAGTTTGAGCGTCCGTCAATACTCCCGGTTGGGCTCCGCCACCAGTGTCTTTGGCCAGATCCGCTTGGGCAGCAACATGTCCGTGCTGAAGTTCTCGCAGTACGGTTCGTCTCTGTCCTTGCGACAGTACGCAAGATTTGGATCCGCGATCTCGATCTACAGCCAGTGCCAATTCGGCTCATGCCTGTCCACCTGTGACGCAAACTCGTTTGGCAGCGTCTGCTCGTTGCGCAGCTTTTCCCGCATGGGATCGACGCTGAGTATCATGGCCGCAACACGTTTTGGACTGTGCGCTTCGATCCTGGATGTTCTGGAGCTTGGCAGCAGCTTGTCGTTGCGAAACTTCATCCGTCTCGGAAGCACCATGAGCGTGATGAGCCAGATGCGATTGGGCAGCGCTTTGAGCGTCCTGGACGCGGTGTATCTGGGCAGCTCGGTGAGTCTGCGATCCATGTTCCGCATGGGCAGCACTGTGAGTTGCTACGGCTTGATGAGCATGGGCAGCACCATGTCGTTACTTGACTGCGCTAGCGTCGGCAGCAGTCTGAGTGTTCGCAGCTTCCAGCGTCTGGGCTCGACCTTGTCGGTGTACGGACGTGTAGATGCACGTGACGAGATCTACCTGGGCAACGTGCGTGTCGGTTCCGGCTTGTCTGTGCGCAGCTTCCTGCGTATGGGCAGCGCTGTGAGTATCTACGGCATGACGCGCATGGGCAGCGTCTTGTCTCTCCTCGATTGCGCTTTGCTCGGTTCGTGCCTGAGTCTCCGCAGCTTCGCTCGTGGTGGCAGCAGCGTTTCGATCTTCAGCTCAGTGCGATTGGGCAGCAGCTTCTCTGTGTTGCAACACATGTTCACCGGAAGCACTTTGTCGATTCGTGCTTGCGCTCGATTCGGTTCCGCACTCAGCGTGTTGACCCGAGTCACACTCGGCAGCTTGGTGTCTGTGCTCGACTGCCTGACACTCGGTTCCACGGTGTCGACGCGCAGCTTCGCTCGCCTCGGCAGCACTTTGAGCGTCTACGGCTTGTCGCGTCTCGGTTCTGCTGCCAGTGTCCTGGACTATGTCAGCGTCGGATCGAGCATGAGTCTTCGTGGCTTCGCACGTCTAGGCAGTGCGATCTCCATCTTCGGCACCTTCCGTGCGGGTAGCACCCTGTCTGTGCTGATGCAAGTCAGCATTGGAAGCTCTATGAGCGTCCGCAGCTTCGCTCGTCTGGGGTCCTCTCTGTCAGTGTTCGGGCTGGGTCGGTTCGCCAGCAGCATGAGCGTTCTCGACGCTTTGACCCTGGGCTCCTCCGTGAGTCTTCGTGGCTGCATGAAGTTGGGGAGTTCCTGCTCCGTCTACAGCTGGATGCGATCGCAGAACACAGTTTCCATCCTAGACTTCTTCGAACTGGGCTCTACGGTCTCTATCCGAAGCTGCTTGCGACTCGGTTCTTCCTTGTCGGTCTACGGCATGGCCAGAATCGGCTCCGCTTTGAGCGTACTGGATTACGTCAATTTTGGAAGCATGTTCTCTCTTCGTAGCTACGCTCGCTTCGGCAGCACCATGAGCGTGTTCGGCTTCTCGGCTCTAGGAAGCGCAGTGTCTGTCCTGGACATGCTGCATATGGGAAGTGCCTTATCGGTCCGCAGCTTCTTCCGATTTGGCAGTACCATGTCGACCTATGGCATTTGCCGATTCGGATCCACACTCTCAGTTCTCGACATGCTGAACTTGGGATCGTCGACTTCCGTGCGTTCTCTGTGCCGCTTCGGCTCTGTGATTTCGATGTACGGCGTGATGCGACTCGGAAGTGCCGCGTCCTTCCTGGACTTCGCGAACGTTGGAAGCACACTGTCGTTGCGACACTACATCCGCTTCGGCAGCACGGTGTCGATCCTGTCCACGTCGAGATTGGGTTCGCTAATCTCCGTGCTGGACAGCGCATCGCTCGGCAGTAGCTTGTCGGTGCGCAGCTTCATGCGCTTAGGCAGCACAACCAGTGTGTTCGGCATCTCGCGTCTCGGTAGCTCCATGTCTGTTCTTGACGTGCTCCAGCTCGGCAGCGCAATCAGCGTGCGCTCATTCAGTCGGCTCGGCAGTTCCTTGAGCATCTTCGGTGTGGCTCAGATGGGATCGGCCATGAGCATCTTGGACTTTATCCAACTGGGCAGCGCTATTTCGATGCGCAGCTTCACGCGGTTGGGCAGCACCTTCTCCGTCTACGGCTTCACGCGTCTCGGAAGCGTTTTCAGCATTCTCGATACGCTTTCCATGGGAAGTTCGATGAGTCTGCGCGGCTTCTCGCGAATGGGCAGCAGCATGTCGCTCTTCGGCGTCGCTCGCTTCGGATCGGCTCTCTCCATCGTGGACTTCGTCACATTCGGAAGCTCTCTGTCCCTCCGTTCCTTCGCACGCGCTGGTAGCTCGCTTAGCGTCTACGGCGTGGCGACCTTCGGAAGCACCCTGAGCGTCCTCGATGTGATCAACTTCGGCAGTTCCTTCTCCTTGAGGAACTACGCCAGGATTGGTTCCGGTGTCAGCGTCTTTAGCAAGGTCCGTCTAGGATCTACTCTGTCGCTCTTGCAGATGGCTTCGTTCGGCAGCACGCTGTCTCTGCGCAGCTTCGCACGCCTCGGAAGCAACTTCTCCATCTACAGCAAGATGGCCTTGGGAAGTTGCCTGTCCTGCTTGGATCACATCGAGATGGGCAGCGCAGTTTCTCTGCGGTCCTTCGCACGCTTCGGCAGTGCGATCAGCCTGTTCTCGAAGGCTGCATTGGGTTCTTGCCTTAGCACTCTCGATACCACGCATATTGGAAGCAGCATTTCGATGCGCGCCTTCGCACGATTCGGCAGCACCTTGAGCATCTTCTCCAAGGTCATTCTGGGTTCCAACCTGTCGGTCTTGGATCGATTGCATGTTGGAAGCACGCTGTCTTTGCGCTCCTCAGTGCGATTTGGAAGCTCGCTCAGCGTGCACAACCGATGCCGCGTGGGCAAGTTTGGCGCCTCTGTGCTGGACTACATGCAGCTTGGCAGCACTGTATCCATCAGGTCATTTACCCGCATGGGAAGCGCGGTCTCGATGTACGGTATGTGCCGCTTAGGCTCTAGCTTGAGCGTCCTCGACCTTGCCATGTGCGGCAGCATGTGCTCATTGCGCAGTTACGCTAGACTGGGCAGCTCCATGTCCATCCTGTGCCACGTGAACTTCGGTTCGCAGTTGTCTGTCTTGGACTTTGTAGGACTAGGCAGTTCTCTGTCTTTGCGATCGCATATGCGACTGGGCAGCACGTTCTCGATCTTCAGCCGCACACGCTTGGGATCCTGTTTGTCCCTGTTGGAGATGGGCGAGTTCGGTTCCGCCACCAGTCTACGAAGCTTCGTGCGTCTAGGTAGCGCTTTCTCGATCTACAGCAAGTTCTGGAGTGGGAGCTGCCTCAGCTGCTTGAACTCCGCTTGCCTCGGCAGCACGGTGTCGATCCGTAGCACTACTAGATTCGGCAGCCAGATGTCGATCTTCTCACGCAATGCTCTCGGATCTACCTTGTCCGTGTTGAATACAGTGTTGTTGGGCAGCACGACGTCTCTGCGTGGCTTGTTGCGTATGGGAAGCAACTTGAGCATCTTCGCGACTCAGGTTGCGGGCTCCCAACTGTCTGTGTTGGATCTGTTCTCTCTGGGTAGCGGATTGAGTGCGCGTACCTTCGCGCGCTTCGGCAGCAGCGTTTCGATGTACGGCATCGTGCGATTGGGCTCGCAGCTGTCGATTTTGGACACTCCCTTTGTTGGGTCGGCTTTGTCTTTGCGCCACTACGCTCGCTTCGGCAGCGGGTTCTCCCTGATGAGCCAGCAGCGATTGGGCAGCACGTGCAGCATTCTGGATCAAATCCAGGTAGGTAGCACAGTGAGCTTCCGATCCTTCGCGCGACTTGGATCCTCTTTGAGTTTGTTTGGTGTGGGCAGGCTTGCCAGCTCCGTCTCGATCATCGACTTCGTGAGCTTCGGTTCCAGCGTGTCCGTTCGAACTTTGTCGCGATTGGGCTCGGCTTTGAGCGTGTTTGGAGTGACGCGTTTCGGCAGCAGCATGTCTTTGCTCGATTATTTCACGCTCGGAAGCTCGTTCTCAGTGCGCAGCTTCGGACGCGCAGGCTCGACTATGAGCGTGTACGGCGTGACGCGCTTCGGCAGCGCGATTAGCATTTTGGACTTCGTGTCCATCGGCACATCATTCAGCGTACGATCCTTCTGTAGACTGGGATCCAGCGTGAGTGTCTACGGCGTTGCGCGCTTAGGCAGCGGAATGTCCGTGTTGGAGTTCGTCCATCTTGGCTCGGCCTTCAGTACGCGCAACTTCATCCGCTGCGGAAGTGCACTGTCGGTGTACAGCGTTGCACGGTTTGGAAGCTGCCTCTCGTGCTTGGACTTCGCGACATGCAGCAGTACATTGTCCTTGCGTCACTACATGCGCTGCGCTTCCAGCATCTCGGTGCTCGGCTGCGCTCGCTTCGGCTCAACGATGTCTTTGCTCGATACCTTGCAGATCTCTTCGTCTATGTCGTTGCGAAGCTTCAACCGACTTGGTAGCGCACTCTCGCTGTTCGGTATCTGCAAATTGGGATCCGCATTCTCAGTTTTGGATACCGTGTCCTTCGGCAGCACATTCTCACTGCGAAGCTTCCTGCGCTTCGGCAGCTCCTTGAGCGTGTACGGCATTGCGACGTTTGGTTCTGCGCTTTCGATACTCGACTTCGTCAACATCGGATCTAGCGTTTCTGTACGCCACTTCATGCGCATTGGCAGCACTTTGAGTATCTTCGGCAAGCTGCGAACCGGCGACTACCTCTCCGTGATGAACGTTGCAGAACTTGGTAGTTCGCTTTCGGTGCGATCGTTCGCCAGACTCGGCTCTACTTGCAGCGTCTACGGACTGTTGACACTGGGAAGTGCATTGTCGATTTTAGACACCAACAGCTTCGGCAGTACGATCTCGTTGCGTTCCTTCGTGCGCTTCGGTTCCGCCGTCAGTCTGTACGGAATGGGCCGCTTTGGATCTAGCCTTTCCGTCCTGGACTACATCCACGTGGGAAGCAGCTTCAGCATGCGCTCATTCGCCTACTTGGGTTCCAGTTTGTCTGTCTTCGGCGTCGCCCGCTTGGGGTCCTCGATTTCCGTCTTGGACTTCGTGAACTTCAGTTCGGGTCTTTCTCTGCGTGGCTTCGGTCGTGCGGGATCCTCGATCTCCGTCTTCGGACTCTTTCGTCATGGCAGCACGATGTCGACTTTGGACTTCTTCGCACTTGGCTCTACGGTTTCCGTGCGAGCCTTCTCGCGCATGGGAAGTTCCTTGTCCGCCTTTGGCCTGTGCCGCATGGGATCGGCGATCTCGGTTCTGGATGGCATCTTCCTAGGATCAGCGATTAGCGTGCGCAGCGTCATGCGACTAGGCTCTTCGCTCTCAATGTTCGGCATTACGCAAGTCGGATCTGCGATGTCTGTGTTGGACTTCGCCTCTATGGGCAGCACCTTCAGTGTGCGTTCCTTCGTGCGCTGCGGTTCCACGCTGTCGTGCTACGGCCTGGCACGTCTAGGCCTCAGCTTGTCGATCCTCGACCAAGCCTACGTGGGCAGCAGTCTGTCGGTACGCTCCTTCGCCCGTCTTGGATCCGCTTTGTCCGTCTACGGATTCTCGAAATTGGGAAGCTCTCTGTCGATCCTCGACTTCGTCAACTTCGCAAGCAGCTTCAGTGTTCGTAGTTTCGAACGTCTTGGTTCCAGCATGAGTGTCTATGGCGTCACCTACTTGGGTAGTTCGCTGTCCATCCTCGACACCATCAGCATTGGAAGTACGTTCTCTTTGCGCATGTTCTCGCGGTTCGGCAGTTCACTGTCCATGTACGGCATTGTCAAACTCGGAAGCAGTTCTTCTGTGCTCGATTACGTCGCGATCGGCTCCAGCGTCTCTCTCCGTGCCTTTACTCGTATGGGCAGCAATATCTCTATGTACTCGCGCGTGCGCTCCGGCAGTTGCTTAAGCGTCCTCGACGCCATCCAGATGGCCAGCACCATGTCTGTGCGTGGTATGTTCCGTCTCGGCAGTTCATGGTCGTGCTTCGGACAAGTGCGCATGGGCAGCTGTTTGTCCGTGAACGACTACATGTGCATGGGCTCAGCGATCTCTCTGCGTGCTTTCGCTCGCTTCGGATCCACCTTGTCCGTCTTCTCGGACTTGAAGTTTGGAGGAAAGATCTCCGTTCTGGATTCCGCGATGTACAGCAGTGGCGTCTCCATTCGCGCTTTGTGCCGTATGGGCAGCGTGATCAGTATCTTCGGCAACGTGCGCTTCGGGAGCTTTTTGTCAATTCTCGGATGCTGCACCATGGGAAGCTCCATGTCGTTGCGTGCGACCAACCGACTAGGCGGGCAAACTTCGATCTTCGAATTTGCACAGTGCGGTTCGGCTCTGAGTCTGCGTGCCACGTTGCGCAGTGGCAGTGGAGTGTCCGTCTACGGCCGAGTCAAGTTCGGAAGCGGACTGTCGATCCTGGATGCGGTTCTGTTCGGTTCCAGCTTGTCGCTCCGTAAGTGCGCGCGCTTCGGCAGCACGCTTTCCGTCGCTAGCGTCACACGATTCGGCTCGTGCGTTTCGATCCTTGGTGCAATCCACATTGGATCTACGCTTTCGCTCCGATCCTTCTTCCGCAGTGGATCTGCGTTCTCAGTCTACAGCAAAGCAACATTGGGTTCTTCCTGCTCGGTTCTCGATGCGCAATTCCTTGGTTCTGCGGTGTCGTTGAGAACGCATTGCCGCTTCGGTAGTGCCATGAGCATCTTTGGTAAAGTCTTTGTTGCGAGCTCGTTCTCGCTCTTAGACATGGCCAACTTCGGATCCGGCCTGTCGATGCGCAATTTTGCGCGATTTGGTTCCGCATTGTCGATTTATTCCAGAGCCAACTTCGGCAGCTGCATGTCCTTGCTCAACTTCGCGGCCTTCGGTTCGACCATGTCGTTGCGTGGGGTTGTCCGAATGGGATCCGCCCTTTCCTGCTTCGACACCACGCGCTTTGGCTCGAACTTGTCGATCCTGGATTGCGCTCTACTCGGAAGCTCTTTGTCCATCCGTGCGTTCACGCGTGCGGCTGGCAGCGTTTCCGTGTTCGACTTCGTGCAGATCGGCAGCAGCTTCTCGTTACGCGCTGTGGCTCGCATTGGAAGTCAGTTCTCGCTGTACTCGAGCTTCCGCGCTGGCAGCTGCATGTCATTGTTGAACTTCGCAATGCTGGGTTCTTCGGTGTCCTTGCGTTGCTCTGGTCGTGGCGGTGGATGCGTCTCCGTCTTCGACTTCCTGCAGGGTGGCAGCAGTCTCAGTATTCGCGCAATGGCTCGCCTCGGATCCATGATGTCCGTCTTCCACCGTGTAAAACTCGGTGAGGCGGCTTGGACCTCCGTGATGAACATGGCGAACTTAGGGTCTACACTTTCTGTCCGTGGAGTTGCGCGTATTGGATCCGCATTCTCCATCTACTCGAGAGTAGCGTTCGGCAGCACTCTGTCTGCTTTGGATTTCCTGAATCCGGGTAGCAGCTTCTCTTTGCGCTCGATGTGCAGATTGGGTAGCTACTTTTCGATTTTCAGCAACGCGAACTTCGGATCGCGATTGTCCGTGTTAGATGCCTTCATGCATGGTTCAGCCCTCTCTGTGCGTCAGTTCCAGCGCTTCGGTTCCACTGCCAGCGTCTTCTCGCAGATCCGATTGGGCAGTTTCTGCAGTGTCTTGAACATGGTACACTTCGGATCGGCTGTGTCGCTGCGATCCTTCTGCAGATTGGGTTCGGCGGTGTCGGTTCTCGACTGCGCTGCGATTGGATCCGCTGTATCGTTGCGAGCGTTTGTCCGAGTGGGCAGCGCCTACAGCGTCTTCTCGAACGTGCGTTTCGGCAGTGCGTTGTCTGTGATGCAGGCTTCCGGGCTGGCGTCGTCTCTGTCGTTGCGAACATACATCCGCGTCGGCAGCTCGTGCTCCATCATGAGCCAGGTGCGGTTCGGCTCCACCCTGTCCTTGATGGACGCAGCACACCTGGGCAGTTCTCTGTCGCTGCGAAGCTACGTGCGTCAGGGCAGCACTCTGTCCGTCATGTCCAAGGTGCAGTTGGCCAGCTCTGCATCTCTGTTGGATTGGTTCACGCTGGGCAGCGCATTGTCGCTGCGCTCCATGGCACGTCTTGGCAGCTCGCTCTCGCTACTCCACACCGTACGGGCTGGCAGCAGCGTAACTGTGCTTTCCTTCACGTGCCTCGGATCCACGATTTCCTTGCGCAAGTACATGCGTCTCGGCAGTTCTTGTTCCGTCTTCTCGAAAGTGAGACTCGGATCCGCTCTGTCCGTGATGGAGACTATGAACATCGGCAGCAGCCTGTCTGTGCGTACCTACGTGCGGTTCGGTTCTGCATGCTCGGTTCTCGGAAACCTGAACTGTGCTGGCCGCCTCAGCGTGATGGAGCAGTTCGACTGCGCCTCTTCCTTCAGTCTCCGTCAGTTCTCGCGCATGGGATCAAGACTCTCCGTGATTGAGTTCACGAACCTCGGCAGTTCTCTTTCTGTGCGCAGCTACATGCGCTTGGGCAGCGGGTGCTCGGTGATTTCGACGACGCGATTCGGGTCATGCATCTCCGTGTGCGATCTGACGTGCTTGTCCTCCACTCTGTCTCTGCGAAGCTACTTGCGGTTCGGCTCGTGCCTCTCCGTGTACTCGCAGTGCCGATTGGGCAGCACCTTGTCGATGGTTGATCAAATGAACATGGGGAGCAACTTCTCCCTGCGAGGAACCTTGCGTTTAGGCTCCAACCTTTCCGTGATTTGCCGTACCAACTTGGCAGAGGCCGTCTCCGTACTGCAATACGCTCAGTGCGGTAGCACTTTGTCGCTCCGTAGCTTTGTGCGGTTCGGCAGCTCGCTGTCTGTGATCGACTTGCTGCAGCTCGGCAGTTCTCTCTCCTTGCGTGGCGCACTGCGACTGGGAAGCAGCTTCTCGCTCTACCTGAACTTGAAGTTGGGCTCCGGCATTTCCGTTCTGGACGCGATCAATCTAGGAAGTACGCTGTCCGTTCGTAACTTGGCGCGCTTCGGTAGTGCGATGAGTATTTGCGACTTCTCGGTCCTCGGATCGAGTATCTCGCTCCGCCAATACTTGAGACTCGGATCGACCTTGACCGTGTTTGGGCAGATGCGATGCGGATCTGCAGTCTCAATCCTGAACTATATGCAGTGCTCTAGTGCGATTTCGGTGCGTGACCGAGTTCGCTTTGGGGCTCAGATGTCTGTGCTGAAGTACGTCCAGTATGGAAGCAGTCTGAGCATGCGCAGCTTCACGAGACTCGGCAGTGGATTGTCGCTCTTCACGCAGTTCCGATTGGGCAGCTGCTTCAGCGTCTTGGACAGCTGCCACGTGGGTAGCAACATCTCTTTGCGGTCCTTCGTACGTCTCGGTTCCGCGATCTCCGTCTTCTCGCAGACGCAGCTCGGAAGCAACTGCTCCGTCATGGACCTGTTGAACTTGGGCTCTGCGGTGTCTCTGCGTAACTTCCTGCGTTGCGGAAGCAGTCTATCCGTGCTCGATGCGATGACACTTGGTAGCACGGTCTCTCTGCGTAGCTTCGGTCACTTGGGCAAGCAATTGTCCGTGCTTGACGCGACCGCATTTGGAAGCTCCTTGTCCGTACGTAGCTACGTGCGCTTCGGCAGCAACGTCTCCATGTTCTCACGGGTCGCGTTGGGTTCCAGCATCTCGATTTTGAACTTCGTGAACATGGGCAGTACCTATTCTCTACGAGGCAGCGTTCGACTCGGCTCCAACATGTCCATCTTCAGCCAGCTGACCTTTGGAAGTACCTTCTCCGTGCTCGACTACTTCGAGCTCGGGTCTACGATTTCAGTTCGAAACATGGCTCGGTTTGGCAGCAACTACTCCGTCTTCGGAAATGCAAGATTTGGAAGTTCTGTTTCATTACTGAATTACGCAACATTCGGTAGTTCGGTCTCGTTGCGTTCCTTCTTCCGCTTGGGTAGCAACGTCTCTGTGTATTCGCGCACGACTTTGGGCAGCTGCGCTTCGCTGTTGAACTTCGCAGTTCTCGGAAGCTCATTGTCTACACGCTGTGGCGCCCGCTTCGGCGACACATTGTCCGTGATTGACTTCTTCTCGATGGGCAGCAGCTTCTCTCTGCGATCGACCGCTCGCTTCGGCAGCAACCTATCGATCTACGGTGGTCGCGTCTTGCTCGGATCTGCAGTCTCCGTCCTGAAGATGGCGGTCTTCGGATCCAGCGTGTCTCTGCGTAGCACAGTCCGCTTCGGAAGCGACTTCTCGGTGTTGGATGCAGCAATCTTCGGATCTAGTATCTCGACTCGCGGCTTCATCCGATTCGGATCCACGATGTCCGCCTACAACTGTGTGCGACTTGGTAGCACGGTTTCGTCCTTCCAGGTGGCTTGCATGGGAAGCGCGATCTCAATCCGTGCCTACATGCGATTTGGATCGACTGTGAGTACCTTCTCGCAGACACGAGCTGGCAGCACCCTGTCCGTGCTCGATCAATTGCACTTGGGCAGCGTTCTGTCCGTGCGCGCGCACATCAGAGCGGGGAGTTCCTTCTCGATCTTCTCGAGGACGATCTTTGGTTCCAGTTTGTCCGTCATCCACCACATGGCGATGGGAAGCACGATGTCGATGCGTGGCATGTCCAAGATGGGCAGCACGTGCAGTCTCTTCGGCAATGCTCGATTTGGCGGTACCATTTCTGTGGTCGACTCAGTCTACTTTGGTAGCTCTCTCTCTGTCCGCGGTCGCGCCAAGTTTGGATCCACGCTTTCCATCTTCGGGCAGATCAGGTTTGGCAGTGAGCTCTCCGTGGCAGGCGCATTCTTGATGGGCTCATCGCTCTCCGTGCGTGCATTCGTCAAGTTCGGCAGCAGCGCAAGTATCTTTGGAAAGACGACTCTGGGATCGATGATGTCCGTCCTAGGGTACGCAAACTTCGGTAGCACGATCTCCGTCCGCGCGTTCCAACGCGCAGGATCGACCGCAAGTGTCTTTGGACGTGCCTTGTATGGATCTTGTCTCTCAGTCCTCAACTTCGTTTCGGTAGGCAGCTGCATGTCAGTGCGTACGTTCTCGAAGTTCGGCAGCAACGTGTCCGTGTTTGACTTCGTCGCATTAGGCTCTACGACCAGTGTCCGCTGCTTCGCCATGTGCGGGTCGAACCTGTCTGTCTTCAGCCGGTTCCGCGTCGGATCCAGCTTGTCGATCTTGGATGCCAGTAGTCTGGGGAGCGCCGTGTCCATGCGTGGCTTCACGCGGGTGGGCTCTCGACTGTCCCTCTTCGGTCTGGTCCGATGCGGATCGACTGTCAGCGCGTTCAACAGCGTCTGCTTGGGCAGCAACCTGAGTATTCGTGCGCAAGTGCGCATGGGCAGCGCGTTCAGCATCTACAGCCGGTGCGCGTTTGGGTCTAGCCTGTCGCTCCTGGACTTTGCGAACATCGCTAGTGCAACTTCTTTGCGCACGATCCTGAAGATCGGAAGTTCCCTGTCCATATTCAGCTATGGTCGATTCGGATCCAGTCTTTCTATCTTGCAAGCGGTAACCTTTGGTTCCAGTCTGTCGTTGCGTGCAGTGCAGCGTCTTGGCTCCGCCATCTCCGTCTACGGCCAGATGCGCTTTGGAAGTTGCGTTTCCGTACTTGACAGCGTGCGCTTCGGTTCGACCATGAGTGTACGTGCCCTTGTGCGATTGGGCAGCAACTGCTCCATCTTCAGCCGCGTCACACTGGCTTCCGCGTGCTCCATTCTGAAGTTCGGTGAACTCGGATCATCCGTGTCCGTTCGATCCTTCATCCGTGGAGGCAGCTTGTGCAGCTTCTTCGACTTTGTGTCTCTTGGAAGCGCCATTTCAGTGCGTAGCAGCGCTCGCTTCGGCAGCTCGCTCTCCGTTCTCGGACGCATCCAATTCGGCCTGAACTGTTCCGCATTGGATAGCACTTCGCTCGGTAGTGGATTCTCCGTGCGTGCGTTCGCAAGATTTGCCGCTAAGGTATCGATCTGCAACATGGCAACCTTCGGATCATCGTTGTCCGTCCGTTCGGTTACGCGTATCGGCAGCATGGCTTCCATCTTCAGCAAGTGCCGCATGGGATCCAGCTTGAGCGCCGTTGACTTTCTGTCTCTAGGAAGTGCGATTTCCTTGCGCAACAGCGCTCGTGTGGGCAGCTCCGTCTCGTTGTTCTCGCAGCTGCGTATCGGTAGCTCCATGTCCACCCTGGATCAGCTACACTTGGGTAGCAGCTTCTCGTTGCGTGCGCTTGGTCGTATCGGAACGTCTCTCTCCGTCTTCGACTTTGTGCACCTCGGAAGCACTCTGTCCTTGCGTGGCGCTTGCCGCTACGGCAGCACGTTCAGCGTGTACAACCAGGTCGCCATGGGCAGCCGCATCTCCGTGTTGAAGTTCGCGCAGTTCGGAAGCTCCATGTCTCTGCGGTCCTTCGGACGCATGGGCAGCGCCATCTCGGTGCTTGATTTCGCTCATTTGGGCAGCGCTCTGTCTATGCGCGGAACCGGCCGACTCGGATCTAGCTTCTCCGTGTTCTCGAAGGTGCGCTGGGGCAACCAAGCAAGCGTCTTCGACTACGTCCACATGGGAAGCAACACGTCCGTGCGTGCTTTGGCAGCATTTGGAAGCAGCTTCAGCGTCTACTCTCGATGCATCAGTGGAAGTTCTATGAGTTTGTTGCAGTGGGCCAGCTTCGGTAGCGCTTTGTCGCTCCGTTGCACGGCTCGAAGTGGCAGCAGCTTCTCTCTGTTCTCGCAGGTGCGGTTGGGCTCAAGTCTCAGTGCTTTGATGCAGCAGCATTTCGGCTCTGCTTTGAGTCTGCGTGCATTTGCGCGTCTGGGCAGTGCAGCTAGCGTCTACGGACGATTGGCCTTTGGCAGCGGCTGCTCGGTTTTGAACTTCTTCCACTTAGGAAGTGGTCTCTCTCTCCGCTCTATGGGTCAAGTCGGAAGCGTTTGCTCCGTGTTCAATCGCGTGCGCTTGGGCATGGCCTTGTCGACGCTCGACTACGTACACTTGGGAAGCAGCGTGAGTCTCCGGTCCTTCGGACGCTTCGGAAGCGCTCTGTCCGTCATGGACGCCGTGGCGATCGGGTCTTGCATGTCCCTTCGCGGCGTTGGCCGCTTCGGCAGTGGCGTCTCGGTCTGGGGACTGGCTAGGTGCGGAGGACAATTATCCGTCTACGACTCCCAGGCCTTTGGTTCATCGCTCTCTCTAAGAGCATACGCGCGCTTGGGATCCAGTATCAGCATGTACTCGAAGATCACATTTGGAAGCGCGTGCTCCATCCTGGACTACGCAAACCTCGGTAGCTCGATCAGTGTCCGTGCTTTGGCACGGCTCGGAGGCGCAGTGTCGATGTTCGACTTCCTCAACGTCGGGAGCGCCTTGAGTCTGCGTGCCTCCGGTCGCGCAGGATCCGCGATTAGCGTCTTCTCCGCTGTCCGCCTCGGCAGTTCCATGAGCTTGCTGAACTGGGCTAGCCTCGGTTCCATTTGCTCCTTGCGCAGCGTGGCACGCATGGGCTCACGCATGAGCTGCTTCGCACAATCTATGTTCGGAAGCTCGCTCTCCGTACTTGCGTCCGTTAACTTCGGCAGCTCGCTGTCAGTGCGCAGTATGTACCGATTGGGAGAACAAGCCAGCATGTTCGACTGCTTCGAGATGGGTTCCACCCTCTCTTTACGCGCAATGGGCAAGTTTGGTTCTCAACTTTCCCTCTTCGACTCCTGCCGACTCGGAAGTACCCTGTCCATCCTTGATGCGGCGTCTCTTGGATCCTCCATCTCGGTGCGCAGTTTCGCACGTGTCGGCGGCTCCTACTCTGCGTTGGACAGCGTCACTTTGGGTAGCACGCTCTCGGTGCGTGCGTTTGGCCGTTGCGGCTCTGGCGTGAGCATCTTCCTGCGCACTCGTGTGGGAGGGCGCTTCTCGCTGGTGGACTCCGCGGAATTGGGCAGCAGCTTGAGTGTACGAGCAACTAGCCGCTTCGGCGAACGCGTCACGATCCTGGACTTCGCGAACTTTGGAAGTTCGCTTTCGTTGCGCTCCTTCATCCGTGTTGGCAGTGGCTTCTCAATCTACGGAGAGCTGCGTGCGGGAAACCAGATGTCGCTGTTAGACAAAGCGACCTTTGGCAGTGGCTGCTCTATGCGCAGTCTTGCGCGGTTCGGCAGTTCCGTTTCGGTGCTCTCCTTCTGCCACGTCGGTTCGACACTCTCGCTGCGTGCTTATGCACGCATCGGCAGCAGCGCAAGCATCTTCTCGAATGTGCAACTCGGAGATGCTTTGTCTGTCCTAGGACAAGTGGATATGGGCTCTTCCTGTTCCCTGCGCGCTTTTGCTCGTATGGGCAGCGCCGTTTCGATTTGCAGTTTCCTGAACGTCGGCTCTGTGCTGTCCATCCGTCAGTTCATGCGGGTCGGTTCCGGAGTCAGCGTCCGCGGTCGCACACGCGTTGCACGCGAGGTCAGTATCTTGTCTCGTGTGCACTTGGCAAGCAGCTTGTCCGTACGCAGCTTCGGACGTCTCGGCAGCGCTATCAGTGTGTTCGACTACGTGGCCTTCGGGAGTTCGATCTCGGTGCGCGCAACCGCTCGTCTCGGCTCGATCTTCAGCATCTTCAATAGCGCCATGCTGGGTTCCGGACTCTCGGTGCTCGACTACATGATGCTGGGTTCGACGTTGTCCGTGCGCGCCGCCAGTCGCTTTGGCTCACGCATGAGCGTCTTTGATCAGCTGATGTTGGGCTCCACACTGTCGTTGCGCAGCTTCGGCCGCCTCGGCAGCCACATCAGCGTGAAAGGCCGACTGATCTGCGGGAGCTCTTTGTCAATCCTGAACTGGGCGTCTGCAGGCAGCTCGTTGTCCGTGCGTTGCTTCACGCGACTCGGATCGTCATGCAGCGTTGCAACTATCGGCCAGTGCCGCATCTCTCCAGCCGCGAGTGTCTTAGACATGACTAGTTTAGGTTCGTCACTGTCCGTCCGCGGTGCCTTCGCACGCTTCGGTGAAAGCCTGTCCGTTTTCGACTTCGTAACGGCAGGCAGCACGCTCTCTGTGCGCGCAGTTACTCGTATGGGTTCGCGGATCTCGGCGTTCAAGCGCGTCAAGTTTGGAGCGGAGCTCTCGTTGCTGGACCAAGCATCTCTTGGTTCCGTTCTGTCGATCCGCACCTTCGCACGCCTCGGCAGCGGACTCAGTGTCTGCGCCAAGACCAACTTGTGCGCGAATATGAGCGTTCTCGGAGCTGTGGCACTCGGTAGCAGCTTCTCCGTGCGCAGCTTCGTTCGCTTTGGCAGCCACCTGTCCTTGATGGACTTTGCGAACCTCGGCAGTTGCCTTTCTCTCCGCGACTTCGTGCGTGCGGGCAGCGCATTGAGCGTTGTACGACGCACGTTCATGGGTAGCGACTTCAGCTTGCTGGATCGTGTGGAACTCGGCAGTAGCTTCTCCGTGCGTGGAATCGCGCGCTTCGGTGAGAGCATCAGCGTTTTGTGCGTTGGCTGCTTCGGCAGCGCCATGAGTATGCGTGCCTTCTGCCGTGCCGGCAGCTCCATGTCAATTCATGGTCCGATGGCCAGAGTCCACGCCAGCTTGTCTCTCCTTGAGCAGTCCGCTTTGGGAAGCTCGATTAGTGTGCGATCCATCGTTCGCATGGGCTCTGCACTCTCAACACTAGACTTCACGGGCATTGGATCGTCCTTGAGCATGCGCAGCTTCTTCCGAGTTGGCTCTGCGCTCTCAGTGGTTCTCGGAACGCGTCTTGGACAGGCGTTGTCAGTGCTCGACTTCGCGCACTTGGGCAGCACATTCAGTTTGCGCTCTACTGCTCGCAGCGGAAGTGCCTGCTCGATCTTGAGCTTCGTGCAGTTGGGCAGCACAGTCTCCTTGCGGTCTTTCTGCCGCGTTGGCAGCGCGTTCAGCGTGCATGCGCCAGCGCGCACCACGCAGATATCCGGTAGCACATCGATCATGAGCTTCGCGGCTCTAGGAAGCTCTCTATCCGTGCGAACCTTTGTGCGCGTCGGCAAGATGTGCAGTGTGCTTGACTGCGCGCACCTCGGCAGCTCGATGTCTGTTCGTACGCACGTGCGCTTCGGCAGCAGCTGCTCCGCCGTCGACTTCCTCGCGCTCGGCAGCACTCTCTCCGTGCGCACCGTTGTGCGACTGGGCTCTTCGCTCTCCGTCTTCGGCAAATTGCGTATGGGCTCTACGCTCTCTACGTTGGACCACAGCCGAATGGGCAGCTCGCTTTCTGTCCGAAACTTCGTCCGACTCGGTTCGTCGCTCTCCTTGACTGGCAAGCACGTCCGCTTGGGCGCACAGCTCTCGGTGCAACATCAGCTGGAGCTGGGATCGTCCATCAGTCTGCGAAGCTTCATCCGCATCGCGGGTTCCTGCAGTGTTGGAGAGTTCTTGACCATCGGATCGTCCGTTTCGTTGCGCGCCTACGCCCGCATCGGATCTAGCGTGAGCATCGCAGCTGGTCGTGGCCGATTCGGTGGCAACATCTCCGTCTGCGACGCTACGACTCTGGGTAGCAGCATCTCGGTCCGCACCTACTCGCGCTTGGGTAGTGCTCTTTCGGTGCTCAGCTTCTGCCAGTTCGGCAGCAGCATGTCCCTGCGTGCTATGGGCCGCTTCGGCAGCAACTGCAGCATCCTCAGCTACACCTACCTCGGATCGTCGCTCTCTTTGCGTACCTTCATGCGTGTCGGTTCGGCCACGTCGGTCCATGGCAACTTCCAGTGCGGTGGCACCATGTCGGTTCTGGATCAAGTGGAGCTTGGTAGTTCCTTGTCGCTCCGCAGCTTTGCAAAGATGGCTAGCAAGGCCTCTGTCTTGGATTACCTGAACATTGGCCAGGCGCTGTCTCTCCGAACTACGGCTCGTTGCGGTAGCCGCTGCAGCGTCACGGACTTCATCGACATGGGCAGCAGCTTGTCGTTGCGCAGCTTCCTGCGCGTCGGCAGCGCATTCAGCATTGTGGGAGATACTAAGGTCGGAATCGCCATGTCCGTCATGGACTACTTGACTTTGGCTTCTAGTCTCTCTGTCCGGAGCCATGCGCGATTGGGCAAGGAAGTTTCCATCATGAGCTTCGCCCATTTAGGCTCCAGCATGAGTTTACGAACGTACGCTCGCATCGGCAGCAGTTTGTCTGTCGGTCCGGACGCGTCCACGCGACTAGGCGGCGCTGCTTCGATCTGCGCCTACACGCACTTGGCCTCGAGCTTGAGCGTGCGCGCGTTCGCGAAGTTGGGCAGCGGATGCAGCATTCTGGACTACCTGCATGCTGGCAGCACGATGTCTCTGCGCAACTGCTTGCGCATTGGCTCTGGACTGTCTACTCTAGGCACCGTCAGGTTTGGAAGTTCGATTTCCCTCTTGCACACTATGGAAGTTGGTAGCAGTTACTCTGTCCGCAACTTCTTGCGCATCGGGTCCAGCTGCTCTGCGATCTCGCATCTGAGGTGCGGCGGATCGATCTCCTTGTTGAACTTCACGTCTATGGGAAGCGCAGTTTCGCTCCGCAACTTCTCGCGATTCGGCGAGAATGTTTCCGTGATGGACAGCGCTTTCTTGGGCTCAGGCTTGTCTCTGCGCGCCTTCATGCGCATTGGCAGCTCCTTGTCACTCGGACAACACTTCCGAGTTGGCCAGAACGCTTCCGTTTTGGACTACTTCCAGTTAGGAAGCACCTTCAGCGTTCGTAATGTCGGCAGCATGGGAAGCACGTGCTCTTTATACGGTCGTGTGCGTGTCGGCAGCTGCATGTCAGCTCTGGAAGCCACAAGCATTGGAAGCTCATTATCTTTGCGCGCCTTTGCACGTCTCGGGTCCGCAGTTAGCGTCTTCGGACAGGCACGATTCGGTTCTGCATTGAGCTTCCTGAGCCAATGCAGCGTCGGCAGCTCGCTTTCTCTACGCGCTTTTGCAAGACTCGGCTCCGCCCTGTCGTTGACCACCAACTTCATCGCGGGTGGAACTTGCAGTGTTGTCGAGTGCGCGTCTTTGGGAAGTGCGATGAGCTTGAGGAGCTACGCTCGCTTCGGATCTACGGTCAGCTTCTTCGGATGGTGCCGTTTGAACCAGCAGATGTCCACTTTAGCTGCAGTTACCGTTGGTAGCAGCATGAGCTTGCGTACCTATGCCAGACTGGGCAGTGCGTTCAGCATCAAGGGCCGCACAACGGCAGGCATCGGTGGAATGTCCTTGATGGACAGCCTAACCATGGGTTCCAGCCTGTCGGTTCGCGCGTGTACGCGTTTGGGCAGCTCGCTCTCCGTCAAGGGTCAGATCCGATTCGGCGATGAATTCTCGCTCAAAGAAAGCTTCAATCTCTCGTCTTGCCTGAGTCTGCGTGGCTTCATCCGTTGCGGCAGTTCGTTGTCGATCTTCGGTGTTGGACGGTTCGGCAGCTCGCTCTCTGTGCTGGCGTCGACGTACATGGGTTCGTCCATGTCGATTCGAGCATACCTACGTTCTGGGTCTTCGTTGAGCTTCTTCGGGGCCTCGCGTTGCGGTTGCTCTATCTCGATCCTAGACACCAGCACCATCGGCAGCTCTTTGAGCTTGCGATCGGCTGCAAGGTTTGGATCTAACATGTCCACATTCGATATGTTGGGCATTGGCAGTTCCTTGTCTCTGCGAGCTTCAGCTCGCATCGGCAGCTCCTTCAGCGCCTTTGGGCCGGCTCGCCTCGCAAGCTGCATGTCCGCACTGAACTTTGCAACCTTGGGTTCCTCGTGTTCCGTGCGAAACTATTGCCGCATCGGTTCCGGAATTAGCGTTTCGGGCAGTGTTATCCTGGGGTCCGTGCAGTTCATGTCCGTTGTTGGCATTGCGAACTTTGGTTCGTCTCTGTCAATCCGCGGCTTCTCGAAGCTTGGAAGCAAGGTGAGTGCCTTCGACATGCTAGCATTGGGTTCCAGCATCTCGCTGCGCTCTTTCGCACGGGTCGGCTCGTCAGTCAGCGTCAGTGCCAAGGCGAACATCCATGACGCCAACTTGTCGCAGTCATTCACGGTGGCAAACTTCGCACGTCTCGGTGATCGGCTCTCCGTCTTCGACCACGTGGCTTTAGGCAGTTCGTTATCCCTGCGATGTCACGCGCAGCTGAGCAAGAACATGTCTGTCATGGACTTCGTTTCGATCGGAAGCTCTATGAGTCTACGTGGGCTCATTCGCATGGGCAGTTCCATCAGTCTCGCTGGGGGACAGGCCATCCTGCAGACGCGCTTATCGATCCTCTCGCAGGCGTCTCTCGGCAGCACATTGAGCGTACGTAGCTTCTCGCAGTTGGCCTCCAAGGCTTCGGTGTTGGATGCGGTTGCGACTGGTTCTTCGATCTCCTTGCGCAACTTCCTGCGCCTCGGAAGCGCTTGTAGCGTCCACGGACTGGCGTTCCTATCTAGCGCACACGCGATGAGCGTTTTGGACGCGATTTCTCTAGGAAGCAGCATGAGTTTGCGTGGTGCGTTCAAGTGCGGCGGCGGATTGAGCATCTTAGATTACGTCAGCATGGGCAGTGAGCTCTCCCTGCGATCGGCTATGCGCTGTGGTTCTAGCCTCAGCATCTACGGTGCCGGCACTCGCGGTCGCGTGGGCTGCCAGATGTCAATGCTGGATCTGCTGCACATGGGCAGCACGATCTCGGTGCGATCCTTCGTTCGCATGGGCAGCGCGATGTCGACACTAGATTTCGTCACAGTCGGTTCCTCGCTGTCCATCCGCCAGTTCGCAAGGTTCGGCTCTGCAGTCAGCGTTGCCGGACTCTCCGGTTGCCGCTTCTCACTCCTGCAGCACGTGAACTTGGCTAGCTCTCTCTCTGTGCGCGGCACTGCTCGCATGGGCAGCAACATGAGCGTTCTGGAATTCGTCGGATTTGGAGCAGAGTTGAGCATTCGGTCCACTGGCTTTCTGGGTAGTGGTGCCAGTGTTTTGGACTTCGTGTCCTGCGGCAGTGCCATGAGTCTCCGCAGCAACTTCCGCGCAGGTTCTCATGCCTCAGTGCTTGATGCCACGCATTTTGGCAGCACCCTGAGTGTGCGCAACTGCGTCCGCCTAGGTTCCGCTTGCAGCTTGTTCGGCAAGCTCGCTTTGGGCAGCTGCTTGAAGCTCTCGGTGATTGGTGCAGCGAACTGTGCTTCATCCTTGAGTCTGCGAACGAGCGCTAGATTGGGCTCTGCTCTCAGTGTGCTCAACTTCACGGCCATGGGATCGACTATGTCCACGCGCTCCTTCGTGCGCTTGGCCAGCACCTTGAGTGTCTTCGGAGATCAGAAGGTCGGAATGAAGTGCTCAGTCCTGAGCAGCGCTTCCTTGGGCAGTTCATTGTCCGTTCGCGCTTTGGCTCGATGCGGATCGCGTGCAAGCGTCCTAGACTTCCTGCAAATTGGAAGCTCCATGTCAGTTCGCCAGTTCACGCGCGTTGGAAGCGGCATGTCCGTCCACGGCGCCTTCCAGGTTGGATCTGCTTTGGCAGTTAGCGTAATTGGCATGACGACGATGGGCAGCAGCATGTCCCTCCGATCCTACTGCCGATGCGGTTCCGCGATGTCGCTGCTTGACTTCGTCAACGCCGGCAGCTCCGTGTCACTCCGTGCACACATGCGCTGCGGCTCCAGCATCAGTGTTGTGGGCGAACACGCGCGCATCTCGCCAAGGATCAGCATCCTGAACTCAGCAACGCTCGGCTCGTCCTTGAGCGTCCGTTCCCTGGCTCGCTTCGGCAGCGCAGCCAGCTTGCTTGACTACCTGCAGTGCGGTTCTTCCCTTTCGTTGCGCACCTACTTGCGTGTCGGATCCGCCGTGAGTCTCTTCGATGGCTTGCGCGGCGGCAAGCAGGCCAGCGTCCTGGACTACTTGAGCATCGGATCCAGCCTGAGTGTGCGTTCAATGTCTCGATTTGGATCCTCGGCGTCCGTCTTCGACTACATGAACTTGGGTTCCAGTCTCAGTCTGCGCAGCTTCACGCGGCTGGGCAGCCACCTGTCCGTCCACGGTGACGTGGATATGCACGGAACCAGTTCTGGTTTGAGCATCTTCCCACGCGCACGCTTCGGAACGCAATTCTCCGTGTTCGACTTTCTGCAGGTGGGCTCAGCCTTGTCTCTCCGAGGTCAAGCGCGTCTGGGCAGTTCCTTGTCCGTGCACGGCGCCAGCTTCTTAGGATCGGTGCATCGCATGAGCATCATCGGCTTCTGCCACTTGGGAAGCAGCTTCTCTTTGCGCAGCTTCGCTAAGTTCGGCAACACCTTGTCTATTCTGGATAGCGTGACTCTGGGAAGCTCGATGTCTTTGCGCAGCTTCACAAGGACTGGCAGCGCAGTCAGCGTGTTGAACTTCGCGCACTTCGGATCCAGTGTCAGTGTGCGCAACTTCGTGCGCATCGGCTCTTCCTGTTCGATCCTGACCGACGCGCGCATCGGCGGCGCCGTCTCGGCTCTGCAACAGGTGCATTTAGGCAGCTCTTTGTCCGTCCGCGGTTTGGCACGTATGGGTTCCCAGGCTTCGGTCTTGGACTTCGTGCAAGTCGGAAGCAGCCTGTCCGTACGCCAGTTTGCTCGCATCGGCTCTGGCCTCAGTGTCCATGGCAGAACTGCAGTTGGCTCCGTTTACCGATTAAGTATCATCGAGCGCACAACCTTAGGGTCGTCGCTTTCTGTCCGAGGCACAGCCCGCTTCAACGAGCGTATGTCGGTCTTCGACTTCATGACACTTGGCAGCAATCTGTCTCTACGCGCAGTAGCCAGGTTAGGATCCGGACTTTCGGTCCTCCGTGAGATCCGAATTGGTGGTGACATCTCAGTCCTCGGCCAAATGCACATTGGCTCTACGTTCTCTTTGCGAGGGTTCACGCGCATGTCCTCTGCAATTAGCATCTTGGACTTTGCGACCATCGCATCCGGTGTCAGCATCCGCAACTGGATCAAGTGCGGCTCCGCTTTCAGCGCTTTTGGACACTCGCGTGTCGGTGGCGCATTAAGCGTGCTGAACTTCTTCCATATGGGAAGTAGTTGTTCCGTGCGTTCCTTCGCTGCGTTTGGATCCAGCTACTCTGCCTTCGACTTCCTCAAGTTGGGCAGCTCTCTGTCTGTCCGCTCAAGCGGCATCTTAGGTGCTTGCATGAGCGTGGTGGACTTTGCGCAGTTCGGCAGCTCCGTGTCGGTTCGCAGCTTCTTCCGATGCGGCGGACGACCAAGCGTCTTAGATGCATTCAACCTCGGCAGTTCGCTGTCGATCCGCGCCTACTGCCGCACAGGTTCTAGCATGAGCGTTCGCGGCTTACTCAATGTCGGATCAGTCTTGAAGATCAGCGTTGTGGACTACGCGCACTGCGGTAGCACCATGTCCGTGCGCAGCTTCGCTAGATTCGGCAAAACCATGAGCGTGCTGGACTACCTGGAAATGGGTTCGTCGCTCTCAACGCGCAACTTCGTGCGTCTTGGATCCAGCGTCTCCCTAGCCGGCGTTGGCATGCACAACGTTTGCTCCGGGAAACTGTCGGTCCTAGACCGCGTCTCCTTCGCCAGCACACTGTCGTTGCGAGGAAGCGCGAGATTCGGCTCCGCAACCAGCGTGTTCAACTTCGTGCACATGGGCAGCTCCTACAGCCTCAGGGCGTTTGCACGTTGCGGCAGCAGTCTATCAGTTGCAGGTCGCGACTTCCGCGCTTCCGGACGCATCAGCTTGTTGGATGGCTCCAACTTGGGCTCTAGCTTGAGTGTTCGCTCTACTGCGCGATTTGGATCGCGTATGAGCGTTTCCGAATTTGTGAACATGGCGTCATCCTTGTCTATCCGCAATTTCGTGCGTTTAGGCAGTGGCTTGAGCATCATTGGACTCACCAAGTTTGGATCTTTGCTGAACTGCAGCATCATCCAACAAGTCGACCTTGGCAGCAGCATGTCGATCCGCTCAACTGCTCGCTTCGGAAGCGCCATGAGCATCTTGGACTTCCTGAACATGGGCAGTGGCTACTCTTTGCGCAACTACGCTCGATTGGGCAGCGGACTCAGCATTCATGGCTTGGCCAGGGCTGGTTCGGTGTTCAGTCTGTCGTTGGTGGATTGCGCAACTTTGGGAAGCAGCATCTCGGTCCGCGGCTTGGCTCGCATTGGCAGCAAGTGCTCGGTCCTGGACTTCATGGAGCTGGGCAGCACTTGTTCCATCCGTTCCTTCGTACGTGCGGGCAGCGCGTGCTCGCTCTTTGCGACGCTGAAGATCGGCAAGCAAGCCAGTATCTTGGACTGCGCACACCTGGGCAGCTCGTTCAGCGTGCGTAGCTTCACACGATTCGGCTCCTCATTGTCCGTTCTGGAGTACACCGGCATCGGCAGTTCGGTGTCTTTGCGTTCCTTCGCACGCATCGGGTCCTCCATCTCCGTGTACGGCGACAACATGCGTGCGCGCAGCCGCGCCTCGATTCTCGGATTCATGCACCTGGGCAGCAGCTTGAGCGTGCGTTCCACAGTCAGATTTGGAAGCGCCATGAGCCAACTGGACTTCTCGCAAGTCGGATCTAGCGTTTCTCTCAGACAGCTTGCTCGTTGCGGCTCTAGCGTAAGCTTGTTTGGACTGTTCGCATGCGGTTCTGCTCTGCAGTTGAGCGTAATCCAGCAACAGAGCTTGGGTTCCGCACTTAGTCTTCGTGCGTTTGCTAGATTCGGCCAGAAGTTGAGCGTTCTCGACTTCGTCGGCCTCGGCTCTGCGCTTTCCGTTCGTAGCAACTTTCAAGGCGGCTCTCGCGGCAGCATTCTGGACTTCATGGAGCTCGGTTCCAGCATTAGCATCCGATCTATGGTCCGGTGCGGATCCAGCATTAGCGTGATGGGAGCATCCAAGGTCGGATCTGTGCTCGGCGTATCTGTGATTGACTTCGTCAAGCTCGGATCGAGCCTGTCCTTGCGGTCTACTGCCAGATTCGGTGGCCACGTGTCTGTGTTCGACTTCATGACCATGGGCAGTGCTTTGTCGTTACGCCAATTCGCACGACTGGGGTCGAGTCTGTCCGTCCACGGCGTCGCTTCATTCGGTAGTGTCTGCAAAACCTCGATCATCGAGCAAGCGGCACTGGGCAGCTCCTTGAGCGTCCGTGCATTCGCACGTTGCGGTGATATGGGAAGCATCTTCGACTATTTGTCGTTGGGCAGCAGCATCTCCGTACGCAACTATGCCCGCGTCGGAAGCAGCTTCTCTCTCGGCAGAGAGTGCAAGACCGGCAGCATGGTTTCCATGCTCTCGTTCGTCGAATTGGGTAGCTCATTGAGCATCCGTAGCGTAACTCGCGTTGGTTCGTCAGCGAGCGTCCTGAACTTCGTGCACCTTGGATCCACTTTGAGTTTGCGCTCTATGGCAAAGTGCGGAAGCCGATTGTCCACACTCGACTTCCTCACATTGGGAAGCCAGATCTCTGTCCGGGCGTTCACGCGTCTGGGCAGTGGTGCTTCGGTTCGCGGCACCGCTCGCGTCTCCGAAAGCTTCTCCGTGTTGAGCTTCACGCAACTGGGCTCTAGCTGCTCAGTGCGCAGTCACATGCGCTTGGGCAAGAACTTGAGTGCACTCGACTTCGTGAGCTGCGGTAGCACATTGAGTATGCGCTCCTTGGTGCGGTTCGGATCTGCGTTGTCTGTGTTGGATTGCGCCACCGCAGGTAGCAGTATGTCGCTGCGCGCCTTCTGCCGCGTTGGATCCACGCTGTCGCTCACTCAGTTCTTGCGTGTTGGCCAGGATCTCTCTGTTCTCGACAGCGCCACAATGGGCAGCAGCCTCTCTGTGCGCACGTTCACGCGACTCGGACACGAACTGAGCGTCCTCGATGCTCTTAGCTTCGGCAGCAGCATGAGCTTACGATCCACTATTCGTGCAGGATCCGCTGTTTCCTCCTTGAGCTTCAGCGCCATCGGATCGACACTCAGTATCCGTAGCTTTACGCGTGTCGGCAGCTCCTTCTCCGTACTCGGCTTGACGAAGTGCGGGTCCGTACAGACTCTCTCCGTTATCGGAAGCATTCTGTTGAGCAGCAACTTGTCGGTCCGCAGCTTCCTGCGCCTCGGCAGCAACATCAGCGTAATCGACTATGTCGAGATGGGCTCAGCAGTCTCGATCCGCTCTTACACACGTCTAGGGTCCGCCTTCTCGGTCAGCAGCAGTTGCGGAAAGTGCAGCACGCTTGGCGGTACTGGTGGATTGAGCATTCTGAGTCAGACGACGTTGGGCAGCTCTTTGAGCGTCCGATCTCACGGTAGATTCGGATCTGCCGCAAGCGTTTTCGACTTCATGAACCTCGGCAGCTCCTTGAGCTTGCGCGCCATGGTACGCTGCGGCAGCAGCTGCAGCGTAACTGGTCGTGTCGCGCTCGGCAGCGTCTGCACTTTGTCCGTGATGGGCTGTTCGAACCTGGGCTCCACGCTCAGCGTGCGTGGCTTCGCCAGATGCAGTTCTCGCGCTAGCGTCATGGACATGCTGTCCTTGGGCAGTACACTCTCCCTTCGAAGCGTGTGCCGTATCGGATCCACGTTCTCAGTCTTCGCTAGAGGAAAAGCAGGCTCCGACATGTCCGTGATGTGCCACACGCACTTGGGCAGCTCCATGTCGCTACGCCGCTTCGCTATGCTAGGAAGCAAGATGTCCGTGCTCGACTTCGTTGGCATCGGCTCTTCTCTCTCCGTGCGTGCCTTCGTGCGTTGCGGCTCCGCCTTCAGCGTCAACCGCGTGTCTTCGGAAGCGGTCGCATCGTTTGGCGTCAAGCTGTCCGTGTTGGACATGATGGCTCTTGGAAGTTCGTTAAGCGTCCGGGGCGCAGTGTCGATGGGCTCTAGAGCCTCTATTCTTGACATGTTCAGCATGGCCAGCTCGCTTTCGATCCGCACCATGTCGCGTCTAGGAAGCAGCCTGTCTGTCACAGGCGTGATGAATATCGGATCCGTCAAACGCTTGTCCGTCATTGGCCTAGCCACTGCAGGCAGCACTCTGTCGATCCGATCGTTCTCCAGACTCGGTTCTAGTGTGAGTGTCCTGCAGTTCGCCCACATGGGATCGGGCTTGTCAGTGCGCAGTTTCGGTCGCTTCGGAAGCAGCATGTCGATGGTCGACTTTGCGATCCTCGGGTCCTCCGTCAGCATCCGTAGCTTCACGCGCTACGGTAGCGCGTGCTCCGTCTTGGAGTTCGTCACGATGGGCAGCGGCTTGAGCATGCGTTCGTTCGCACGGCTGGGCAGCACCTTGTCTGCCATGAGCACGTCTCGATGTGGCGAAGGACTTTCAGTGCTCGATTGGGCGCTCTTTGGGTCTTCGCTGTCTGTGCGTACCTGCACAAGATTCGGCAGTGCTATGAGCGTGGTGGACTTCGCACACATCTCCAGCTCAATCAGCTTGAGGTCCTTCATGCGTCTGGGTTCGGGCTTATCCGTTTTCAGCCGCTTGAACGCGGGACAAGCGGTCAGTGTGCTGGGGCAAAGCCATATCGGCTCTAGCATGAGCTTGCGGAGTGTCGCAAGACTAGGAAGTGGCGTGTCCGTTCTGGACAACGTCTCGTTCGGATCTTCGCTCTCGATCAGAGCATGCGCAAGGTTCGGCAGCCGAACATCTGTCTTGAACTTCTTCGGTTGTGGTAGCTCCCTCAGCATGCGTTCAACTGCCAGGATGGGAGCAAACATGAGCATTTTGGACTTCGTTCATCTCTCCAGTAGTTTGAGCATCCGTTCTCACGCTCGTCTCGGATCTAGCAGTTCCGTCTTCGGCTTGGCTCGTGTCGGCAGCTGCTACGAAATGTCCGTGATCGGCATGACGCACTTAGGCTCCAGCTTGTCCTTGCGCGCCTTCGGCCGCTTCGGCAGTGCTGTCAGTATCTGCGAGTTCGTCACTCAGGGAAGCAGTTTGAGTCTACGGTCCTACGTGCGCATCGGATCCTCGGTGTCCGTCTGGAACAAGGCTATGCGTGTTGGCGGTGCTCTGTCGCTTTTGAACAGCGCGTCGATCGGCTCCAGCTGCAGCGTGCGTTCCTTCTCGAGACTCGGATCCACGGTTTCGATCTTGCGCACGGCGCGACTTGGAAGTGCCCTTTCTGCCTTGGCAGAAGTGCACATTGGCAGTTCGCTGTCTGTGCGCAGCATGGCTCGCGTCAGCGGAAACACCAGCATTCTGGACCATGTCTACTTCGGCAGCGCTCTCTCCATCCGCAGCTTCATGCGCGGTGGTTCTCGTTGTAGTGTGCTGGATCAGTTGGCCGTCGGCAGCAGCTTGAGTCTGCGTGCCACAGTCAGGCTTGGATCTTCGTTATCGGTTACTGGCTTGACAGCATTGGGCAGCTGCTTGCGAACGAGCGTGATTGAGTTCACGAATCTGGGAAGCTCTATGAGCATCCGCAGCTTCACGCGCATCGGCGAGCGCGTATCCTGCATGGACGCGATGCACCTTGGTTCATCTTTGAGCCTGCGTGCTTTCGCACGTCTTGCAAGTGGAGCCTCTGTGCTCGGCCGCACTCGTCTGGGCAAGGACCTTTCGGTGATGGACGCCACGTCGCTCGGCTCCAGCGTATCTCTCAGATCGCTGTGCCGCTTCGGAAGCGCTTTGTCCATCCTCGACTTCGCTATGTGCGGCAGCGCCGTGAGTGTACGCTCCTTCACCCGTCTGGGCTCCGCTCTCGTCGTTTCTGGACTCGCAAATGTGGGTAGTTGCATGAACTTGAGCGTAATCGGCGCCATGAACCTGGGCAGCTCGCTTTCGTGCCGCGCCTTTGCACGGTGTGGCTCCGCCATGAGCGTCTTGAACTTCGTCAACGCCGGTAGCAGCATGAGCATCCGCAGCTTCTTGCGTCTCGGCAGCTCTGTTTCGGTACGTGGTCTGCAGCATGTTGGTTCAGTCAGCCGTGTCTCGATTATTGACTTTTTGACCGCTGGCAGCTCGTTCTCCGTCCGTGGACTCGCAAGAATTGGAGCTCAGATTTCGATTCTCGACTACGTTTCGATCGGCTCCAGCGTCTCCATGCGCGCCTTCATGCGGTTGAGTTCGAACATCTCGATCCTCGACTATCTGAAGTTGGGCTCGAGCGTGTCGGTGCGTGGCTTTGGTCGTTGCGGTTCTCGATGCAGCGTCCTAGACACTTTCGCACTCGGTTCGTCGCTCTCCTTGCGCGACTTCGCTCGCATTGGCAGTGGCTTCTCCATCTCCTGCGCGAGCGCAGTCGACAACAAGAACGTGCTGCAGGGTGCCTTGTCGGTGCTCAACAGCGTTTCCGTGGGAAGCAGCTTGAGTGTCCGCTCGAAGGTGAAGATGGGGGCGCATATGTCCGTCCTGGACTTTGCCACTACTGGTTCTGGACTCTCGATCCGTAGCTACGTCCGCATGGGCTCTGGCTGCAGCTTCATGGGCCTGATGCGAACGGGCAGCTGCTACCAACTTTCGGTAGTAGAGTGCGCCCACTTCGGCAGCAGCTTCAGTGTCCGCTCCATGGTGCGTTCCGCGTGTCGACTCTCAGTTCTGGATGCGGGTACGCTCGGCTCCGCCCTGAGCTTGCGGTCGTTCCTCCGCGCTGGATCCAGCATCTCGGTTCTCAAAGCGGTGCGTCTCGGAGATCAGATGTCCATGGTCGGACGCGTCTTCTTGGGAAGCTCCATGTCGGTGCGCAGCTTCGGGCGTGTCGGAAGTGCAGTGAGCATCTTAGACGCAACCTCCTTGGGCAGCTCGATCAGCGTTCGTGCATGCATGCGTGCCGGCTCGTGCGTCAGCATGCTCGGCTTCGCAGCACTCGGAAGCTCGTTGTCGTTGCGCAGCTTCTTGCGACTCGGATCGTGCTTGTCCGTGACGGGTACAATCCAGTGCAGCAGTTGCCATAGACTCTCCGTTGAGGGCCTGTGCCACATTGCCAGCTCTCTGTCAGTGCGCAACTTCCTCCGCTTGGGTGACAAGATCTCGGTCTTCGATGCCACAGCTGTTGGAAGCACGCTCAGCCTCCGATCGTTCGCACGCTGCGGCAGCTCCTTGTCGCTGCTGAAGACGGCCAGGTTGGGCCAGGACGTTTCCGTGATCAACTTCTTGCATCTCGGCAGCACGTTGTCGTTGCGCTCGACCTTGCGTGCTGGCAAGTGCTTGTCGACCTTGGATAGTGCTCATTTGGGCAGCTCGCTGAGTCTCCGCAGCTACCTACGAGTGGGATCCGCTTTGTCAGCCTCCGGTCAGTTCGCGCGCATCGCGGGCAAGACCAGCGTCATGCAGGAAGTCGCACTCGGTTCCAGCCTGAGTTGCCGTGCCTACGCGCGCTGCGGCTCCAAGGCTTCGTTGCTCGACTTCTTCCAATTGGGCAGCGCTCTGTCTATCCGCAGTGTTGGCCGCTTCGGGTCCGCTGTTTCGGTCTGCAGTTTTATCACAGTCGGATCCAGTCTGTCGTGCCGCAGCTACGTGCGCTTTGGCAGCGCCATGTCGACGTTGAACTTCGTTGACATCGGCTCCTCCATGAGCGTACGCGCGTTTGCGCGCTTGGGTTCCGCCATGTCAGTGACAGGGCAGTTCAACTGCGGTTCGTGCTACCAATTGAGCGTCATCCAGTGGACACACTGCGGTTCTAGTCTCAGTCTCCGCTCCTGCGCTCGGTTCGGCAAGGCCTTGAGCGTGTTCGACGCCGCTCATCTAGGAAGCTCCGTCAGTCTGCGTGCATTCGCGCGCGTCGGCAGCTCTATGTCGCTCTACGGAAAGGTCCGCTTGATGGGTGCCGCATCTGTTGTATCGCAAATGGAGGTCGGATCAACGCTCTCCCTGCGAAGCGTCTCTCGTTTGGGTTCCAGACTCTCTGTCTTCGACTACCTGCAGCTCGGCAGCTCAGTTTCGATGCGCAACTTCGTTCGCACAGGAAGTTCATGCTCCGTCCTCGGCAGTGGGCGCTTCGGTGGCGCATGCAGCGTGATGGATATGTGCCATCTGGGAAGCGCGATTTCTGTGCGATCCACCGTACGTCTGGGCTCTGCCGCTTCCGTGCTCAACTTCGTGAACGTCGGGTCCAACTTGTCGGTGCGCAGCTTCGCGCGACTCGGCTCCAACGCTAGCGTGATCGGCCTGGCCGCCACTGGCAGTTGCTTGCAGCTCAGCGTACTGAACTTTGTGGCATTTGGCAGCTCCATCAGCGTCCGATCTCTGGTCAGGATGGCCTCCGCTTGCTCTGTCGTGGACTTCGTGAACGTGGGCTCCTCAGTCTCGTTGCGCCAGTACACGCGCATCTCCAGCGGCCTCTCGATCTTCGGCGTAACGTCGAAGAAGGCGACTTTGGCAACGGGCTTGAGCGTCCTCGCACACGTGGAACTCGCCTCCTCCCTGTCTGTGCGCTCGTGCTGCCGCTTCGGTAGCGCACTGAGCGTTCTGGACTTCACGGGCTGCGGCTCCTCCATGAGCGTACGCCAGTTCGTACGTTGTGGCAGCAGCTTCTCAGTCCTTCGTGACGTCAACGCGGGTGCCAAGATGTCTACGCTGGATTGCTTGCATTTGGGTTCCAGCCTGTCTATGCGCAGCTTCGGTCGCTTCGGCTCAGCATTGTCCGTACTAAGCTTCAGCACTCTGGGAAGCAGCGCTTCGTTGCGCACGTTCGCTCGTATGGGATCCGCATGCAGTGTGCGTGGTATCTTCAACGTTGGCAGCGTCTGCAAGATGAGTGTTATTGACTTCTTGCACTTGGCGAGCACATTGTCTGTGCGCTCCTACGTACGCTGCGGTGCCGCCTTCAGCGTGCTGGAGGCGCAAACGATTGGATCCGCCCTGTCTTTGCGTAGCTTCGCACGTGTGGGCAGCGCGATTTCCGCCACCGGTGCCGTCCGATGCGGCATGACCTTGTCGTTGTGCTCGCAGGCGACGATCGGCAGCTCGATGTCGCTCCGCAGTTCGGCTCGCTTCGGCTCCGCTCTCTCGGTGCTCAACTTCGCGAACTGTGGCAGCTCTCTGTCGCTCCGCAACTACGTGCGCATTGGTAGCGCCTTGTCCGTAACCGGTCTTGGCTACGTCGGCTCTTTGCGCATGTGCTCTGTGATCAACAGCGTGCAACTCGGCAGCTCCTTGTCTCTGCGTTCAAGCGCCCGCATGGGCAGCGCACTCAGTGTGCTGAACTACGCAAACCTGGGATCCAACCTCTCGTTGCGATCCTTCGTTCGCGCTGGCTCCGCACTCAGCGTTGCTGAGGCCGCACGCCTCGGTGGCTGCTTGTCGGTGATCAACTTCGTGCATCTTGGCAGCAGCATCTCCGTCCGCAGTACAATCCGTCTTGGCAGCTCCCTCTCAATCCTGGATGCAACACATCTTGGTAGCAGCATTTCACTGCGATCGTTCATTCGTGCGGGCAGCAGCTGCTCGGTCTTCGGCCGCCTCGGCGTCGGAAGCTGTGCTCGCTGTTCCGTCATCAACTGGTTGCACTTGGGCAGCAGCATGTCTCTGCGCTCCATGGCGCGCTTCGGCTCCGCGATGTCGGTCCTCGACTCCACGGCAATTGCTAGTTCCATGAGCATCCGCAGCTTCGTGCGTCTCGGTTCGTCCTGCAGCATGCTAGGCCGCTGCTTCGTGCACAGCTCGTGCTCGATTCTCGCGGAACAGCATATTGGAAGCAGCTTGAGCCTACGCAGCTACACGCGATGTGGTGAACACTCTTCGATCCTGAGCTTCGCATCCCTGGGATCCGCTCTGTCGATCCGATCGTGTGTCCGCTTGGGAAGCGGCATGTCGGTTAGTACCAAATCGCAGGTCGGCCAGCAGCTCTCGATTCTAGCGCAAGCGAGCCTCGGATCCACCTTGTCGATCCGCAGCACGGCGAAAGTCGGTGCCGCAATGTCGATGCTGGACTTCTCCTTGATGGGAAGCACTCTGAGTGTCCGTTCGTACATGCGCTGCGGCTCCAACCTCTCTGCGCTCGACTACGCGCAACTGGGCAGTGGCTTGAGCATCCGATCGGTCGCTCGCTTCGGCAGTGCCTTGTCTGTGCTTAGCTTCAGCAACGTCGGCTCCTCGATGTCTCTGCGTTCCTTCGTGCGCATGGGCAGCAGTCTTTCGGTCTCCGGTGCAACCCTTCTCGGCAGCATGTGCCGCTTGTCGGTCATCGCTTTGGTGAACCTTGGCAGCACGCTTTCCGTTCGCGCTTACACGCGTCTCGGCAGCAACCTGTCTGTTTTGGAGCATGTTAGCGTTGGATCGGGACTCTCAATCCGGTCCTTCTCGCGCTTCAGCTCTGCTCTCTCAGTCCTGGACAGCATCGCTTGCGGCAGCGCAATGTCCGTGCGCGGATTCGTCCGTCTCGGCAGCGCTTTGTCGGTGGCTGGTGGTAAAGTTGCTCTCGGTCTCAACGGTGAGAACCGTTGTTCCGTTGGCGCAGTCGCTCAGTTTGGACGCGAATTGTCCATCCTGGCAGCCACTAGCTTGTCCAGCACCTTGAGTCTGCGTTCCTTCACTCGCTTCGGCAGTGCAGTGAGCGTAATGGGCTTCGCCACTTTGGGCAGCAGCCTGTCTTTGCGTTGCTTCGCGCGCTTCGGCAGCAGCATTTCTGTCTTCGGCAAGATGAGCCAGAAGGGACGCATGTCTGTCGTCGACCATATGGCTTTGGGAAGCTCGTTATCTCTCCGCAACTTCGCTCGTATGGGCAGCTCCATGTCGCTCATGGATTTCTTAGCCAGTGGCAGCAGTTTGTCGCTGCGATCTGCGGCTCGCCTCGGCTCAGCGTTCTCGGTGCACAAGTCTGCTAACTTTGGTGCTAGGTGCTCCGTTTTGTCGCACTTCCACTTGGGCAGTTCGTGCAGCGTCCGATCCGGCACTCGCATGGGCAGCAACATCAGCGCGTTGAACTTTGTGCATGTCGGCAGCAGTTTGTCCGTCCGCAGCACCGCTCGGATGGGCGGCTGCTTGTCGGCCCTCAACTACGTCGCTCTGGGAAGCTCTCTGAGTATCCGTGGTTCAGTGCGATTAGGAAGTGGACTGTCAGTGCATGGCTTGTCGCGCATGGGCAGCATCTGCAACTGCAGTGTGATCGACTTCGTCCACTTCGCGTCCTCCATGTCTGTCCGTAGCTTTGTGCGCTTCGGCAGCGCGATTTCGGTCTTAGACTTCACGACTCTCGGTAGTTCCATGTCCTTGCGTGGTTCCGTTCGTCTCGGCTCCTCCCTCAGCGTGTACGCCAACGCTAAGTTCGGCGGCCAGATGAGCGTCATTCAGCAAGTGCACTTGGGAAGCTCGTTGTCCGTACGTGGACGCATGGGACGCTTCAGCGCTCAGGTTTCCGTCTTGGACTACATGAACATGGGTTCAAGCTTGAGTATCCGACATTACGTGCGATGCAGCAGTGCCATGAGCTTAATGGGCTTGGCTCGCGTCGGCTCCTGCTACGAGTTCTCCGTGATCAACTACGTGTCGCTCGGCAGCTCGGTGTCTGTTCGGAGTGTCTCGCGATTCGGTGCCGCAGCGTCGGTGTTGAACTTCGTCACTTTGTCAAGTTCAGTGTCTCTGCGCCAGTTCATGCGCGCCTCGTCTGGCGTAAGCGTGTTGGGCACGCTCCGCGTTTCAGGAAGAGCTGGCATGAGCGTCGTTTCGCAGGTGGCGCTCGGCAGCAGCTTGTCTATGCGCAGCTTCGCTCGCATGGGCAAGTCCCTGTCTGCTCTCGACGCCGTGTACCTTGGCTCCAACCTGTCGATCCGCAGCGCGGTTCGTATGGGCTCTAGCCTTTCCGTCTTCGGCTTCGGTGCCTTCGGAAGCTGCTTGCGGCTCAGTATCGCACAGCAAGTGGACATCGGCAGCAGCCTGTCGATCCGGTCCTTCGTCAGGTTCGGCTCCGCTTTGTCCGTCTTGGATGCCGCGTACCTTGGCAGCAGCTTGTCTCTGCGTCAATTCTTACGTTCTGGCTCTGCAGCTTCCGTTGTCGGCGCCATGCGCGTTGGTGGCGACCTGTCTGTTGTACAGTGCGCGAACATGGGTTCGAACTTGAGCATGCGCTCGCACGTCCGCTTGGGCGCTAGAACTTCCGTTTTGGACTTCCTGAACGTGGGCAGCTCGGTTTCGCTCCGTGCCTTCATGCGATGTGCAAGTTCCGCATCCTTGATGAAGAATATTCAGGTTGGAGGAATGTGCAGTGTCTTAGACGCGGTGCAATTGGGCAGCAGCTTCTCGGTGCGCAGCTGTGGTCGCTTTGGATCCACGATTTCGGTTCTCACGTACGCTTCTCTTGGTAGTTCCTTGTCGGTGCGCAATTTCGCGCGCCTCAGCGACGGCTTCAGCGCTCTGAGTTACGCGCAGCTGGGCAGTAGCATCAGCTTGCGGTCCACAGCGCGCTTCAGTGGTAGTTTGTCGACATTGGAGTTCGTAACCATTGGCTCTAGCCTGTCCTTGCGCAACTTTGCACGCATTGGCTCCGGCTGCTCGGCGATCGGCTTCGTGGCTTGCAGTTCCTGCTTCGCGATCAGCGTCATCAACACCGTGGATATCGCCTCGTCGCTGAGCGTCCGTTCGTTCGCGAAGATGGGTGCCAGTTTGAGCGTGATTGACTTCGTCCAGATGGGTAGTTCTCTGTCCGTCCGTCGTCACAGCCGTCTAGGTAGCGGCCTCTCAGTGCTGAACTACGTTGCCTTCGGCAGCTCGCTGTCTGTGCGCTCGCACACGCGCTACGGCAGCCGCATGAGCGTTCTTGACATGCTGAACCTCGGTGCTTCGCTTTCCACGCGATCCAACATGCGTGGTGGTGCCGCAATGTCCTTGGTGGACTGCGTTGGCTTGGGAAGCTCGCTCTCCGTGCGCAGCTGCGGCCGATTTGGAAGCGCTCTCAGCATGCTGAACTACGTGTCCTTCGGCAGCTCTTTGAGTCTCCGTAGCTACGTGCGTTTGGGGAGCTCCTGCAGCGTCAAGGGATCCGTCCAGGCACAAAGCCGCGTCAGCATCCTGAACTACGCCAGTCTCTCCAGCTCTCTGAGCACGCGCTGCACCGCACGCTTCGGCAGCGGCATGAGCGTTTTGGGCCTGTGCAACTTGGGCAGTTCTTTGAGCTTGCGTTCGCAGACACGTCTAGGCAGCTCTCTATCCGTCTTGTCCGGCGCTCGCGTTGGCGCTAAGTGCTCAGTGGTAGAGCAGACGCACTTGGGAAGCTCCTTGTCCGTGCGCGCCTCTTGCAGATTCGGATCGTGCGCTAGCGTCCTGAACTTCTTCCAGCTGGGATCGAGTTTGTCCGTCAGGTCGCACCTGGGTGTTGGTTTCAACACTAGCATCATGGATTTCGTGAACTGCGGATCTGCGATGAGCGTTCGCAGTTTCGCGAGGTTCGGATCGCGTGCCTCGGTGCTCGACTACCTGAACGTCGGCAGCTCGCTCTCGCTTCGCAGCTTCGCGCGCGTGGGATCTACCTTGTCCGTTGCTGGAATGGCCGCTCTCGGTAGCTGCAACAAGTTCTCCGTCATCGGATGCACAAGTTGCGGATCCTCACTCAGTGTTCGTGGTATGGCTCGCCTCGGAAGCCGCGCTAGCGTCTTCGAATTCCTGGCTTTGGGATCGTCTTGTTCCGTCCGCTCCGCATCGAGGTTTGGTTCCAAGATGTCTGTGCTAGACACGCTGAACCTTGGAAGCGCTTTGTCGTGCCGCAGCGTCATTCGGTCTGGCGCCTCGTTGAGCGTGCTCAGCTGGGTGCACACTGGTAGCTGCGTAAGCGTGCGTTCCTTCGCTCGTCTAGGCTCTCACGGAAGCGTCCTTGACTACGTGAACATCGGCAGCAGCTTGTCTGTACGCAGCTTCTCGCGTCTCGGCTCAGCCTGCAGCTTGCTTGACTTCACGCAGCTCAGCAGTGGACTGTCGGTTCGCAACTTCGCTAGGCTTGGCTCGACTTGCAGCGTCATCGGCCTCTGCGCTTTGGGCAGTGTGAGTAGTTTGAGTGTAATCAACTGCTCGTCTCTGGGCGCGAGCTTGTCCGTCCGCTCCATCGCACGTATGGGCAGCAACATGTCCGCCCTCAACTTCGTATGCTGCGGCTCCATGGTTTCCGTCCGCTCAACAGCGCGCTTCGGCAGCTCCTTATCCGCTCTCCGACATGTACGTGTAGCAGAACAAGTCTCCATCCTGCAGCAGTGCCACTTGGGTAGCTCATTGTCCGTCCGACGTGTTGTGCGTGTGGGAGACGCGGTTTCGGTGCTCAGCTTCGCAACGTTGTCCAGCAGCCTGTCCATCCGCAGTTGCTCACGCATTGGCAGCTCTTTGTCACTCGCGGGTAAGACTGTGATGCATGGCGCCCTCTCGATCCTCGACAGCGTACAGCTAGGAAGTTCCGTCTCGATGCGTTCCGTCGCTCGCTTCGGCTCCATGGTCTCCGTACTCAACTGCGCCCATATCGGCAGCTCGCTCTCCGTGCGCAGCTTCGCACGTGTCGGTAGCTGTCTGTCCGCGTTCGACTTCGTAAACGTTGGCGGCGCTCTCTCATTGCGTGGTGTTGGACGATGCGCTAGCTCCCTCTCAGTCATGGATGCCATCTTCATGAGCAGCTGTGTCTCCATGCGAAGCTTCCTAAGAATCGGCTCCGGTTGCAGCTTGCTCGGACTCTCTAGAGTGTCGTCAGTGCACGCACTGTCCGTAATCAACTTCTCGAACGTTGGCTCTAGCGTGTCTCTGAGATCATTCCAGCGTCTCGGATCTCGAGTTTCCACTTTAGACATGTGCGCATTGGGCAGTTCCTTATCCGTCCGCTCACACGCCAGACTCGGCGCGTCGCTGACAGTCCTTGAAGCAGCTAGTCTCGGATCAACGTTGTCAGTCCGCTCTATGGCTAGACTGGGTTCCAGACTGAGTATCGTGGACTTCTTGCTCATGGGCAGCTCGCTGTCTATCCGCAACAGCCAGCGCATCGGATCTAGGTGCAGTGTACTGGATTGCCTGCAGATCGGAGCTGGGCTCTCATTGCGCAGTCACGCTCAATTTGGCGCCAACCTGTCGATCATTGACCTAGTCGATATCGGATCAGCACTTTCGTTGCGCAGCTACGTCAGAGCAGGTACTGAAGAATTGCTTCTTTCAGACTATGATGTTGATGTCTAAGGAACGAGAGTAGAGTACAGTAGGATAAGCAAACTTCTTACTAATGCATTATTTCTACTTGATTTGATTTACAATCAAATCATCATCGATTCATTCCCCTCACCGTTACTGCATCAACCTAACGAACATTCGACCAGGTTCGTCCATCTCCGTGATCGGCCGAGCCGCAGTCGGTAGCGTGTGCAGATTGAGCGTTATCAACTTCGTGCATATGGCATCGAGTTGCAGTGTGAGGAGCTTCTCTAGATTTGGTACAACTTTTTTTGAGTAGTGAATGACTTCGTTTTTAGACTGTTTTTTCACGAAGAGTCAATTGGGTATCTACAAGTAACGTGTCTCCTCTGCAATCATTTCAGAAACACGCCACAAACAACAGGTGCTCAGTTGTCCGTGTTGGATGCATACTGCCACGGATCTTCCGTGAGTATCCGTACTTTTGCCAGACTAGGATCAAGCTTGAGTTGCGAAGGAAGGTCGCATACGGGTAGTCTATCAGCAACTGGAAGAAGCTATGCAGGAGATACGCTTTCGGTACTTGAGTTTATAGCAACAGGAGTTTTGGATGGATGAGGTTTGGATCGTTAAGGAGCATGGAAAAAAGTCTAAGTCATAAACAGTAGCTATCTACAACGTGGTACGTGTACCTGCCAACCATGGAACTGAAGAGTTGCTTTAAATAAATATATATCCAAAATGAAAAATTATACCATCCACCTCGCACAATAACAGGTCTTCAGCTTCTCAAGATTCGGAGGAAAGGCTTCAGTGCTAAATTGCATGGCACTGGGATCATCCTTGAGTCTCCGTAGCTTCCTGCGACTAGGCTCTGCGATGTCCGTGCACGCGACAGGTAGGGAAGATTCGATTATAAGATTTGAAATTCTACTAGATGATAGATGACGGATTCCAAATGATACAGACCATGTACTATACTTTGAACAACATTTCATCTTCGTCATCGTCCACACAAATTCACAGGTTGCTTGGCAAAGGCGCGCGTCCAGCGCGCGTTGTCAGTGCATAACCGACTCAACGTCGGAAGCAGTTTGTCAGTGCGCTCTCACGCAAGATTGGGAAGCCGGGCTTCGGTATTGATGATTTTGATTTGCCTCGTAGAAACATACCAAACAGACACATCGTGCTTAGAATGCTCTTCCCCATCACGAATAAAATTTACCTCTCATCAAACAAACGTTTACTTGGAACCCCTCTAGGTCCTGGACTTCCTGCATATTGGTGGAGCTTTGTCAGTCCGATCCACCTCCCAAATGGGTAGCAATTTGTCTGTTTTGGACATGGTCCAAGTCAGCAGTTCTTTGTCCATGCGTTCTTACGCACGCTTCGGAAGTTCGCTTTCAGTACTGAACTTCGCGAACCTTGGCAGTGGCTTGTCTCTCCGCAGCTTCGTCCGCTGTGGAAGCACCTGCTCTGTGCATGGCTTAACCGCAGTCGGATCCCTCTCCAGCATGAGCGTGATTAACTTCGTGTCTGTCGGCAGCACACTGAGCTTACGTAGTTCGTCCAAGATTGGCATGAAGATGAGCGTATTGAGCTACGTGCAGTTGGGTAGCTCTTGTTCGCTGCGATCGATCTGCAAGGTAGCAGCAAAAACCAGCCTCTTCGACATGATGGCGATTGGAAGCTCTCTGTCGGTCCGAAGCTGTGGCTGCGTCGGCAAACGCATGTCGGCACTGGACTTCCTGAATATGGGTACCTAAAACTGAAGATTTTTTTGATTAACAAATGCATTAGTGGAGAAAGCTCGTCGATCGCGAAGACATATTTTTGCTTCAAAAATGTTTCGTTGAGAACTACTTCATCCTTGTAAATCCGACTTCTTTATCCAGGTTCTTCCATCTCTGTGCGAAACCACGGACGCTTCGGAAGCAAGGCTTCTGTCCTTGACTTGCTGGCTATCGGTGGCACTATGAGCTGCAGATCGACAGGTATAGACATTTACAGATTTATGCCTTGCACGAGCTTTTATGATTTGTTGTCTCGATAGGTGAAAACTAGTTGAGATGGTTTAGAAATCTTTCCTGATAAGATGATCACTGTATCCTAGCGCAACATGATGTATGTAATTATTTGCAACATCACAATCTTACTACATCATCCAAAAACATCTAAAAACCCCTTTTCCACATCAACAGGTCAAATGGGCTCTCGCGCCTCTGTCTTGAACTTCGCTATTATGGGAAGCAGTGTGTCTTTGCGCGCCTTTGCTAGATGCGGCAGCTCATTGTCTGCATTTGGATCGACGTCGTTGGCCGGGGTATAATGTTGATAGAGAAATGAAGTAGAGAAATGCAGAAAAATGAAAGTTTCTCTATCAGAGTGATTTTCATTTTCTCTTCTTCGAATCACCTCAAGGTTGGCATCAATGATGAGTCACTTTTTAGAATCACCATGATGAGTTACTTTTTAGAATCATTATGATGAGGCACTTCTTGAACATGAAATGCCAAGCCCAAAACTACCCAACCGCCTAAACTCAAAACTGCACAGGCCGTCTCCGCCAAACGTCTATCCGTAATGGAGACTGTGAACCTTGGTTCATCGCTATCTATTCGGGGAACGACAAGAATGGGATCGCGAGCTAGTGTCTTGAACTTCGTGCACATGGGAAGTTCTATGTCTCTCCGTGGCTTCGTAAGGGCAGGCAGCAGCGTTAGCGTCATGGGAATGGTAAACGTTTATTTGTTTTTGAAAGACGATGATGTGCTCCTGGCGTAGTATGATAATTTGATACCACGTGAAGATTCATCAACCAATCAATCTCCCGCCTAAATATTGATCCAAAAAACCCTTTCCCACCCCCAAAACAGGGCCGCTTCGGTGGTGATCTTTCGTTGATGCAATGCTGCAAGTTGGGCAGCAGCGTCTCTCTCCGATCGACGGCGCGATTCGGAAAGTGTATTAGCGTAATCGACTTCGTCATGATTGGATCCTCGCTGTCTTGTCGACAATTCACTCGTATGGGCTCCAGCCTATCCGTTGCCGGCACATGCACAGCGGTGCCAGGTGGACAACTGTCAGTGCTGAACCAAGCTTCTATGGGCTCCAGTCTATCGATCAGAAGCTTTGCGAAGTACTTGACTATACTTTCTTTCAATCTAGTTATGAACGAATAATTTAAATACTCTCGTTAGTCATCCTACGACATTAATCAACCTCAACACCGTAAAAACAAGTTATTGTACGCTTTTCCTCTTCATCACATAAGTCACTCACCCGTTCCCTTTCCACATAAGTCACTCACCTTTTTCTTACAACTCCAGGTTCGGCGGATCGCTGAGTACATTGAACTTCGTGCTGATGAGCTCGTCGCTCTCAACGCGTAGCTTTGCACGCTTCGGATCTAGGGCTTCGGTATTTTTTATGATTTCTATGAATACCTCTTGTTAGGCACGTACATTCATTCATTCATTCACTCATAAAAAGACAATTTGCATTTTCATTTCAATCATTGGGAGCGTCGAAATACCTGCACTGGTAGTTTCCGTACGACGCTGACCAACATCTCAAACATACATCCCTAAACACAGGTCCTTGACTTCATGGCCATGGGAAGCTCCATGAGCGTCCGCAGTGTAGTGCGTATCGGAAGCACAGCCTCTATCTTCGGCCGCGCCCGATTTGGATCGAATCTCAGCGTTTTGTCATTCAGTACTGAACTTATTGTTATTTTTTCTTCTTTTGGTGTTGGTAGTAACAGATAAGTCTAAGTTCCTTATTCGGCAGTGGTTTCCAATTTGATGTGTGAATACCAGCATTAGAAACTTCCCTGTTGCACATTCAAAGCCATTTCCACAACCTCCGGCTAAAAACCACTCACAGCTGAATTCGGTGACTCTGTATCGATGCGGGCATATGCTAAGTTCGGAAGCGCACTCAGTTGCTTGTGCCATACCACGATCGGCTCCTCCTTCTCTATGCGTAGCTTCGCACGCCTGGGAAGCAGTACCTACTTATCAACTTTTTGCTTATTTGGCATCTGCATCAGGTAGGCAGTCAATTAATATGCTCTAAAAGTTCTTGTCTTTCTTTTTTTAATACATACTTACTAAATGATCTTTCGAATCACCTCCAAAAGCAAACAATCATGCCTAACAACATTCATCACTTGCATCTCTTCGCTTCAGGTATCTCGGTCGCTGGCGCAACAACGCTCGGACAGTACACTTACATTGGACATAACGGGAATTACATCAAGTATGTTGGTGGCACGGATAGTGGTGTAAGCACAGCCTACGCCTTCTGGGCTCAGACCACCAGCACGCCAGGCTCCTACTCGCCTTCGCGACGCATTACATTCACGTACTTTCTTATACGCTTTTTTTACTGCCATTGGTTGAGTATGGTTGTCTGGAAATGGAAACGTAAGATTTTCAGATTTAACAAAACAAGCATGTTGATACAAGTGTAAGTAGATACAACTGAGTATTAAGTTTTTTATTACGCTCGCAACCAAGATTAGGATTCATTCACAACGACCTCCTCGTGAATCATAAATCCGGAAAAAACAGCGCGGACACATCTGGTTCGCCGAATAACGTGTTGCACGGCAACTGGCAGTCCGACAACGCTATCTCGACAAGTTCCGACCGCAGACTGAAGAAGAACATCCGCCCTCTGTATGAGCAGATCATCGACCAATCCCGCGGTTTGGCCAACTGGGAGAAGGCTAGTGCGGAAGCTAGAAATAGCACCACTGTACTAACCTTGTCTGGACGAGGTACAACAACAACATCTTCCGGTCAACAGCATCTTCAGCAAAAGGAGGCTCTGAGGCGTATCTTCCGCACGTTGAATCCGGTGAGCTACCAGATGCGCAATGCTGGCGAGAGCAAGCAATTGCACTTCGGTTTCATCGCGCAAGAATTGGAGGAACTGTATCCGAACCTAGTAGCCACAACGCCCAGCACGGGCTTGAAAGCGGTCTACTACCAGGACATGATCGCGCTGCTGACGCTCACAGTGCAGCAGGAGATGGAGCGCCTAGATGTGGTCGCGATGCGCGTCGACAAGGTCAGCGAAGTGGCTTCCGAGCACGAGGATATGCTGATCGATAGCGAAGAGAAGATCACCCGCTTGGAGAAGGAGCTGGGCAGTCTGAAGAAGAGCCACACCGATCGAATGGTGAGATGGCAGGCTGAGGGGTTGCTAGATGTGGATGCTCCTCATGGTGAAGCGGTGACAACTTCTGTCACCACCAATACGACAGAACAGCAAGAAGTAAACTTGTTGAGGAAAGCTAGCGCTGGATCCACAACGACGTCTAAAGCCGTCGGTGAAGCTGAAGCAACATCAGCCACACGACCAGAAGAAGTAATCGAAGATGGTAGTACACTATACGTGTAATGACCATATGATGTGGCAGTGACTTCGTGGTTAGGGAATTCGAATATCTTGCGGTGCAAGATTGTATCATCAAAATGGAAGAAGATTTTCAACATGCCGTTGTACAACAACATCTTCTGTTTAACTTGAGAAATATGTCTACAGTTCTTAAAAATGTTATAGCGGTGAATGACCGAAGACTTTGTTGATTTCGAAAATCAATACAGTGATAAATGCTAATTATCAGATGATCATGTCAACAACTAAAGCTACTGCAGAAGTACAACTTGCAGTATTGATAGAGCCAAGAAAAAGATGTTTTCTAGTTTCATCGTAAGAAGTGTCTTCACCCCCAAGAAAATGCAAGTTCTTGGAAGGGTTGAAGAACCAGTGTCACCGATTCGCATTCTCATTCAGTTTTGCTTCACGTACTCGTGTGCAACCCAACTGGTTGTATCTGAAATAGTACGTTAGAGACTGACATCATGATTTTAGAAGTACTTAGAATTTATTTGAGTATACTAACAGTAACAGTTGTAACAGATAGAGCAGATAGATAGATCTAGATGTGGTACTGGCACATGAATGTGGTAGGAGAAATGAATAAATGCGATTTATTTAATATACTATAGCTGATTATTTACAATTTCAAAGGCAAGAACTTTCTCATTACTTTTCGACTTCACGACCAATAAAAATCTTAGAACTTCTTGATTGCAACGATGAATACGAATTATAAGTATTGATTTTATTAGGAAATGGCGAGTAACATCTTCATTTATAGGTGTTACTTAAGTGATTGAAGTTTGAAGAAAATGATGGTATTTTTTAGTTATAGAAGGTTAGTCCTCGTCAGTGATGAATTATATGTTGAAGTTGTCAAAACAAAGAAGATACAGATGGTCAAAGTCATACCATAAGAATATTCTCAGCGATCCAATCTAATTCATTTACTCTTAAGCCACTTGTTATATACCCGAAAATGAATAATCCTATCCGTCTTCAATAGTGTGTTACTTACCTTATGGATTCTCATGATGTAAGTTCTTCTCCGTTGCATACGACTAGAAACTGAGACTAGAACAATTTAGATACCAACAAGTCATGCAGACTGCTGCCACAGTCGCAATGGCACCTGTTGCTACCATACATCACCAGCATCGATGCTACAAAGCTAGCGCATTACGTTGGGGATAAAGAAGTTCTCAGTCAGGGGGAAAAAAGGTGCTGTCCTCGTCCTCTTAGGAAAGGAGCAAGGATTGATTACAGCTGCCACTGTAACAAACTCCTTGCAGGAAGATAGGACACGCATCAAGGCACGAGAAGCCGAGGATTTCAAAAACAAACGGGTACAAGATGGAGCTTAGAAGTGGCGTTTAATACAACTTCAAATTTGAGAAATACGGTTGCACAGATATTATCCTTTGAATTAATTCCTTTCTTTGAATAGTGCTCGTTGAAGACGTTGTATATCCCTTGAAGAAATTCCTTATCGCTATCGCATGTTGTCGTTATGAAAAATAAGTCGTCGCATATTTAGGATTAAGATTAAGATTTGTCCATTTATAGTTTGAGAGGTTATGTTCGTGATATTACAGAGAATAGTCCTAAGAAGGTCAAAAATATCAGTTTTTACTATGTCTTACAATTTGTTCATTATTCGTCAGAATTGTCTAAGAACTATCAGAATCAATTATGATGCATGCAGTTCTTCGTCTTTCCTCCTGAAACAAATTCTTGTGAGCGGCCGATGTTGATGCAGTCTCCTGGGTAACGGTGAAAGTGTACACGAGGACCCCAAGATGATTCAAAAACCTAATAAGAGAATTATCCTCGTCACAAATACAACAAAGAACATAGTTATAATCTTCAAATACAACTAAAGTCATCAACAACACATACTTTTATCGTTCAAGAAATTCATTCGATTACTACTAGAGTCTATACTAGATTACTATCGTACACAGAGTCTTAGCGTTTGTTCGTTTGTTATATTTCAGGTATGTTTAATAGAGTGAAGATAACCAGATGTTAAAAGGTGAAGGAATGGAAAAATGATCAAGAGAGAGTTTCAAGAGGATTCTTTGGCTATTCAAAAATGTTTTACATCAGTGTCACCCGTACGCCAACTCAATTGAAAAGAAACAAAAAATACTTCCTTGCGGCCAGGCAGTGCCCCTCGGCGACTTCCTTGACGCCAGGCTCCATCATTTGGAAAAGATGCGACTTCAAGAGGTGTGGAAGAAAACATCAGCCTCCATCATGAAGCTAAGATCCTCAACAGCGAAGGTCTGGACAAGATCAAGAAGAAGAACGATCATGTACTGGAGGTTGAAGAGAAGATCATTATCAGACAAGGTTTACGAGTCGTGATACGAGGTCTAGTTCATTATCAGACAAGCTCTACACGGCGTGATCGTGGTCTAGTTTTGCACTTGCTGGTTGACCTAAAATCGATTCAGCATGCCCATTCTAAAACCCCACATGCTGATTCTTTACTGTAAGGTCTAGATTTATTTGAATGTGAGTTGTTGATGTTAGTTCTATGTAGTCACTACTCAAGTGAACAAAAGACCATGGCCACTGCTTACGTGGACCGAGCTCGTCTCGCTCTAGACGAGTTTCGACGCGCTGATTTAATTAGCCTCGTCGGCCAGGATTTGCTGAACCACTTGAAGCAACCGACTAAAGGCAGCAAGCAAGTGCCCAAGGCACTAAGGCATTTGTATTTTCCGCCCTCCGCGATTTTCACGGAAGGCAGTACTACGGAGTTTTCACGTGGTCGCGTCTTGAGGGTAAAGCAAGTACGAGCTGACATTACAGAAGCGGAGTTGGTATTGGCGGTGGGGAGAACGTTGTTGTTTGACTTGCGGGATGAGGGGAGGAAACAGCGGTTGTTGCGAGCAGCCTTGCACGACGTGGAAGGAGGACTCAGCGCGCTCGATATCGATCATAGTTCGTTATGGAAATGGAGGTCTTCTAGTTTTCTACAATGCGATGTCATGAGTGCTAATCATGATAAAGGTTTACCACTTACAGATAGAAAGAGAATGTGATTACGAAAGCAAAACTTTTTCGACTGAGAAATATTTTCAGAAGAGAGACGTTCAAGCTTGTCCCTCTCTCAAGCTTGTCCCTTCTAATCTTCCACCTCCCCAGCGGAGAGGGCGTCAACTCCTCCTCTTGGTTACGCATCCACGTAGGCAAAGCGACAAAAGAGGAATCCCAATATGCCGCTCCAGGCCAGCGTGATGCGACGAAAGAGGTCATCACGGTGCATGTTTCAATCGTTCCCGGTGGGGAAGAGTGGATCTCCGAAAACCTGCTAAACGTCGCGTTCGAACGCTGGGAAAAAGCCTGTGACAAGTACTTGAGTCCGTCAAAAAGTTGGAGGTTGAAGTGCGATTGGGGTAGATACGTCACAGTGGATCAAGAGGATTAAGGCTACCACAAATCGTCCATCTTCAGCACAGGCATCCTGCGACCTCCGTTTTGAAGCAGGAAAAGGTTCTTCCAGGATGCGCGCGAAGATGGATTTCTATTAGTTCTAAGAAGAGGCGGAGAGACTGGAACTAGCAGCATCAGAATTGAAAGAAGCTTTGGCGAGGGGTGATTGGGATGGAGGAGCAACGGGGGGATCTGATCATCCAGGTGGGTCATGATCTGACATTGTTGAGCAGCAGGATACTTTTCTCTTTCTGCCTGGTGTACACTGATGTGAACACCAGCATAGATGTGAAACTGGCTGATATTACAACGACACAGACGATAGCACCCCACGAAATTTTCCTCCATTCCTGATTCTCCTGATACCTCCATTGTGATTTAATATCCAAACTTTTTTGTTAATACATATTTTCACAACTGACAAAAGCAACAACGGCTACACGACGCACAGCGTGAAAAAGTATGCTTGAGACGATTTGATGAGCGATTGAAAGAGCAAGAAAGGGGCTTGGTTTGCATGAGCAAGAAAAAGAAGAAACACACAAGACTTCAAGTGTCTTTGAGAAAGAGTAAAAAGCTGTAGAAGACTTGGAAATGTAGGAGCGATAGCAGGAAAAGAAAGAGAGGACAAAGAGCCGTATTATACCTAATCTTGAAGCTGTGTGGGCTGTCAGACACTCCACAAACAGACACTCCACAATGAACGGTTTCGACGACAATTTCGGCGATGAACGGAGTGCGTCAGGTTCTGGTTCCGGTCGGGCGGACAGCGGCACTACCCCCGCGCTGCCTGTCGTGTCCGAACCCACGTTTTCGAAGACGACTTTCGATGGTGGTCGCGAAGCCGGCGATGGGGCGGGCGGAGGACGGGACCTTGGTGGAGCTCTCCCAGGAGGTTTGAGTGCCCCTTCTCCTGCAACATCCTCCAGCAACGCACAGCCTGTCATACAGAGGACGAATTCATCACAAGCGACCGCATCTCCTGGCCCACAGTACTGTGCTAACGATCCTTCGCAAGTAGCCACTGGTTTCTGTCCGGAACTGGAGTTGGCACTGTGCCCATCAAGTTTCGACAATCTGAAGAGAATGCCAGCGTTTGCGCACATAACATTCGTGCCGCTGCACGAGAGCTTGCAGAAGCGGAGAAAAGATCCTGAAACTGGGGAACCATATGCGCTGTACGATTTGGAGACGCAGGTAAAATTTGAGACTTCCTCGATCTGATACCCCCACTGTCAAAAATTGAAGTAGCCGTCAAGATCATCCTTCACGTTCCTTCATCTACGCCTTCCTCGAGTACGCCTACGGAAAATGACGCACTATGAATGTACACTAGTCTCTCTCGGTTCTCTTCTTTCCACTAGGAACCAATCCCAACTGTGGCAAAGCTCGTAGGACGCAGCAGGACACACGAATGCTGCTCTTTAGAAGCGGGAGCGGATAAAATGCGGGAAGCGATGAAGGTATTATCAGGAAATCAATGCGAGGGTCATAAGTTTTGGGCATTTGTTGGAAGTAGAACAAGATGAAATAGAGATCAATGTTAAAAGTTAGTGTTACTACACATTAACGTGGTCAAAAATCCGGTTTCTGTCGCTGTCTGCAACTTAGATCAATCCACCTCCCACCTCAGACTCAGCTCACAGTCCTGAAAGACCAACTTTCGAATGCTCGAGTGGCGTCGACACACGTGGATAAGCTCATATTCGTTGTGAGTCAGGAAGCTGACGACCGACGAAGGGAAGTTGAGACCTACTTTGGCGAATTCCAGAAGAAGCTAGACCAAGCGCGCGAACGTGTCATGGACGAGTTACATGACGCAACAGCCAAGAAATTGAATACGCTGAGGCAATTGGTATCTATTATTCAGTACCGCTACTTTAAATCTATGGCCAGTGATGTTTACTAGCGAATCAGAATTTTCGCGTGCTCGTGTAATTCTCTGTTTTTATCAGTCGTCACTATGGAAGATTGATGATATAAGTACTTAGATATCTTCGTTGTAGTTGTACCGGGAATTCATCATCTCCGACCAATCCTATCAGAGCGAGCGTCTTCCTCTCATGGTTGCTTCTTCTTCGGAAGCAATCGACCGTGTCCAGGAGGTTTTCACTTTCGAGCGAAACGCCTTAGAACTCCTCTTTCGCCGCAAGGAAATGCAGCTCTATTTGGATTCGGTGGGATCGCGGTTGAACCTAGGAGGATCGGATATTTTTCAAGGCGACGTCCGACAAACCATGGGGCGTAGTGTTACAGTAGCTAAGGACGAGAACTTTGCGGTGTACCTAAAAGGTTGTGCCCAAGTCCGAACCGACGAGAAGGACCCGGAATTAGAACGGTGCTGGCAAATGGTGGATACTCTGCTGGGCCATGATTCGACCTCCCTTCTTAGTGGAGCTACTGCGAAAACGAACGTACCGATAGGACCTTCTTCTTCCTCGAATTTCTCTAGAACAGCAGCTAATGCGGGAGATGGCGGCGCTAGTCTGAATAATCCTTTCTCCGCGAATCAGACGGCATTTGGTGGCTCCTACACTTACGGTGGCAGTGCAACGAGTCGGAGTCGGCCAGAAGGAGCTCCTCTAGAGAATGGTAAAACTCACCGCCCAATTATATCTTCTTCTTCTACAACTAGAAGTACTCCAGGTTTTGGGTACAATTCCGCTACTAGTCCAGTCCTCGTCGCTGGTGGAGGGGCAGGAGGTGGCCCTACTACTCCCACCAGTGCTCCATTTCTCAGCATGCCTAGTACTACAGAACGGTTTCCATCCTCTTCTGCAGTATCTTCGAGAAACATTGCAGGTGGAAATAGTGCAACCGGTGTATCGCGAGAATTCAAGTTCGACCCAAACTACTGCCAAGAGCAGCTTGTTGTGTTGCGGAACAACAACAGAGAAGCATTGCGGAAGGTACGTGCTTGGTTCCGGTTTTTCATTTGCTTGAATGGTGCTAGAGCACCACTTGTTCACAACTAGACTCCTTTTCGTGAACTCAACTTGTATTTGTTCCTTTGTAATAAAAAAAGAAAAACGAAAACTTCTGCGTAAACCTTCCTCAGATCCCACACGCCTCTTCTGCGATCGCGATAATGTCGTCGCTACTCGGTCCGCCAGACGATGGCTCTTGTAGTAGTAGAGTAGAGGTCATCGTGGACGAATTGAACCTATTCCTGCCGAACAGCGGTTGGGTTGGCGCCACTCCCGTCCGCTCTTTAACGTGTTTGCAGGAGCATGCGATATTATGGAAGATGTGGTTGATTTTTCGAGTAGCAAGAACAACGAAGAGTGTCTGTGTCACCATTGATATTATGCCTAGCATCTATCGTGAATATGCATATCTGAAAGGAAGATTTTCCCACAACTGATTACCTGTGCTCTAGGTTCTCTTTGATCATCTACCTAGGGTTGAATCTATCTATCGTGACCGACCTAGTATGATAAACTCATCGTTGTTTGCTCTTGTAATCTCTAACCCCCTACCTCGACCTTTTCGGTGGTGAAATATGGCGGGAAGGGGTACTGGTGGAGAAGCTGATGGACAAACTGTCCGTAATGGAAGGCGATCGAGTAGGTGTGGACTACCTACCTGGGTCACAGCTGCAATTCTTTCTCAACGACAAAAAAGTGGGCTTGCCGATTCGCGACGTCACGGATCTGCTCTATCCCTTTGTAAACGTGTTGGGGAAGGTATTGCGGTTTCGGTTGTAAGGTGGAATGTCTCAATGGAGGCATCGACTCTCAAACAAATTCACGATGTCTACACTTTTACGAATACTCATAGACCAAGCAGTTGCAGGACGGAGCTATATTATTTGCGAACTTCATCATGCTGAGCCTGAGAAGAGGGAGACACTCTCCCCCGTTCAGACTCAATTCAGCTTTTGCCTTTTTCTTTCGCGCATACAAGAAACAAGTGACAAATTCACGTTGAAGATTAGGATTTTCATCCATGATACAGCGATGCTTACAGGAACCCTCCCTAAACTAAGGAGCCCTAGGTGAAAAAATCACATGGTGTTCCATGGTGTACTTGATGGCTAAAAAAAGAGAGAAGTTTCGGTCGTTTATTGCATTACGAGTGTACTGCAGTAGTTTGTATTTTGAGACCCCGTACTGCAGTAGTTTGTATTTCTGAGGATTCCTCAGCATCCGGTGATTTGCAAACCACAAAGAACAAAGCAGCAATTTGATTGCGTTTCCCCGGTCCCAGATATTCATCTCCCTCAGATTGATCTGACACTTTAGGTGACTTGCTTTCACATTGACTCTTTTATGCTAAAAATGGAACAGAATTCCTTTTCTTCGGCCACATTGTTTCGACTGAGCAACTATCATGTCGATCCGACCAATCATGGCTGATGCAACAGGCTCTATTGAACCCGAGCACGAGCACTCTCCGACACCTTCTTCAGCAGACAAGATGCAGCGCTTTTCCCACGTTTTTTTACGTGGTGGTGGGTCCAGAGCCGCTCAAGCCGGTGCAGGTCTGCGTCCATTCCTGTCCCTCAAGGATGTACGATCACTTCTTAGGACCAAGCCGATCGTGTGGTTTGGAGAGTACCATTCAGAAGAAAGGATCTGCACCTTACTCGAAGATGTGGTGAAGCAGATGCTTCATCCTGCAGCTCAGATGAGCGGTGCGGATGTTCCTAAGCATGATGGAGCTTGTCCTGCTCATCAACCACAGAGAAACATGAAGAAAGACAAAGTGGTGATCATCATGGAACATTTCTCCTACGATATGGACCCACTCTTAAACGAGTACATGACCATCGCCGAACCATTGCTGTCCTTCGAAGAGTTTACGCGCAAATACAAAGAAGACTACGGGACCGAAGGTCATGATTTGGTACCTTACAGGGGCTTTTTGGAGCTGTGTCGTGCTAACAGTGACAAAGTGGAGCTAAGAGGCGGATTTGTTCCGCGTGCAAAGGCAGCTGCATATACGAAATTGCAGACTGCGCAAAAAAAAGCGGCGTTTTTAGATCAGCTATCTGCTGAGGGGTATATACCTCCGAAGGAGATGTTGGATAGTGTCGATCGAAGTACAAGTGGTAACACAGAAGTCCGGGCTGACGACTTTCGACAATATCTCACTGTTTCAGCCGCAGAAACATCTGCTGAGAACGAGGAGCCTCCACCAAGCAAAAAACAAAACCCTGAAGTTCTCGGACATGAAGATCATGATAGAGCAATTCTCTACGGGAGTGTTTCGTATTTACGGCTGTTTGAATCCTTGATGAGTGGACGTGACCTTTACGACACTGCTGATCCAGCTGATACAAGTGCCGCTTTCGTGCAAAAGGTCTTGGCCAGTGCTACGTCATCCGCAGCGTTTTGTTCTATGTTTGGAGCCCAATTGATCAAGGATTGGTCGATGGCGTATAAAGTTTGGCTCGCTTACGAGGAACAGCAGAAGGATAAGGACGAGGGTACTAAGGGAAGTACGAAAATCTTGGTCGTAGCAGGCAAAGCGCACATGCATCACTACACTGGCGCACCAGAGTGTTTTGAGGTACTTCGACGTTTTTCGGCTGCTCGTTCCGACCCAGAACAGTGTATGATCCTGACAGACATGATGTACGAACATGACTTGGATGAGAAGGAGGAAAAGACGAATTTGGCTTTGATCCAAGAAAGGGTTTTGGAATCTGCGAAGGCGAAAATGCTGCTCGAAGGGGATAGCACGGAGGCAGAGTCACCAAGCTCGAAGAAGTTCTCTCATCCCTATGCTGATATCTTGTTCGTCTATGACGAGGATGACGAACATGAACTCGAGATGCCGCTAGAAGAAGCTATGCAAAGGAACAAGGTGCTGTCGAACGGTAACGGGTCATGTCCTTATAGGGGAGCAGGTGAGGGAAATTCAGAACTTCAAAATACAGCTAGTGGATGTGGTCCGGTACATCTTAATAAACATAATCTAGATCCACCTAGTTGTACATCGAGTGCCGAAGCTGTGAAGAAAGAGACTCAAGAGGCGTACGATGCAGTGGGAAGCACAGCTTTCAAAAAGGGAAATGCCGAAAAAGCTAGGCTGTGGCTCAGCGCACTTGGTTACACAGAAGAAGAACAACGCTTCGGAATAGGCGAGGAAAACATCTTCAACTTCCAAGGCGTCGGAAATCCGTTCACGCATGCGAAGATATCGCAAGGTGAAAGAGTTCTGGATCTTGGTTGCGGTCTTGGTGTGGACACGTTTTTGGCTGCATACCAGGTTGGGGAGAAAGGTGCGGTGGTAGCTTTGGATTTTGCTAAGAAGGAGATTGCGCATGCGCAACAGAAGTTCGAAAGGTTACGGGAACGTGAGGCAGCTCAGATGGAGACAGAAGAAGTTATGGTTGGGGTAACTCAATAAAAGCAATGTATTAGCTCACCAGGGGTCGCTTACATTTTGGATGCAACGAATAGAGGGCTCGTATTGAGTTGTTTATGCTGGTAGGCTAGTCAGAGAGTAAGTCGTCATTGCAATATGCATGAAAAAATACTCTATACAAAAGGCCAAATCGAGTGTTCATTGATTGCATCTCTAAAGGCATCAGTACAAGAAAGCGGGCAGACGTAGGTTTTATACACGGAGACATCGAACAGCTACCTTTTTCGAGTACCACCACCAACCAACCCGCTTCACCTTCAACCAAGGAGCTCACACCCGAATCCTTCGATGTCGTTATTTCGAATGGTGCCTTTTGCCTCGTCCCCGACAAGGAAAAGGCCTTCCTCAACGTTTTCAGAGCTCTCAAACCCGGTGGACGCATGTCGATATGCACTACTACCATTAGAGGACGATCCACGAGATCTAACTCAGCCACGACACGTGTTGAGAATCCATCGGCAACCAACATGAATAGTTCTGGAGATGCTTCTTCCCTACCACCAGAACACGAATGGCCTGTTTGCATGCGCATGTTCGCCAAAATGGACAGTCTGCAACCTATACTTGAAAAAACCGGTTTCCACAACGTTTCGGTGATAGAGCAGAGCGTGAATGAAGAGCTCTTCGCGGAGTTCGAGGAAAAATTAGACGTAGACGAACAGGAGTCTGGAGGAACCAGTACTACTACTACGAGTAGTACACAACATTAAGGCTACCGCTGGAGCATCCTCAACACCATCCTTAGCCCTTTTTTCAAGGCGAAAAAGGGCCGAGGGAGGCTCTCAGGGATGCACGTCGGTACCTCTAACAACAAGGGCAACACCAGGGAGGACGATTTAAGATCCATGGGAACTACGTGGACAGGCCAGAATATAGGTTCTTGGAAAATTTGGATGTGGATGCTTTTTGTGCAACCGTGGTGATATACGGGGAGAAACCTCTTGCTCGGGGATCGTGAAAGATTACACACAAGATACTAGATCATGGGGTTCTTCGAATGTTTGATGAAAGGGACTACCTTTTTTACACTGTATAAAAATTGCTGGTATGGACAGGAAATAACAGAGGACATAGTAGATCAACAGAGGAAAGAGGTTCTTGATGTCGAGACCGATTTGGATGCGAGCGATCTGATCAATAAGGTGACTTCAGATGTCATCTTAATGTGCAGTAAATGAAGAAGAAGTCTAACGATTTTTTTCAGTAGCTCATCTTCTCCTGAAGCGTTTCACGCTTCCACCCCAAACTCGAGTTGTTTGCTCTGTGTTCCACGAAGATTGATTTGTAGTGATTATAGTTCGATCGATTGACCGTTCGAAAGGCAAAGGTAGTACCTCCATCGGAAGCTCGACTTTAATCGAACTGGACTCGAAGAAAATGAACAAAAAGCAAATTTCTCAAACGTCTCCAATCCATCGTGTTTGATATCCTGAGCATTGGTTATAATTGCTGGATAGAAGCAATTCGTCAAGACTTGTTGTTTCTTTCTTGCACTCGTCTCTTCGGGCCAAAGTGTCTGTGAATTCAGTGTCTGAGCGACCGAGAGAAAAGAAGATGGCATTGGAGAACTTCGCGACGACTCCCTCGATCATGCATCGGACGTTTCTGCAACACCTTCGCATCCTACTTCGCGACGACTCCCTCGATCATGCATCGGACGTTTCTGCAACACCTTCGCAAATAGAGGACAGCAAATTAAAGTTTCGTGTACCAGCGCAACTGGTTGCACAGCAATACATGACATGTTGAAGATGTGGAGGTTCTGCAATCATAGAATCAGATAGAACAGAAATTGTGGGTCTTAATACGTAAGTACCTTTACGCCGATTCGTCCCAGCATCTCCTCGCCAAGATGCCTGAAATCACGACACCTCGTTCGGGTTCCGGTGGGAACAATGGGAACAACAATTATGCTGGCTACGCCGGTCGGACGCGGCATCGGTCGCCCCAAAGGACCCCTGCGATGTTCCAGAACACTACACCGCAGTCAGACAATCGGAAGTCCTTGGCTCCAGGCAGCAATATCAAGCACATGTCCGGGAGGATGGGGAAGGTATTTTTATCTTCGTCAGTACAATGCATTGGATGATTTCGAATCCTTTCTCTACAACGAACTACTTTCTCTACAAGAACTACAGATGAAAGACCCGCGTCCGGTCTTCGACAAATCTTTCATGCTTGCTGCGGTGAAGCAAATAGCGACGTTTTTGACCTCCACCGGTTATCCGCATAGTTTGAGTGCCAAGTTCATCCAAGGACCGTCAGGCAAAGAGTTTTATGGCCTGATGCAGTTTCTCTTCAGCCAGATCGATCCGAATACACCACTAACAAAAAAGATGGATGAGGAACTGCCAGAAGCGTTGCAGAGGATACGGTAAAAATGCATAATGTCTTCGTGGCTTTATTAGACAAATTATTTTTGAATGAAAAGCAAAAGGGGTAAGGGTATAATCATCTTGTTTATGTCCTTTATTTTACAGTTTTTTAAAACTTTTCCGAATAAGTATTAAGTAAAACCGTTCCTCTACGTCCACGACAAGTACATAATCCACAGGTATCCCCTGAACGTGACCAAAGCCTCTCTTCTTCTCGTCGGCGCACCGACAACTTGGCCGTCTGTGTTAGGGTCTTTGCACTGGGTTGTGGAGCTCTTGTCCATCGATATGAAGCTGATCCAGCCTTATTTGCGTGGCGAAAAGCCTCTCGTTGACGGTAGCAGAACAGCGCCAGGCAGTGGAACGCCAGGAGGGACACCGCTGAGCGGGAAAAGCTGGAATAACGGAGAGTGGAAGCGGAAATTCGACATTTTAGCTCGAACCTATAAGGCCTTCTTGCATGGGCAGGATGAAGTGGTCAAGGAATTGCATGGAGAAAAGCGGCAGCAAGCGGAGAGCATCAGGAAAGCTAGGGAGGCAACGCTGGGCGACCTTGTTTCGGAACGAGCGTCTCTGGAAAAACGATTGACTGATGCGGAGAAGAGGCCACGACTTGGGGAAGTGAAGGATCGCGTGGGACGGCTGCGGTCTGATCTGACGAGGAAAAAGGCCAATTTGTCGACTGAGAAGCGGAAACTTGCTGAGTTGCAGGAGGAACTCAAATTGTTAATTAAGGCTTGGTGTTGATTCTTTCATCAATTTTTTCTAATCTAAGTGTTTTCTTTCATCAAGGTGGCTGCCGATTATCTTGTCTAAGCATTTCCCTTCTAGGATTCATCGGAGTCAAGGAGTCAAGGTGGCAGATCATCATGAATTATTGCAAGCTCATCTAAGTTAAGGGAAAAAGCTGAGGAGCGAGCACGCGAAGTGCAGAAGTTAGACGCGGAAAAAACTCGAGTTGAGCGCGTCCTAGCAGCTCAGCCGATCACCGTCACTGAGCAACAAGCATTACTGAAGGAACGAATGGAGCTGACGAAGCGCGATACGCAACTGGGAAAGCGCGAACAAGAACTGTTGGCGGCGGAGCGATCTAGCCAAGAAAAAAGGGACCTCTGCTTACGCCTTCGAGACGAGGCAAGAACGAAGTGCAAACAATTCATGGATTATGAAGGGATTTTATTTCATCTAACTTCATGAAGTTTCTTTTGTTAATGTTAATATAAATATATACAGAGCGAGGACGATAGCGCCGGCGCTTAATTAGTTTTAGCAGATAGGTGATAGTTACCCTTTTCGCTTTTCTATCTTCTTCTGGTCTTTCTTTTTTCTAGTTAGGTCGGCTCCACCACAAATATATACCGAGCGAGGTTTTGAACGACAACGATTTAATCAAGCTAGAATGTAAGGGCCTACAGCCTTCCAGATATTACGCCCCTGGCAGGCTTGTCCCTGTTGTTGTGGTGGTGGTGTTACCGAGTAACATCCACAACCTAAATAGCATGCATTTTCATGTTGTTCGTATGCTGATGGTGGTACGTTAATCAAAGGCCATCCATCATCATCATCCTGAGGGGTTTCAGTGCATAAGGATCCCGGTCGCTATGATCTTCACACGATTAGACTCATAGCCTTGAGCCTGTTGCAATCATATCACTCAACGAGAACACTCAGAAGGAGAAAGACGAACGCAAGCGGAGAACCAACAGACCAAGAGAGAAGAACCAAGCGATTCAATTCAGGGAATGCGGAACACCGACCGACTTGGTTGGACCTTGATCTTCATGCGTAACATTCTCCCCCCGAAATGTCTCCGTTGACGGACTTATTTACTTAGTTGCAAGAAAAAAAATTTTAGTACCACTAGGGGGACTAAGCGACCGGAATTCGTTATTTTGGGGTTGGGAAGCGAAACTATACCAACCTAATGCAAGACTTTATATATGTGCAGGATACGAATGCAAAAAAAACAACGACTAGTCTAAGCTAGTTCTTCTTTTTCTTCTTCTAGTAGACTTTTCTACTAGTTTCCTCCTCTTTTCTTCTCGTTTCTCCTTTGTCCAGGTAATCCATGTCACCACGGGAATGAACTGGACTCGTTTTGTTGTGCTGCTCCTCACCGGCGTCCCCGCTTGTCGCCACGAACCTGAAAAGTGTGAATTTGGGATTTGTAGAATGGACCTTATACTAGTAGTTTTCTCTACACCATATAACATTAGCCATAGAGTTTCCGCAGATACTGGCTTCGTGAGGCCATCAGCCCTCATCAACCCGGTGGGGCAGTGGCGACATCGATCAACTAGATCGCACACGAAGTGTAGCTTGCTTTGGTAGTGTTTACTTCCTGCACATTTGAACTCTTGCGTCGCTTGGTCTAGTGCTGGTCTATTGTCGACCCATGTGGGCGGAGTATTGGCATAGCCCTGGTTCTTGCACTCTGTGCCGGGTACAATATCAACGAAAGCGATGGATTGCGCATACTGAATCGACTCACACTTAGCTACCGTCTCAGCATGAGGCGTAGACAGTGTTACGATCGTTTGCCGCTTGGACCTCCAAGCCACGCAAACTCCGTAGTGCGTCATCATCGTGCCTGTAGTTGACTTACTTGTAGACGGACAACCTTGAAAGTCCGCGTCAGAAAAAGTTCCGATAGGAGACATTTCGCTTACTGGTTCTGGTTCACCGCTCACGGTAAGGGGGGCGCCCTGAATCCACAACGGCACGTAGTTCGTCTTGTATGTTTTCCAGCTCGTCGGCGTCCACTCGACACCCACAGCCAACGTGCCCCGAAGGTACCTCATTACCCTCTTCAGCATTAGCTTCTGGTGGTCTTCGAAAGGACATCAAGCCGCCGAATTCACCGCCTCGGTGATGTCCGGCCTAGACGACAAACTTAGATACATTAACTCGCCGACTACTGCCTTGTTGCTCCATTCAGAGTCTACCCTTTTCTTCTTCACCCTTTTCCCCGTTTTCTGCGGTTTAGTCTTGTCAGACTCTGAACCTGCAGTAGCTTCACTGTCACTCTTATCTGTGTGAATATCCGACAAGCTCGAAAGCTCACTCTCATCCATGGACTCTGGCTTCTCCTTGGCTTCCTTAGCCAATTGACGCCATTGGTCCCTATGCCTCGGGCACGATGGAGTGGACTTCTCAGCGCAGTCGAACATATTCCACTTTTTCAAAATCTTTGTGGCTCTGCTCTCACCCTGAAAGATTACCTTCTCAAAGCGTCTACCGCCGCTTTTGGTAATTTCATAGTGGATGTCCACATCGATCCCTACAAAGTCAAACTTATGCTTTTCGCGTGTCTCGCTGAGACGTTCGACTGATACCGCCATAGGCGTCGAACCAAACTCCTTGTTAACCTGACTCGCATAGTCCTTGGCAGTTTTGTCGCCAGCCTTGCCCGGCTTCTTTGCCGTGACTATGATGTCATCCACATAGCACACCAACGTCGCGCTTAGCTTGCCTTCCGAGTCCGTGCGATAGTAAACGCCGCCTTCTCTAGGTAATGGCGTCCACCCCCATTCACGAAATTTCTTATCAGCTAGCTTGTTCCAGGCGCGCGGTGATTGCTTAAAACCATAAAGAGCTTTCGTAGCTACTTTCACAGGGTCTTCGTCACCTTCTAGGACTTCCTCTGGAAGTCTGATCAGTTCCGGCTCAGGAAGGTCCGCCTTGATGAATGCCTGCGTCACGTCAGCACCATCAATTTCCCAATCGTGCTGAGCCGCGTGAACAATCTGACACCTCATGCTCACCGTGCTCGGCGTTGGTGAAAAGATTTCGCCTTTCGTGAGGTTTTGCGTGGAACCATCTGCCACCATCCGCGACTTCCGGCGCCCACAGCGCTTCCGCACACGAACCATGTGCGCACGCACCGGGCGCTTCCTCCGAAGAAGCGACTGAACCTTCAGTGGATCTTTCTCACGCCAACACTTAGCATCTACAAGCCCCCTAACCTCCTTCCGATCAGCTTCCTTCCAAAGGTTTGCCTCAGGTCCCCTGGTAGCTTCCTTTCTCGATATGGGTCCAGATCTTCTCTCTGAAGCTGGGACTGAATCACGTGCGTTTGCGTCAACGTAGTTGAGCTTCTTCTTAGGCTTCGACCTACCACGCGTCTGCTCACTGCAGAGCCTATACGCGATCCGGCCGATGATCCTCGAAGCGTCCCTACTCATGCGCGTCTTACGCTTCCTCGTGTCCTTCGACCCCTTAGGTCTACCCCGTCCGCGCTTCACTTGTGGCTGTTCCGACATGGTTTCCTTTACCCTTCTGTCCTTCACTGTCGGGGACCTGCCCCGCAGCTGTTCTGCTTGTAGTTGTTCCACGCCACTGCTAGAGTGCTCTTTGACTTTGTCGTCAGTGCCAAGTCCACCGGAAGAAACTGCACCAGGCGCGTCTTCCCTGGCCAGGGGATTTTGTTCCGACGGCCCTGGGCCCTGTTTTTGCTCTTGCAGCTTTTGCTCCCCCAGACTTATAGCAACTGCCTCTACTAGTGCAGGCTGCGCTACAACTTGTTCTGGGTCCGCTGAGGATACCCCCTCAGCTCCGTCTTTTGCTGTTGATTCTTCACCAAGGCCCCCCGCCTTCGACTCTTGCGCCACAGCGACCCGCCCTCCCTCTTGCTTTCCATCAGATAACATCTCGAGCACCTGACTTGTTCCGAAAGTCGGCTCCATGTATGCTGACGCAAGGGCATCAGGCTCCGCCGTGCTTAGCAATTCGAATAGAAGTGGGTCCTTTAGGTGTTCAACTTTGCTTACTTTATAGGCTTCGCAGAATTTGAGCTGGCCGGTCTCGGCCAGGACAAACTCCCCCGCCTTGTTGTAGCTACAGTAGAGATACGCTGACCCCTTTGGACTGTAACCTACGAACACAGCCGGCAGCCACTTGGGTGCGCTCTTGCTGGCTGGGTGTTCGTCTAGAACGAAGCACAAAGACCCAAATCTTCTCAACTTTCCGAAGTTTGGCTTTCTCTTGTGACGTCGTTCGTACGGCGTGGTCTTTGTTCTTGTTCCATCCTGCTCCCTGAACTCTCTCTCGCGAATCGAATAGAGAAAGGCTACCAGCATCCAGCACAGGTCCGCCAACCTACCGTCGACTCCCCACATTAGTGCCCTGACTTTGTTGCCGCATGTTCTCCAGAAACGCTCGATCCGAGAGTTCCTCGTAGGCGAGTATGGTGGCGCGTACGAATTTGCTAGGATGTACAAGTCAGCGAGCATCTTAGCCCACTTTTCTGTCTGAAATTCCGGACCGTTGTCCGACCGAATTTCCTCCGGCGGCCTTGTGTACCTCGTGATCTTTCGCATAGCTTCATCGGCATACTTGGAGGACTTTATTGGCAACACCATCGGGCACCGATCATGGTCATCGATGGCCCCAAAGATGACCGTATTGCCAAACATGCTCTCCTGCCGGTCGCTTGCTAGATCTTTGAAGTCAACCTGCCACCTCTGGTTTGAGCGTGTAGGTTCCCACATAGAAGGCCTGACCTTCTTGGCCGCCATTTTGCCGTAGTCTTGTGTCGCCATACAGGCGGCACAAAGCATGCCTTTTGGTAGGGGTAGGAAGTGCCCTGATCTCTCGTGTTCCAAGACTTCGGGGCACATGTCCTGCGTGGTTCTAATCCCTGCTACGATCCTTAACTCCGTGGGCAGGCCAGCTTCAAAGGAGATGGCCACGCGTGGGAGGAGTCCACCTCCCCCGGTCCCCACGTGTTCCCCCGTTGGTCCCTTCAGTATCACCCCACCGCCCGGTGGGAAGGATACCATGACCCCTGCCTGCTGCATCTGCGGCACGGAGATATAGAAATCTGATAGCCTTGGATGGTAGACCCCGTGGCGAAGTTCTCTCAACGAGCTACTTCTGAAAATTCCTCCCCGTGCAGTTCCAGGAATTTTCTCCCCCGATGCTGCTACTAGGACGCATCTGGCCCCGAGTTTCTTAAAGTGGTTCAGATATGGTGAGCAACACGACTCAGCCCCACTATCGACTATCGCATCGACACACAGATCCTGGTCTGCCTGTGTCGGCGCGTTGCGACTCCGTCGCGCGATCCCGCTGATTGTCCTTATGGCCCTCACCATATACTGACTAACTTTGGTCCTCTTTAGCCCTTTACCTGTCCCTACATCCGACTCGGATGCAGCATCGCTACCACTACTAGCATCTGACCAAACGCTTTTACTTGAGCGTTTGTTTCTCTTGTTGTTTTGTGTCTCTTCGTTTTTACTTAAACTACTACCGTTAACCAAACTTAGCGAAGACTTCTTGTCACTTAATCTAGAATGTACCTTTACCGACTTGCTCCTCTGGCTTTCTTCGCTGCTGCTTAGGGTGTCCTGGCTGGTTGCGCTTGCGCTTCTTTTGCTGCCGCTGGCACTCCGGGCTCTCACGCTTCTCACGCTACTCGACCTCCCTCGGGCCGGCGTGGCGCTTCTGTCCCTCGTGTGCCTGTTGTTGTTGCTTCCGGACCTGCTTCTGTGCCGGTCTTCTCGACCTCCAGAAGGGCGTCCTCGGCTGCGGCTTCTGTTGTCTTGGCGCTCACGACCCGGACTGCGTCCCCGCAGGTCCCTGTCGTTGTTCTTGCGCTTGTTTGCCTTTGCGTCGGGGTTGTGTGGGCACCTAAACCAACCGTGGTCGTTTGTCTGGCACTTTCTGCACTTCCAACTTCTCTTTCCCGGATCCCCTGCGCGGGGTCCTTTCGAGATAGAAAGAATGCTGTGCGTCTTGTCGTTCCTTTTTCCTCCGTTTCCTGCTGCCGCAAGAAGACTCTGCTCGCGCTGCTTCAAGCAGGCTTCCACAGCAGCCAAATCCACTTCAGCTTTGTCCAGGAGAAAAGGAGCAAGATCTTTGTATGACTGACCTAGGTTGATCAGGATGCTAGCGATCGCTAACGCCTCTGGCTTGACGTCTTTCATATCACGAATTTCCTCGCGAACCGAAATCATCAATTGAGAGACCGTCTTAGCCCCGCTGCTGTTGTTTGCCACGTTCATGACCCTCTGAATTCTCGTGATCGTGCCTGCTAGACCTGGGCAGGCCTTTTCCAGCTCGAGTTTCGAGAAAATCTTCCGGATCGTTTCGTGGTCGTTGGTGTCACCCTGTCGGGCTAACCGGTGTGCCTCGCCTTCTAACGTGTTTAGAAGGACCCCCCCGAGGGTTCGCGCCTTGGTGCGAACTCTCTCGGCCTTTTCTGGTGCAAGTTCTGCCAGCCAATCCGCGCCACCGCTGAGAAACTCCGAAAGCCCTGCCAAGTCTAACGCCTTCAGCGTACCGACCCGCCATGTTTCGTATTCTCTGTGGTAAGCCTCCTGGTCTCGGCCTTCGAACTTTCGGACAGCCCTGAGCGCGTCCGCCGCTCGCTTGGTGTCCTCTTCGTCCTTCCTCCGCGCACGCTCTGCGGCTCGCTCCGCCCTTTCCTCTTCCCGTTGGGTTGCTTTCGCGGTTGTTTCCTGAATGCTTTCCCGTCTAAGTTCCTGAACCATGGCCATGGTGGCCGCCGTTGCCTGTCGTTGCTCTTGGCTTGCCGTTGCCAACGTGTTCACCGCTGCGACCATGTTGTTCCAAAGCCATGGGTTCCAAGTTCCTGAATTTCCGGGGACCATTCCTGAAACGTCGGCCCCGACGCCGCCACCAATGGCGCCGGGCTGGTCTTGTCCAATTCCGTAAGCGTTGCCGGGTTGAGCTTGTTGGACATGTTGGGCAGAGTTCTGGCCGGGTTGACCTTGTTGGACGTGTTCGGCAGAGTTCTGGCCGGGTTGACCTTGTTGGACGTGTTGGGCAGCGTTTTGGCCGGGGTATTCCCCTGCGCCATCGTGTTCGAGGTTGGCCATTTTGGAAAGTTTTAAGGGTGTGGATGAATGTAAGGGCCTACAGCCTTCCAGATATTACGCCCCTGGCAGGCTTGTCCCTGTTGTTGTGGTGGTGGTGTTACCGAGTAACATCCACAACCTAAATAGCATGCATTTTCATGTTGTTCGTATGCTGATGGTGGTACGTTAATCAAAGGCCATCCATCATCATCATCCTGAGGGGTTTCAGTGCATAAGGATCCCGGTCGCTATGATCTTCACACGATTAGACTCATAGCCTTGAGCCTGTTGCAATCATATCACTCAACGAGAACACTCAGAAGGAGAAAGACGAACGCAAGCGGAGAACCAACAGACCAAGAGAGAAGAACCAAACGATTCAATTCAGGGAATGCGGAACACCGACCGATTTGGTTGGACCTTGATCTTCATGCGTAACATAGAAGTTAGTAGAAATGTAATAAATAAGATATGTTTAAAAAGATCAGTACCATGAGATGTGAGCTAGCATAAACAATTTTCATCTTCCACATTCTCTCTGTTTCCATCTTCATACACTCCACGGCCAGAAGTTCGAAGCTGCTATGGCGCAGAAGGTCCAGGAGTTGAATGACGGACAGGACCTCGTTGCACACCTGACGGAACAGAGAGAAGGCTTTCTGGGAAGGATAGCAGCTTTGAGGGAAAAAATGGACAATCTGGAGAGCAAAAAACTCCGGAACACTGAAGGTGTGGCGGAAAAGGAAACAGTCTACGTTAATCTGAAGGCGGAAGCCGAAAGAGAAAGGGAGGATGGGGTAGGCTTGTTTCTTTGTTTGATATGTGATAAGATTAATGTTTAGTTGTGCAGAGGCAATCGCGCTTCGGACTTTTATGGCCACCTGTCAGTTAACCTCCAAGAAAGGATGATAATTCTACCTGAAAATCTTGAAAATCTTCGTCGTCAACCGTGTTGTCAAACAATACATAAGAATTCAATCCCCAATAAACACCCACCAGGCATCATCATTATCCGACAAAAGACGGGAACTGAAGGAGCTGCAGAGGAAAACAGCTGAATTACGAACTCAACGCGAGAACATCGCTGAGTTGATCGCCCAGCGACGACGCGAGTATCGTGCTTCTGTTTCATCGTTTGTTATGAAAGAGTGAAGTAAAATTCTCCTGTGTCGGACACACTTTTTTTCTTACGACCGTTCAATCATGGATCCAAATTGCAATTTTGACGCTAAGGCTTGGCATACAAGAGGCTTCAAGTGGTAGTTGCTCCTACACACGACACTTCCACTTTCATTTCTCTAATCCACAAACCGAGCGTGCGCAGGAAGAGCAGAACTTACGGCAAAAAGCCCGTAGTATGCGCGATCGTAAAACTCGGGATTTGCAAAGTCTAGTCCGCCTAGAAAACGCCCTTTGGTCCCAGCAGCAGACAGTAGAAGCCGTCCAAAAACGGGATTTCGAAATGCGGTATATTTATGGTTAGATTTTGTCCATCTGCCACAGCATCTTGGCCACATTTTGAAGGGGAAAAGGGAACCAAGAAGATGCTGACCGAGATGGATTTAGGCAAGGTCTAATATATCAAGCCAGGCCGTAAGAGTCGCGAGGCTCGCCTCTCTCTAGACCGCATCGCGGATCCACGAGGCTGTCTGAGACTACCAGAGGATGAAATCGCAGAAGAGGGGAAACGACGTGAGGAAGAGTTTGCTCGTAGTAGAGGGGCTGTTGGAGGAGGTACAGTTATGATCGTGTTTTATAATCATCTTTCTCAGGAGCATTTGGATACCCTTTTCTGATAGATAAAATTTATAACGGACCACGAAAGGGCGTCGAGATGAGTGAGAGCAGTCTCTAATACAACAGGGCTTGGAGTAGGAGGTGGAGCGACTTCGTCTAGTCGTATGGAGCGTTCAGGCATCCTCTTAGAGGGAAGAGAGGAGCAACACCAGATGAACGTAAATGGGGTAACATCTACTTCGCGAACGAATGTTTCTGTCCTATCTGCAAGAAGCAATGCACATGGATTGCAGGAGAACGATAGGTCTCGCGCTAGCATCTTCACATCCGCAATCGATGACAAGGACGACATGAAGGCACTTGTTCCAGGCCCTCTAGGTCAACCAGGAGCTAGTTCCAGTTCGTCCTTTCCTCCTGTTACCGCTTCTTCGTCAGCGTCTCTAGGTGCGAGTGGTGCGCCGGCATCTTCCTCTATTAAGGGTTGAAGGAGCATTTCATTTTTACAAGCCTTCTTTACTTGAGAATGCTACGAAAAAACGAAATGCTTCAACCTTTAACTCTACGTCAGTACTGTTTGCGGATGCGCCAGCTATGGAGAGAGACGCGCGGAACCTGGTGAAGAGGGAAGAAAGGCAGGACGTCTTGATGAACCGACAAAGCCAGATGGAAACGAGCTCTGTGGAAGTAGAGAGGATGATACTGTCGGCAGAAGGAGTTATGGCTAATGATCGTTTGAAACTTTCTGTTTGAATGATGTTTGTAATTCATGACTTTGATTTGTCAAAAGCGTAAGTAAGAGTGCCTAGATGAAGAGCGTAAATAACGCATGGGTAGAGTGTCGAAGGGTGTGCCCTCTTCTACTGGGCTGGCGAATGATAGTTGCCAGCGATTTTTAACAAGGAAAAGAAGACCATAACATCAAGAAGAAAGAGCCACCTTTCTACTGAATCCTGAGCAAAACTCCACTATAGATACATCCTCTAAGAACAGCGAAGATATAGGCGTTGTCGAGCAGGTGACACCGGCAAAGCCTGGATCTACTCCAGCGAGAAGGAAAGACAGTGATCCAGCTCAGTTGGGAAAGGCTGTAGCTCCAACAACGTTGTCGTTTGGCCAGACTGGTAGTCGAGACACGTCAGCAGGAAGACGGGGAACCATAGAGCAACGAAAAGGTGAGGATGCCTTTTTAGGTGGAGAAGGAGGCCAAACTCTAGCTTCTGGAGCACTCTTTGCGCGACACGAAGCCTCGTTTAATCCTAGTGCAAGAACGACACAGGTTGCAGTCCCTTCCGCACGCGCAGACCACATTGGAAGCGCAGCCCTAGACCCTCTACTGGATCGACAAGGAAGTATCTCACCATTGAAGAATAATGGGACATCATCTTCTAGCAGAAGTGTCTTAGACGTGAACGAGAGGATGTTGAATCCGAGTATTTCGCCCCTACCTCAGAGTCGTAGTGATATGAGGCATATCCAGGAGAATTTAACGGATATGCAGAGAAAATTCGGTATGGGAGGCACCAATGATGTTGATCATCACGGGAAAAGTTCAGCAACAACAATGCAATCTGGTAGTAGTACTACAACAGCTAGTGCTACGTCTGGAGGTAGGACTGGTACTGGCATAGGTACAACTGGTACAGGTACAACCGGTACAGGTACAACTAGTGCAACCTCGATTTTCTCAGGAGGTGGTGGCTTGTTTGGAGGATCTAGAGGACCCTTGTTTGCGCAGACTAGTGTTTTTGGACAGCAAGTGTATCCTAAAAAAGCAGGAGACAACTCAAACCTCCTGAACACCGAAGAGAGCCACATCATGAATAGCTCGCATGACCACGGGCACGGGCTGGCAGGGCCGGGTCTTTCAGTGCCTCCTACTCCCTTTGACCACATAGTACATCAACAAAATAGTAACCTCCAGCAAAGTAGTAGTTGTAGTAGAGGACCAGGACCACTACATTAAGGCTACAAGAACCGCTCAACAATCATCCTCAGCATTAATTATCGATCCTTGGCTCTTTTTCTGAGTTACTTGAAAAAGAAGCGCAACCCAAAGGATATCTATCATGACTCTCAAAAAGGAAGATGCGAGTGCGATACTAGCTCTAAAGACAGCACCAGCACCAGCAGCAAGGCGCACCACCGCGAACACCGTTGCCTGATCGTTCTTTGATGAACGCCACGAATTCGACGTGGCAAAGCGTGGAGCAAAAATCTTGGTTAGGGAGTGGATTACGAGGCCTAGAACAGCCAGACCAGTATGTGGCGAATCCTGGTACTGGAGTTACGGCTTCCCCTAATCCATCTTCAGAAGTAGCATCTTGGGGCATTTTCTGAGGGACCCAAGATGACTCTCAAGATGGACGATTCCCGGAAGGTCTAAAACAGCCTCTGGCGGTGCCGCAGCAAGAGTAGAAGGAGGTCCAACTACAGCTACTAATGCCGCTTTCCCCTCCAGTACTTCTACCAGTGGTCTCTTCGACGCAGGCGCGGCCTTGAGAAACTTGAATTTTGCTACTGCAGGCACGCCTACACCGACCAAAGCCAAGGCGGAACTTGTCACAGCGGAGACTCTGCAGAACCGAATTATGGTCGCTGAGGACCTCGTGAAAATCATCCCACAAGCAAAGACACCACCGTCAAGAGATGTCCATGTGGCTGGAACTTCTACGGCTCAGCCCCACTCGCATCCGCCAAGTGCAAGTCGGTTACAGGACAACAGTTTCTCCAGCGCACTGCAGGATGACAGCAAAGACGACTTTCACGAATTTTATCAGCGTGCTCGTGTCTTCGCCAACGCCTCGCCGAGGAATACGGCTTCGCAGATGAATAAGAACAGCTATACGTCAACATCAGGAGGAGCTGTGGCTTCCGCCACAACAGGAGGAGGAGGCAGTTTTAGTTTCAAGAATTCTATCAATGATTAAGGCTTCCCCTCATGGTCCATCTTCAGAGAAGGCATCCTAGGAGAGAGACTTCCCAAGGGGAAAAAGAGCCCAGGATGTATCTCAGGATCATGGATTAGGGTGAGCTCTAATATGAAGGAGCAAACCCAAATCACGCATCTTCTTCATCAAGTGGAGAAGATGGCAATCACAATGTCGCCTCTGATGCACCTCCTAGAAAAAGTTTACACAACTTTCTCAGCAGTACTAGTGGCCATTCGAATCATCCGTCATCGCAAGCTGTAGACAGGATGAGCACCATTTTGCAGGAAGTGGAACGAGCAAGTAGTTTCGGCGATAACACTTCTATTAAGGCGAGAACGAGTCGTGCTCGCGGAACTACTTTTCTATTTATTTTTCTCAAGCAAGTCGTCTACACAACTTTACTCTGAATCAATAGAAATACTGACTTTGAAGAGTCGTGGGCATACCTTATTATTTTTCTTAAGCAGTCAGAGTCACATTTACAAACAAGAAACGTTCAATTATAGCATCAAGACCTGTGATGATGAGTATGGTTGCTGCTCTCTTGGGTCGTATATGGAACACGGCAAGAGCCAGGAGAGCATGTCCTAAACTAGTAGATCCTTGTCCTTGAATGCGGACGAGCAGTAGGAAGGATAAGTTATATTATAAGTTGGATCATGACGCAGACACACACGCGTGACGTGATAGTGCTCTCAAAGAAAAGAGAATCTTCAATGTCCTCCAAGGAGTCAAAGCAGCTTCCTTGGGTCAAGGGTAGCGAGACTATATTAATAATAACCCACGATTGGGTACACCACTACTGCTACTAGAACAGTGCCCTCGACTGTGGTAGCTCTAACTCAAATTGCAGCTCCAGTCTGTTAGGAGGTGACGGTCGGAAAGTGATTTTTGATGTCCGAGGGCGTCGATTAAGTGACGAACGCAGAAAGAAGCGACGATCTAACGAGAACAGTCGACCAAGCAGCGGCTTTGCTTCATCTAAGGCTTGTTATATATGTGCTTGATTTATTTTTGAAGGGGTCGTGTATCTTTGGCGTTCTTTCGTTTCCTCGTAGAAGAATAGTATTTCCCTGGGTCTAAGGCATACGTGCTTCTTCCTCTACATGAGACTGATGTCGACTGTAACAACGCTTCAAAGATGCACTTCAAGTAGATGAATATTGGTAACCTCTAATTCAGCCACTGGAGGAGGGCATATTGGAGGCTCACTGGTGGTGAGCTAGGGAGACTCGTGGCAGGTAGTTGGCTAAGGGAATGAAATTTATCTACGAAGAGGAAAGTACTTACATTAATAATAATTATTAGATAAATATAACGAATGAAGATGAATTCGAATTCATTGAAGAACCGACTAGATATATGAAAACATCAGTATGCAGAACAGATACAGACGACCACTTCTTGACTCACGCAGTCTAAGTTTAAACCACTTACGTCGACACTCATTACGTTGCGACGGCTTCCGCATGTGAAATTCCAAAAAAATCCAAAAAATCGAACTCTTGAACCCTAAGGATGAATGAAGAATATGCTATCACGCATTGCTGGTTTACTCTTAGCCATTATTCTGGAAACAAGGTGCAGCAGTGTTGGCCATAGTGACGAGGGAACGAATGCATTCGACGAACCTCAATGTCGCTATTTCTATGTCGTGGCTCGATCTCGCGCCGCCTTTCTGCTGATTGTCACTTCTATTGATTGCTAGGTAGTGCTATAATTCCTGAATTGGTGGTCAGAAATCGGAGAAAATTCGAAAAACCCGAATTATCGCTCCGGAATTATCGCTTGCTTAGTCGCCCACTCTCTCCCTAAAATAAAGTTTAATCGTCGTATAATGCAAGTTGCGCGGTTCGTCGTAGAGGGCGAACAAGAAACTCAACCTCGTAGGCTTATGATTGGGATTGTTCATCTTTTAGTAACTACTAACTTTCCTTGAGGGTAACAGTACACAGACAGAAGGTGCTATTTCAAAACAAGAATGTCGTGCGTTGACGAGTTTCTCTGCAGTCCCGTATGGTCGTGACTTTGTGCGGAAGAATAGCAAAGGCAGTGCATGGTTCCGAACGAGGGATATAGGAAGTGCAAAGTACCTAGTCTGCAATCTGGGGTCGTAGCACCGACAATACGTCCTACGAGCATCAAGCTACTTGCTCCTGATTCGGGAAGAAGAAATTGTGCTTTCAAGGATTTTGTCGAGACGGTTTCATTCGCCATTCGGGGAAGGATATTTTCAACGCTCAAGTCTCTCCTTGGGGACGGGGAGCAGTACTAAGAACCTAGCAGCGTCAAACACAACGAATAGCAACGTCAAGCAGAACGAAGTGTGCTAGGTCTTCAAGGATTATCCGGTAAGTGGTCACGAACTGTGCTACCAAGTTGTCTTCAAGGAGACTTACCCGAATCAACGAACGAAATGGGGGTTCTTCTGAATACTTTCTTTGCCGGCAGTAGGTCGAAATCTGCGACGCGACGTGCTGCTCAAAAGTACGATACCGATTTTCAGAGACGTAACACTGCATCTACAATTAAGGCTGCCGCTCAAGCATGTCTCCTTAGTATCATGATCCTTGGTACTGCTTTTTGGTAGTAGTAGTAGTAGTAGTAGTAAGTAGTTTACCCATTCACCGCCCTAACCCTAAGCCACCGCCCTAATCCCCCCAAACCACCCTAAAAAGATTCTTGGTACTTCTTTTTCTACTTGTGAAAAAGAAGGCCTCAGGGATGCGCTCAAGGTAGAAAAAGAAGGCCTCGTCAAGGATGTGACTCTCAGGGAAGAAGATGCTATCTTCGCGGTAGCTCTAATGCAAGTTCCTCATCGCATCGCACTACTCCTTGTGACACCGACAACTCTTGTGCGGACAATGGCAAGAATACATCAACATCTTCTTTATCAAGGAGATCACCTCCACAGCAGCTAGATGCCACAATGATGATAAAGCCATCATATTTTAAGGCTAGAAGTAGTTTATCACTATCCCATGTGGAGGTGGCCTATCGTGCTGAGAAATGGGTTCGTTCCCCTTAGCTGAATTGTCTATGTAAAAGGGGATGATCTATCTTAGCTGAATTATCTATGTAAGGGGATCATGATCTAAATGTAAGGGGATCATGTACTTATCACTATCTAAGGGGATCATCTTCACAGGGCATCCTCTCTAAGAGGAACTATCTAATGGGCATCCACTCGAATGAAGTCTATCTTCTAAGGGGATCTTCTAACTATGTCTAGGGGGGGCATCTCACTCAATCTGGCATGATAGTGAAAATACACTACCTCCTTTAAATATTGGTGTTGGTCTTCACGGGGACGGACAAAGGTAGACGTTGTCAGCATCAGCAACGATAAAAACTTAGATGAGGACTCCATTATCGAAGACGCAGATGAAGATGTGGGACTCTGCTCCCCAAGGTACAAGAATTTTTACACTTGCCTGTTCAACACTGAAGATGTACGACAGTTTTTACACTCGTCTGTTCAGTGAAGATGTACAACAGTTTTTTACACTCGTCTGTTCACAGTAGAGCTACAGTTTTTAGTACGCACTATGTTTTAGTTTTCATAGAGCGCTTCTAGAAACAAAACTTCTTGGTCTTCTTTCATGAGCAGGAAATGGAATTGATGAAATATGCCAAATAGTAAAAAAATACCTACCTCCACCTCATATTAACACAAACCTAACAACTACAGGACTCGTGTCTTACTACGAAAATTGGAGACAGCGATACCTACACGAAGCGTGATCAAAACCTGTGAGAGCAGTACAGAAACCGATCCCTGGCATGCTACGTGTTCACGGCATGTCCAGACAGACACATGGGATTGCTTGAGACACGTACTACTTACAACAGTTTCATCAATCATTTACTATTACTATTTTTTTGTTTTGCAAACTATGCGGGAATGAATGTTGATTGGGACACTTTTATGATGTGCTGTAGACGGCTTGTCTTCAATGACGTCGTTGCTGATACCACAGATTCTGAAAAATAACTCCTTTTCATCATGTTTCTTGTTTATTCTCAAACTTACATAACAAACAGGCCAACCCTCCGAAGGTGAATCTGGTGCCCTCAGAAGATCAGGTGAAGAAAGATGCGGCTAGAGATGCCGCTAGAGGGCCGCAACTTCAACGCAATAAAACTGGCGACAGTGTTGAGATGCAGGGACTGAAGGCTACTGTAGAGACGCTGAATCAAAAATTGCGGTCTCGAGACACCCAAGTGACGAATTTGACGCAGCAATTGAAGGCTTCAAGGCAGCAGTTGTGGAAGGAAGTGGGGTACGGATTTTGATCTAAGTAGTTCTTTTACTACACCTTTATTTATTTCTTGGACATTAACAGCACAAGAGCCTTTTATGTTCAAGTTCAAACAGTTTCATGTTTCTGGAAGACACATGATCTGACCTAAGGACACCTCCTGTCTCACAACAGAACCGCTGCACGTGCAGACGCGAGACTGAAGGAGGTTGCTGAGGGTTATGGAGATGAGGCAACGAATCGTGCGATAAAACAGCTGGTAGTGATACCTATAGATACTGCTAATCGTGCGATAAAACAGCTGATAGTGAACTTAAAAAATTCACATTGATGTAGATAAGTATTTCTACTTTCGTCATTTTTAGGTAGATTTTTAGAACTCATAGTTCAAATCATGTAGTACAGAACTCGTACAGTTCTTTCAACATAGTACTTCCACAAGATCAGTAGTTTGATTCTCTACTGGTGGTAAACTCTTCCTCATGCACCTCATACATAATCTCAATCTCATACAGAACGAAAAGCTCTCGGAAGTTTCCCACAAGCTAAACGACGAACGGTTTCAGCGTCAACGATGGGCGGGCATTGCGAAGCAGCAACGGGCTTTTTTCAATTAAGGCTAGAGTAAATCTATCTTCCTAGTAAACTAAGACATCTTGCTTGGTCGCTTGGGAAACGGGTACCACAATGCTCCACGAGTAGATCAGCTTATTGATTTTTTTTACTGGTCGTGTTTGCCACCGTGCTCCAGCGTCATCAAAGACGGTTTCTTTTGGTGATTAGTATGATGAAACGACACTATCTTTATCTTTTGATGATCCAAGAAGATGGATCCGTCTACTTTTCCCTATCACTGCTCTAATCCAAACACCAGGAGAGTTTTGGTGGTGAAGCGCCTCACCAACTCTTCCACAATCACGGCAACAAATCTGGTATTCGGCATCCTGCAGGCGAAATTTTCTATCCGATGCCGCCGATTATCGACGACGATGACGGTGCATACGGGGACCTGTGGGACGTGGCAACTTTATGATTTTCCCTACCTCTGTCCCCCTCCAGTGACGTTGCGCTACCCGTTGTTAGGCACATTCCCTCTTTCATACCTCGGTTGCGGTGCGAACCCATACAACGTGGATTCTTGGCCTTTAGAACCGAACGTTCTAGCACACAAACCCAGTGGCAGAGAAAATGGTGTACCTTTTGGAGCTGGAATTCTAGAGTTAAGGCCAAGGTATCTCTACCCCAACGAGGCATCTCTACCTCTAGAAACTGAAACTAGTGTAGGTACGTTCTTTTGCACTAATCTCTCTGCTTCAAAGCATATTTCAATTCTACACGTATTTCAATCCTGATGAGAGAAGAAGGAAACTGCGAAAAATCAGTTACGGTAGCTTGAAGTGAAAGGTTTTGCGCTCTAACAGAAGAGGTAGAAGAGAACGACGACGATGAAGAAGATGATGGTACAGAGAGCTCATGTTCGGTGCAAGAGCCGGAGGAGGGTGACATTTTACATGTCTGAAGTGATAACAATGAGGACATCAGCAACAACTTCTCGCTCATTAAAACAATGTAAAAAATGTATAGAAGAAAAAGATTGATACGACTTATAAATATGAAAGAAATTATCGAACTATCTGAAACTGAATAGCACTAGCACCGAACAACAAGCACTCATCTACTACAGCTGTACGGTACTAAAGAAGTAGTGCGTAGTTCTATTTTCATTTCATATTTATAGTATACAATTCTTTCATCTTAAATTTTGTTGAACTTAGAGCCCGGTCAAACAGAGGCGCTGGGTAGAGGTCGGGTAAATTTTCATTGATTTTTCAGTTCTTTTAGTTGGTTCTCCCTGTTCTTTCGAAAACGTACTTGTCACAAAAACGTACTTATCACTTGAGAATAAACGTATCATTCCGATTAGCCACTTCCCAATCTGTTCAGTATAATGATCATCATGTGTATTGAGTCTAAGTAAATGCATCAAAAATGAAGTCCATCTCTGTAGTCAGAATATACACTGATAAATGAACGCACAATTATTGCATTCTTTGATATGTCCTACTCCTTCCGAAAGCGACAGAAAGTATTCAACACTCACTGGTTATAAGAATTTTGAGAACTTCTACCCGTCATCATACGCATACCATCCTCGATCATAGAAATCAAAAAGGTCACTGCGTAGATAAGAAAATAGTAGGGCTACAATTTTCCTTCAAAATGATCCCTGTCCCTGTCATGCTGAACTTTCTTTCACTTCGAGTAACTCATTGTGAGGGTGAAAGGGTGCCTATGATGGCATCCGACGACGAGTATCGAAAATAGGGAAGTAACACGTCACGTTACGAACAAGGTGTTGCGACACCTATTTCTTGTTGGGTAGTCAAAATAGATCATCAGACCTAAAAATGATAACGTTCGCTGCACCTATGTTTATAAGTACCTCAAAATGATCACACTTAGAATATAAGGCAAAATCACATCATTGACCCAAGTCAAATAGTAGCTTGTCCTCGTAGAACTAGAAGCCATCAACGTACAAATATAGCCATTGACATGCATTTGAAGCATCCCTCAGAACTCGTAGGTATTCCCTGTCCTACATATGAAACGTACTACCTTCGCATTCATCTTTCCTCGTGCATTGTAGTTATCTACTCTTATTATAGAACAATTGAAGCGGATTTAATGTTATAGTCCGCAGAGTTCTTTTTCGTCTTTCAGTCAATTTTTAACATTTAATGAACAGTGTAGTGTCATTCCTATGTATAGACCTTTCTCTTCCAATGATAAGTCTAAGTCAGCTTATGTCGGTTTGAGTTTTGACTTCATAGTGAGCTCCTTGTCCTTGATCTCAACCTTCTCCACTACATTCTTTGGTCGTGTGCAAGTAGGAAATTTACAACAGACTGTGAATCTAATGAAAATGTTCTTAGACAGCAACCGTGCTTGATTGTCAATTGGACAATTCTCTGGGTAATGAAGTGTATTGCAAAAAACTCACCTGGAGTACCTCAATATGAAGATGTGACTGTCGTGGAAAAACGCGTGACTGTCGCGGAAAACCGCTATGCTCGATGCTGCATCGGTTGTTGGTAACGTCCTCTGCTGGGGTGATTATTCAACAGCAAGAGGAAGAGGTCCGAAGGCAACACTGCGTGGAGATTTTGACCATAGCTCTGCGCTAATCGGTTTCGGTTAGCTTCGTAGGCCGTGCTCATCGGTTAGATGCCTACTCAGCTGAGTACTGAACGAGGAGAATCACACGTAAAAAGGTCTGTTCTCACTCTCAACATCGGTTATCTCTGACGAGAGTACCTACCTCCACACTTGTTCATCCTCTCCTTTACAACTGTTATCTCTGACGAGAGTATCTACATCCTCTCCTTACAACAACAAAGACCATAACCACTTTCGTCACAGAGTGTTTGCTCCTAGAGTTTAACAACGAATTAGGGCGTTTAGGCTAAGTTGGGTCTAGATCATCAAGCTAAGGAACTTTCTTCTTGCAGAGTTGCTGCACACTAGATTGAGATTATCTCTCTCATTCCTGTCGACAAGTTTAGCGGTATGTAAGATAAATATAGCACAACTACCATTAGTCACCACGCTCCTAGTAAAACGTCGTGAAGCTGTATATTCACATTCGTACTAGACGTTGCTCTACTACTGCATCCAAAAATTCCAAAACACAAAAAAATGTTAATTTCCGAAACGCGTATCTGGCCTTTGCATGAGAGTATAGAAGCCCTCCTGGTGGAGGGAGATTTTCTCTTCGTTGGCACGGGTGGCGGCTGCATCGTTGCCTATAGCGTAGACGATTTGCGACATCCAGCGGCGTTGTTACAAGGACACAATGCGAAGATTACGTGTTTGGGTACTTGATTTGAAGTAGTTGGGGTACTAACCTCATCCTCGAAGATTAGGGCCTTCATCTTCCAAGATTTTAAGTAGTTGTACTTAATATAAGTCTATCTTGGCATCATGTCTGGGTACTTGATTCGCAGTTCTTGTACTAGTGGATGTTGCAGGTTGTGGTAGTGTACTTCTTATTGTTGTAGATGAGTAGTCTGTTTTTTTTTGTGTTCGTCGCTAAGTCACTTGTTTTCTCTTTTTGCATCAAGCTGACACTTCTTTACGTGAAAATCGGCAGGTCTTTACCGTCAAGAGCCCAGAGGCTCGTCGAAGAGGGGATCAAGAGGGGGAACGTCGAGATCCAAAAGGCCTAAAAATTCCAGAGCCTCCTCGTCATCTTCAAATTATGTCAACAACCTTTCAATTTCATTCATCACTACTACAAGAGTAGACAGTGCTTTGTGCTTTTTCGACCGTGAGTCAAAGTAAGAACTAGGTACTTTACCCTTTACCTCAAGTAGAGCATGATATTACTACAAGCGTATATCGTGATTGCCTATGAAGATGGAAGTGATCATCAATGTCAGATAAAAAACACTCATGATGAGAAGTGTTATTGCTCCTTTGCAAAAAGAACATAACCTCGTCTGATGAATAACATTCATGAGTCTAAAGATCCTCCTCTAATCCCAACCCACTTCGCGAAAGCATTCTCGATGGCAGAGAACACCTGCTTCGCAAGCAAGGGATAATGGTCTTCTTTCCTGGTGCGGAGTTTATCTCTATAGTGGTTCTGAAGATGGGCGTGTTTTCTGTTGGGACTTAGGAGTCCTCGACAAGACGGACAGTCACAAGAAAAAAAAGGAGGACTTTGCAAGATTGTTGTTAAGATGAGATGGATGTCTTATACAACTAGTCATTAGAGCAAGGTACAAGATGACTGGATTACCTCATAACTAGTTGGCCATGTAGTAAAAAGAGGGCACATGACATGACGTTAGAGAGGAAGGGTACAGAGGTATCATGACATGACATGATGCAACTACGAGGTCAAGGAAGTATTGAAGTAGTATTTGTTATTTATGAGACAAAGGTATGATACAGGTATAAGGTCAAGGAAGTACTATTAGTCCCTCAAAATTTTCAATTTAGACGTATGTTTCGGAATGCCTGGACTCTCACTTGGACTATCGTCATCATCCACTCTCTAATCACAATGCAATACGAAGCTCGGACGAAGAGTGCGGATTTGGCCGCTTATAAACCTGACCCCGAGTTGCTGCAGATGCAGGCGTTGCACAACATGACACACATTTTCGACTCTGTAGCTGGGGATAGAGAAGATTTGGTAAAAGAGTACGCTGCAAGACTGCAATTTTTTGGGCACATAGGACATGACGGTCCAATCTCGCTCGTGCCGCAGCAACAAGGAGGTGCCGCAACAAGGAGAGATCATGATGGAGACGAAAAAAGTTCTGCCGGAGGCAGTGGGAGTGATAGAATTAAGGCTATCATCTTGATGGGCGGAACTTGGACTTGGTCCAATGGAGGGGGTCGCTTAGAAAATATAAAAATTCTTAAAGAGAAGAACCCCCTTGCATTAGTTACCCCCCACAAGGAAGCTCTAATGGAAGTTCGCAGGCAGGTTGTGCCTCTGACAGTGACAACTCGAGTGCATCTAGACGAGGTATTCGTAGTAGGAGCTCTTCGAACGCAGACTCACAGATAAGCGACTGCTCGTCTTCCGACAAGGATGATAAAGGTAGCAGCAGCAATTATGAAGAGGACGAAGAGGAGCGTAAAGGACGAGGACATACCACCAGTAGCACTGGTTCGGCGTCAGACGATGACTCTGAGAATGGTCTTAGAGGTGAGTTGATGTGGTCTCCTATGCGAAACCAGGTTCAGGCTGCCAAAAAGAGACGTGAGGACCGAGCTACTAGTACTGGTTCCAAAAACAGAACGAAGCACAAGAGGAACAGAAGCAGAGGTACGAAGATGCATCTGAAGAGGCGAAGGCAACGGGTTGTAGTAGATGTAGTTGACGATCATACGAACAAGGCCGCTAAAGCAAGTCCAACAAAATTGATCCATAGTGTAGATGGATCCCGATTTCCTATTTTCGTAGAAAACCCAGAGGAAGCGATCCTGCTACACTTAAACTTAAGGCTGCCGGGGCTCAAGTATAATTAGCATCTCCGTAGTTGTATCAACATACATTATCCTTGATCGATGTTTTTGCTTTTTCTAGTATACTTGATGAAAAAGAACTGTGATCATGTCCTCCAAGGATACTACAAAAGTAACTATTTTTACGACAATCAAGTACATACTCAGCACTACTTGAAGATTTATAACAAGCACTATTGTCCCGTCCCCGGAACAAGAAAAGACCATGCGCTTATCTAAAGCCGCTGTTTATTTAAGCACAACTATTCATTGTCCTCGGATTGATGTTTAGAAGCAGGCAGCTATTGGGTGTGATTTATATGCTCGACGTAAAAAGAATGTCAACCCTTTGGTCTTCCTCGGTTAATCTTATTACATAGAGGCTCTAAGATTCCATAACTCCGGTCCTGGGGAGCGTTTCCGCGTAGCTTCCAGACTAGACCCAAATGAGGCGGCTTTTGCGGAGAAATGGACCTTCGCCAAAACTCCAGGTCTCACAGAAGATTCAGGCACTAGTACAACAGCCTCTAGTGCTTCTTGCGACGCGAGCTCTGCCGAGGGCGGCCAAATCACAGAGAATGAGCTGGACTTTCTCTTTCATCGCGGACTATTAAGCGAAGGCTTGCATAATAGCAGTCCACTGATGTCTTCCAGAATAGCTCCTCCACTGTCATCGAAGAGACCACTCTCAACATCTGCCTCAACAAGTCTTCAAGCTCGTCCACCTCTGTCTTCAAGGACTAGCAGACGTGGAGGAAGTAACATCGAGTCTTCTGAGGATTCGTATTATTCGAGCGGTGAAGAGGAAGCAGATGACTCGGTCTCTGATTCTGACTCCAGCGTTTCAGACCACAACTGTTCCGCGAACCGAGTGGTAGTCCAGCTTGGTCCGAGCAACAACAACGTCGTAGTTGTACACCAACGACAACAAGAAGATTCAACCATGATACTCAAGCCCTCGTCACTACAGCCTTCTTCAACATCATTTTTCAACTACTACAATGTGGAGGGAGCGCACCGAGCTTCTGCCGCAATGTCAGAGGGTTCTTCGGATGGGGACTTTTTAGAGCGGAAGTTAGAACAGGTTTTTCGTAGTGCTGAAGACGCAGCTGGAGGAAGTCCTGCCGATCTTTCCCCTGAACGTCTGCACACAGGAATTTACCACTCGATTGTACCCAGAGTTAAGGCTTTTTACCCTGCGAACAATGGTCCATCTCCATAGAAGTCTTCCTAGGAGAGAGGAAAAAGCACCCACATCCCAGGATGCGTCTCAAGAAGATGGACATGGATAAGGGTGAGCTCTAACAGCGGACTAGTTGCTCCGCCGCTGCTAGGGAATGTTGATGCCAGCTCAGCGTCCTCAAGTTCATCCAGTTCGTCTAAAGCAACTACGCCAACAGAAGATGCAGCTGATGCGGGTGGGGGTCTTGCTTCAGTATCTCCCTCGCGGGGTGGTACTAGGGCTTCTGGCAAAACTAGGGCTTCCAACAAGCACGAGGACGCTTTTTCTTCTACAACTAGTTATAAGAACAAAAGTAGTAGAAGAAATACTAAATCAGTATCAGACAACCACGTCCACGTCGACTCCAGCTCGACAAGAAGTATTAAGGGGATGAGTCGACAGATGAATCGACAAAGCGGTAAAAGCGGTCGAAACAGCAACGCCAGCAAGGCTGTTTCTTCGGAGAAATTGAACGCACCGGTTGTGTTGAGTGGATCAGGACCACAGCAGAGTTCAGAACTCGATCCAACTGCACGCTACATTCCTCACGGAGAGGGTGCTTCTGTCCATCACATCGTTTGCAGTATGCGTCGGCAGCGACTGTTCACTATCGGCAGTGACCTCACGTTACAGCAACTGCCGTTGTTTGATCCGTCGAGACACAGGGTGAAAGCTGTTGCTCGTGAGGATCAAAATATTATGAGAACATGTGTAAGAGTAAGAAATGCATTCTCTACAAATCAAGAGTCATCTGGGAGAGCGAAGAAAATGAGGACAACCTGAGGTGCTGTCCAGATGATCTCTGTTCTTGAGATGCATGATTTCCTGCGTACATCTCCTACACCTCTAAGAAAAGCGAGAATGATGGTGCGCAAAGTTCGGACACCGAGAGTAACATTTCTGCTACTCAGTTCAGTCCGAATGCGGCGAACAACAAGCTGACGAATAGCAGTAAGCACAGCGGATTTGGCCGTAGTAGTTCGATGCAGCAACAAAACTCGACCATGAGTTTGAATTCAACGGCTGTGGATGCGGATGGACAGGTGATCGCTCTGAAAAGATTATGGCTAAGTAGGTTTTTGATGTCACTATTGTTCGTCCATGTGAAGGTGGACTATTTACTGAGTAGACTCGCGGCTCTAGGTGGATTTTATGGGGAAAGTAATTGGGAAAAGGCAAGCGGGAACTTGGTCAACCAGCGCCAGTAGGTAGCTACCTACTCTAAAATGACACGACTTCGCACTTGGGCAGAACAATACTTTGGGCCTTGGCCAGAGCACAGCCACAAGCAGATTCCGGGACCCGCCTCGTGTGTATGAGACAACAGCAACAGCCAACGACTTTTTGACTGAAGTGGCGATTGCGACAGTCTCAGACTTTGACGGATTTTCCTTGGATGATAAACCGGGAGTGGACCGACTTTAAGACGAAGAGTTAAAATACGCGAGTAACAAACACAATACATAGCCCAGTTGTATCATCCGTGAACTCGGTTATTCTTATTTCAGCTTATCAATTTAATCCATCTTTGACTTCATTATCGCTGTTTTCAGGTACTTGGAGGAATGGGCGCAGACGAGGGTGTGGGACAAGAAGTTAGGTCTGCTCCGCCTGATATAGTGAGTTCCTTCTAAGGATAGTATCGAAGCGCTGCAGACCTGATAGGCGGTAGGTCTACTCAGTCTGATAATGGAGGTGCTATGAATACGTCCATTACGAGTAAATTCGTTGGTAGTACTTCTAGTAAGACCACGACTGCTCACCCTCGCAATCAGAACGCGTCGCATCAAGAAATGGTAACCACGGGGACAACTACAACAGCAACTATCTCTGGTGGTGACCATTCCAGCAAGAGGACAAGGAGTAAAGACAAGCAAGAAGTACTGGTTGTGAAGGGCTTAGGGTTTGGAGTAAAGGACGATAGAAGTGCAGATGGGAAGAAAATCTTGCGGGATGGCGCACATTCTAGTCCGTCTCCTAATGAACGGAGTAAAAGCAATTAAGGGCGTAGGTTTTACTAGGTGTTCCTCTTATCATTTGTTATAACGAACGGAGTAAGGGAACACCAAAATCCTACCTCTAAAGCAAGAAGAATAAGAAGAAGCGGAAGCGAAAACTCGAACAACAAGAACAAGAGATCCAACTGTACATTAAGGCTACCACTATTACAGCATCCTCAACACGATCTTTGTTGGCTCTTTTTATTTCTACTACTCAACTACACGATGGCGCTTTTCTCTTTTTCTACTGCTCAGCGTCAGCACGATCTTCTGTGGCTCTTTTTTCTACTACGTACTGAGCACGATCTTCTGTGGCCGCTGTTTTTCTACTTCTACTTTAAAAAGAGGCCAATGATGAATGGTCTTGTAAAAGCCCCTAAGGATAGAAGCGTAGCACTCTCGAAGAAGCTGCAGAAGCGTGTAAACGTAGTAAGTCCTTAGCTCTAAAAATTACGACTTAGAAAATGGTGGCGCTGACGGAATTTTGATGGAGAAAGTGGGTGGCGAAGAGATCCCAACCTTGGAGTTCAGCAGACGAAAGGCAAAGAAAGAGCATTAAGGCTGCTTATACTAGATATTAATCCAAATAATTCAGCCGTGACTATGACTGCATCCCTGAAAAGTGTGGGACAGTAGTAAGTACCATCGCATCATTCATTTTACATCACTCGGAGTACATTCAAATGATCAATGCTGTATGGAACAGGACTCAGCAGGGATAGAATTGAAAGATGGACTATGGGTTCCTCTAAGAGCAGGCAGCACGCGCAATTTCGCCTCCAATTTTACCGGCGTACAGGGTAGCACAAAACGCAACAAGACAAGCGATGGAACAACAGGTACTTGCTTGGGTGAAGGAGCTGGTACTTAGGTCAAAATATGGGTGAGACTGATTTCTTACTATAAAATCATCAACATGTAGTTCAGGTGCTTACAGGTAAAACTGATTTCGTCCTACGCTTATCTTTATCAAATCATCCTCATTGATTCTTAATTTCTCATCATCGCTTTGATGGGCCTCAAAGTCTGGCTTCTCAGATCTTCACTCTTTATGATAGTAGATTAGAAGAGTTACCAAAACGTGGATATACGCTCCATCCACCAGCCGCTCGAACAGCAAGATGATGGGGTATCTGAGGAAGAGCGCGAGCGACGCCGTAAAAAGCGTGAACAAGCAGCGCTGCTCCGCAGTCGGTGGGAGGAACAAACCCGGTTTTTCCATCTCTTAGAAGATCACTCTAGAATCATGAATGTTTTGTCCGGCGGAGACGAACGGCTGAAACAGAGCCTAAAGATTAAGGCTAGTTTCCCACCATCCCATGATTAATCGCCGTCTAGTTAGTACGCGCACGTTTTTAATGGGAAAGAAACTATGGGGCACCCACGCAGGGTATAATTTCACTCAAATAAGAACAGGGATAGTGAAAAACTAGCGCTAAAAGAAGCTTCCTAATGGCAGTGCATCGAGGAGACCAAGCAGGGGCTCTGAGCGGCTTAGCGAATTCAGGTAGGATTTTGCCTCCACACCTGTCTGCAGCGTTGGCCAAAACATTATCGAGTATCGGAGGAAATATTATGTGAGCAGGAGGTTGACTTTTGTCACTAAAATTTTGACTTTTGTCTAGCAGAACAGATGAACAGACGAGATGTAGTTGTCATCATCACGGAAAGGGTTGCTGGGATTGAGTTAATATTTCTGAAAGTTTCATCTGGATCTAATGGTAGTAGTAGCCGCGTCTGCGGCAATTGTCTTTATACTTTTATCTAGCAGAACAGATGAACAGACGAGATGTAGTTGTCAAGGTGAAGATGAACGATAGTAGCTCTTTTTAGAAGGTACTACTTCACTGAAGGGCCTCATACATAGATACATAATGCTATACAAGAGGCACCATGAAATGACATGATTTCTCTAATGTACAAGCGTCTCAGCAGCCGGCGAATACCCTTGGGCAGGTACAGCACGATGCCGCAGTATATCAGGCCACGACGGGCAAGAGCTCGACTGAAATCTTGAGCAAACAACTCGTGAGTCGGTATTTGGCTGCCAACGCAGCGCGAATCAACGCCATTCCTACTTCTGGGCCGCGTAGTGGCTTACTCGCGTCACGAAAAGACTTCATCCACAATCATGGCGGCAGTTTATTTCCAGGAACTGGTGGGGGTATTGGGGGAGTTCCTGGAAGTCATGGTCTACATGGTCGTCATGGAACAAGCGCTGCCCCGAGTCACCTATTGCTAAGGCTATGCATAGCGCTCATGCTCAAGCATGCTCTTCCTCAGCATGATCCCTGGATTCACTTTTTCTATAGCTGAAAAAGAAGTGCTCCTCAGATAACTCAACATAACTCAAGGAAGATGCGCTGACTCAGAGATGTACTCAGTACTCAGTGGATAAGGTTAGGAGATGTAAGGAGGTCCAGCGACGCTTAAAGCACATAAAGAAGAGTGACCCGTTAACTTTTCCCTCATCTTTGCTCTTCATTAGTTGAAGGCACAAGAAGGCTGATAGGGCCTCATCATTGGTATAATATAGACCGATTACTACGAGGCATCCTGACATGATACAGAGGTTAGCCCGTTCAGTCAAACTCTAATAACAGCGAAGCACGATGCAAGTCCACGATTGAATTTGTTGAAGGAAGCGAGTGCAGGAGGAACTCTGGCAGCGGCGCTGAAGGAGTACAGAAATTCTAGTAATCTGCAAGCGGCTAAATGGTACAAGAAAGCTTTGCCGACCGTTCCTGTTTAAGGGTTGGAGTGGAGTTGGAAATCACTAGATGATCTAAGTGGAGTGGAGTTGGAAGTCTTCCATCTACCTCAGATACTAGATGATCTAAAAGCATGTAGCCTAACAGACTGCTACATCTAGAAAGCAAATTGGGTATACTACTACTGCTTTCTGCTTGCTATATTAGTCTATGACCTGCTTTTCAAGGAGCAAAGAAAAGGCTACAAGATAAAAGTAACCTACAACAAGATAAAAGACTTGGTACGACCTCTAACCTGTTGACGACCTGTTGCTTCTAGGCATGCAGCTGAATGAGATGGAGCCTCTACCGCGATCGAAGAAACCCAGTTTTAAGGGTCCAACAAATTGTGGTGCTGCGGTTCTGGGAGTCGATGCTGCGGGGAATCTACTGCCTAGTACTGGCGCTGGAGTTTCTGTTTCTGGGAGCAGTCTTATCAACGACGGTGCAGGGAGACCGGGGAGTGTAGGTTTCTCAGGAAAAGGGATAAGCGATGGTAAGAGGAAGAAAAGCAAGAAAAACAAAAACAGTAGTACAACTATGAAGGGGAAAATGAACAAGACCGTACTAGATGGAGATGACGAAGTAGAACGTGATGAAGGACGAGAAGGGACTCCTGTTGCTGCAGATGCAAGCGAACAAGAAAACATGTTAGAAAGAGCGAAGGCCGTTGAAGTTGTGCCCAGACTAGATGGCGAGTCCTCGTCTGATACTGACTCTTAAGCGTTGGAAGTTGACCTTATCTCTATGAACAACATCTCTATGGTAGGCTTGTTCCAAGCAGGAAAGCCATAGACGTGCGGGCTACAGCGGTCAACTTTCAACCTCTAAGACTCGGAGGAAGAGAGACCCCAGAGCGAACTACTAGAGATGAACCCGCCTCGAAAGATGGACCGAAATACGGTGGATCAGCATCATCAAGGCACAAATACAACAGGAAAAAAGCATGTTCGTGCTGATACTAACAATAATATATTTAAGGCTTCAGGTAATCCATCCTCAGAAGCATCTTGAGGCCTTTCTCTGAGGGGAAAGCAAGGGCAGGATGACTTTCAAGATGGATTCCGGGAAGCTCTAATATAATAAAGGGTCATGGTGATCTTCATCACCAACATCATATCCTGAAGAAGAAGGGCATTCTGGCTAGTTCGTCACGCGGAGGAGAAGCTTCTGCAGATCAACAGCATCTAGCATCCGAAATGCCTCGAGTCCGGCTGAGTTGGGACGGTCGAGTGTTGGCTGATGAAGAGGCGCACTGGTCTTAAGGCTTTATTCATATATCATAGCGGACTACTCATTATTATCGACTGCAAGCCAAACCAAATTTTCTATAATTATAAACATAGATACTATAATTTGTTCATCATGCTACTTTTGCAGCAGCACTGCTCTCTCTGCTTTAAATAAGCTCAATATCCTGATGAATCATGGTCCCTCTTCAGATTCAGATAGTACATCTTGTAGGAGCTGCCCTCCGCCTTAATGATGGATCGGGTTAAGCGGCTCTAATGGTCTCGTGTGGCGGAACCTGTACCGAGGGGCCGCACTGAAGATGATGAAGAAATAGAAGCTGGAGAGTCGCGTCGATTGAAACGCATTAGCAAGGGGAGCAAACCAACTGAGGAGAAACAGCGTATGAAAGGGACATCAAATTCTTCTTCTAAGAAAGCAGAGACAAGTTTTACCAATGCGCTTTTCTATCCAGAGCCAGAAGAAGCTGAACTACATCAAGCTGAGGCCATCAATGCTGCAACGGCCAGTAAGGAACCGAGGAAGACCCTCAATCAAAGAAGAAAACAGCTTCTATTAAGGCTTACAGAAGTAATTCACCTTATAAAGGAGCCAAGCATCTTTCGAAGAACGAAGGGCAGAAACCGTTAGGGAAATCTTAGGCAATCCACCGAACAGATTCACAGCATCAAGAAGCGCCTTCGCTTCTTTGTCCTCCTTTTCTTTGAAGGAAAGAAAACCCGCCAACGGCCAGACTAACACGATGACTTTCGTTCAAGATCAAGATGAATATCATGGTAATAACAATCTAGAAGTGATGAATGAACTTAGGATGAAATGGATATACGTTGTAACCTGTTACTGTAAGGTCTACTTCTTCATGTATTTCTAATAGAAATGAATGAGCATGAAGAGGAAAGTAAAGAAACTCGACAAGACCCGCCAGACGAGCAGAACGAAGGCAAGCCAGTTTCTTTAAGGCTTCCCCGGATCCATCTTCCGAAGCATCCTCAAGAGGGTTTTCAAGGGAAAAACACGCCCAGGATGCATCTTGAGATGGATTGCGGTGAGCTCTAATTGCTATGATGTACTCGCCGCCGCCTGCCAAGAAACTCGTGAAGAAACTCTCGCTGATAGCGAAGAGGGACAAACTTCGTGGCATCGTCCGAGAGAAACCGAAAGTGAAGAAGCCGACGATCATGACTGGTTTTGATCAGATCTTCCCTGATGGGGGCCACCACCTCCTAGATGGCAAGAAACCACCTAGCTTCTTCGGAACCTATTTCGATTTCGCGAAGGTGTGGGCTGGAGGCGGTGCAAGATTGCCTGGTAGCGGTACTGCTAATGTTAAGGCTGTAACAACTGGTTCAACATCCTTTGGTGCATCCTTGGTTTAGGGTTTGTGCAAGAGGTATGCTTCAGTATTAAATCGTGCTATACTCTTCAAGGATACACCAGTCGAAAGATGAACTACGGAAAGCTCTAATACTGCGAATGGGGGAGGAGCAAAAGCGTCAATGAGGAAGAACATCAAGATGAAAAAAGGAAGTTCTACTACTTCCTCTGCTGCTGGTAGTTCTATGAAACTTCTACGGAGCAACAGTAAGGTGGATTCTACTGTTGGTAGTGGACGAGCAGGTAGTAATGGAGTAGGACCGCACCAAGGACCACACCAAGGATCAGGAGGATCCGCTTCCTCTTCTAACGCAGGACTGCAACACCAAAACGAACCTTCTGCTTCTTCATCTTCGAAAACGACTTGTTCTAAAACGAACAAGATATTCTCGACTAACGAAGCGAACACTGGCGTAGTGCCTACGCCACAGAGGCTGTTGTTATTTAATGACGATAGGACGCTGCTAGTGGGGATGGAGGATGGCGAGGTTTTGATCTTGTCATTGCGGGATGAAGCAAGGGCTGACCTTGTGGGAAAGTTTGGGGGACCATCAGCCTCGTTTACTGTATGGTTGATGTGTAGTTTTCTCCCATCTTTACAACAGACCATGATGTTCATCTAGGCTTAGGCAGTTTTCCCCTTTATTTTGAGACTGCACATCTAGGCTTATGGGCCCTTTTCCCTCATCTAGGCTTAATAGGCCCTTTTCCCTCATCTAGGCTGACCGGCATTTTCCCCTTTTTAAGACTGCACATACAGTAAAACAACCGGTTAGTTTAACCCACCTCATCTATGATCCTATTCTATCCTAGATTAGTCCCTCGAGGCAACGTATACTATAGCTATAGCTCAAATAGAAAGGGGTGAAGCCTGGTAGCTTTAGATCTCTCTACCTCTCTACCCCTATGGGTCAAACAGATAGTGGGAGAAAAAAGACCATTCATGTACTGGGATTTCTTTCTCGGTGCCTGCGTCTGCGGGTGAGCCTTCCGCAACAACGAACCTTCTTGGAGCAGATCATGACAGCAATGCTCTAGCAGATTTCGTCTCACCTGAGTCCGATTTCCTAGCATCATTGGCACAACAGCAAGGTGGAGGTAGTCATCCGCTAGGGAAAAGACAAGTATCTTCTCTTGACTTATTTTCTTCTAGTACAACGAGGGGAGCAGCAGCTGAAGCAGTGGAAGATGCAGGTGCTGGAACAGGAGGTGGTGAGAAGGGGCGGAAACCAAATAAACTTCGTGTCACAGATTTGGTTCCTTTAAGGCTTTCGCTGGAGCATCCTCTGCATCATGAGCCTTGGATCTTCTTTTTCTATAGTTGAAAAGGAAGTGCTTCCCAATGATACTTCGTTCTATGACTCATCTCAAAGAGGAAGATGCGAGGACCGCGGTACTTAGTTCTAATTACTCTATCTGTGAGCAGTACCAGCGAAACGACACCCCTGAGTACACTTTTCGGCATCACTCCTGCAGGTGGAGACCATATTAACCATAAGTGCCACGACTCAGCTGCAGCAGGATCAGTAGGTGGTCTGAGCCGTAGTATGTCGACAGATTTGACGTCAACAGACTCAGTCAGTGGACTACAAGAAGCAGATGCAGGCTGTAATGATGAGGCATTGAACCGATCGATTCGCTTGCAACTGTCGTCGCAGATGTCACAGCTATTCTCGCCAGTACTCGAGAAAAACGCGAAAAACAAGGAGAGAACCACGCAAGATGCCGCAGTAGTTATGATGACTTGCAATTTGACATGGACGGACCTGACTTGCAATTTGATATGGTAGAAGATCTGGTGCCAGATTACGAATACGATGAAATAGAGCAAAGGCGTAGAAGTGTTTGAAATGTCTCAATGTCACACCATTGGTCTACTTCGTCTAAATGTTGCTCAGGATCATTTCTCTGTGTAGTTGTAGTCCACTTCGGAGCTTTATCGAGACTGCATTCAAGATTTTTTGTACTAGAAACATGATAAGTAAATACGCAAACCTAGAAGTACAGTCTAAAAACCAAATATACTACTTCTAAACCTCACAACCGCGAAGAGGACAACTTGGTAGCCACTCGCGCCAAAGAGATGCTACATGGCCTCTTAGGCGACGAGAGACACGTGGACGTGAACACTTTACATGAAGTTGTCACGGCACGTCGGACGACGGCGCATATTGCTGCCTCTCGAGCCGATGGCGATATTAGTGTGTGGAGGCTGGACATCGAAGAAACGCTAGATATCTCACGGTATCGAGTTCGAGTATTAAGGCATTCATCTCAAGTTGTAGTTGTCACCTCGAGTTGTACGTAGTTGCTTCCAGAATTATCGAGTTTTAGACTGAGTTGTGATTACAAACTTCGGGTAGCTAGTAGGCTTTCACATCTAGTTGTAGTTGCTTTCACAATTATCAATATCACCTTACTTGATCGTGAGAAGTAGCACTATGGCACCATCTTTGACTTTGATGTTCATGCGCTCATTTTGATGAAGAGTAAAAAAGTCAGATTAGGAATGGAAGATAATTTAGAGGGAGTCAGATTAGGTGCTAGTTTTTCTAGTGGGCCCACACCTAGCCTATCCTCACTTTAGATAATTTAGAAGGGCCAAGGTCTAACAGTAGTGGTGAAAAATGCGGAGATGGTCTCTGTTGATCGCTCAGTTACTGGCGGAGCGTTTTGTCTCTTGTGCGAAGTTACGGCTCATTAGATATTTCATTTCTAAGAACCTAAAATGATCACGAACAACTAGGGTTTACAACTTCAATATAATATTTCTAGTTCTACCAGTCATTCCATTCTCGCAATTTCCTTCTTGTTGGGCGGATTCTGAACAAGAAATGAAGGGATAGGGAAGAAATGAAATAGACGGTCTAAGTTAGCACTTGTTGCATCCTCTAAAAGAGGCAAGAAGAAGCAAGAACCAAGGACGAAGGAGACCAACAAGAGGAACGAAGGCAATATGGCGTTCTCCAATGACGGAGATCCTTTCGAAGAAGTGGGAGGCACAATCAACAAGAAGAAGGACTATGAAACGACTTCGTCTTCAACATCCGGTGAACAATCGCTGTTCATCGGAGGGACGCACGGGTTGGCACGAGGCGGAGACCTCCTGAACTATTGCGCGAAAGAGACTGGGCCGACAAAAGCCGTAGCACAGGTTTTCCTGGCTGGTCGTCGACACGTGTTTTTCGGCGGGGAGGATGGCATCTTACGGTGTTTCGTCGATGATCATGGGGATGGTGCGGCGACAGGTTTGGAGGAACAGCAGAATATTAGAGGAGCTGGAGAAGATGTGCTACCACCTCCTAGAAGTAATGCTGCAAGCGGCGGCGTAAAAGGAACGAGTTGTACAGGAATGAAGACACGAACAACTAAGGGCTTACAACTGAACCATCCACGTCGACACTTGAATAGTGGAGGAGAACTTTCGGCAGCAACTTTGAATGCAGCCGCGATGAACATGCATGCGACGTATGCGCCCAAGCAGCCAGTGAGATGATAAATGAACCTGGTCTCAGATTGTCAATGTTACGTAAGAACCTAAACACGTTTACAATTGAAGTTGTAGAATCACAAAGCACATTGTCGAAGCAGCTAGTACGTTTTTGCTACAAATAAAAGCATAAATTTGATATTCCTAGAAATCCTAATATAAAAGAGTTAACCCTTATTTCGGAAACTACGAAGTAATTTTGAAACTACCAAGTAAATTTGCATAGTGCACGAGTAATTCTGGCCCCAAGTGGGAGACAAACTAATCTAAAACAGTATGAGTGCCAAATCTAAAGAATTTTAAGTTGCGAAGTAGTATTAGCCACAGCGTGTGTGGTTACAATGCAGAGTAGTATCAGCCACAGCCAGTGTGTGTGGTAATGAAAGCCAAGAGCATATCACAGCGCTACCAAGTAAGAGCAGGATATGCAAGTGAAGTAGCAGACAGTATCAACAGTTGTAACAGACTTAGCTAGGTTAATGTATGTGTCCTAAGTCTCATATCTCAAGGAAGATATATTATAAATATCTTCTAGTTCTACCTAGAAGCTGCACAACAGTATGAATATTTTCTGCGTCGTTCTAGATCCGTCTACGTACCATACAGTCATTGATCACAGCGCTGGAGTCAATTCCTATCCTGTCCTTTATAATGCTTTATTACTCTCGACCTTGACACAAAAACTCCCGGTACTCAATCTAAAGAAGTATCTATAAGTTCTGCTTGAGTTGTTCTGGTACAACCTACAAACGCATTCCCGGTTGAGTCCGTGCTGTTTGTCGTGTCCAGCACTCATTCGAGTTGTCGACGACAATCCTGTGAAAGTGGTGTTCTCGCGCTATTTTGAACGAATGTTGAAGGATGTGGGAACATTGTTTCTTGGAGAGTGAAACTTTCAGGAAGGAAAAAAGACCACGTTTGGACGTAGCAAATAATCATGTTCGAAGCACCTCTGGACTGATCCAAATGCAAACTCCGAGGAGCCAAAAAATGCAAGCGATCGTGCAAATCTTCTAAAGATCGACATTGATGAAGATTTGTCGTTGTATCGGTGAAGCAGTTGTAATAGACGAAAGTAAACACTTAAATGCCATCCATTCGCACTGAACTACAATGCAGCTTCTACTTTACTTACTAACAACATCAACCAAGTGCTGATCATGTCTTGCTCTGCATAGTGTTGACGTCCACCCATGGCGTCAGCAATCAAAAAGGGCGACGTCTCGGAGAAGACAGCATTGAGAGGAAAATCTAAAAATGAGAGGACAGAGGAGCAGTGGTTTTGGAGTTCATCTCCTTGCGCTGGTTCTTGGCACATTCGTTGTGCTGCCCACTACGCTTGTGCACGCTAAAAAGAATCGCCGCTCAGGGGACGCTTTTCTCCAACCCGTCTCAGCGGATCCGTCCTTCAGTTCCACTGTCGCAGCATCACCTTTATGGGCTGTTTGTTTCATCCCCCTACTAATTCGCCAGCTCTTTGCAATAGAGATCGACTCGACCACAGGTAGTAGAAGTGTCAAATTACAATCAGGAAATGGATTATGCTTATGCAAGATTTGGATTACAATCTCTAACATCATCATCTTCGTCGTCATCGTCGGCAGCGGTTGGTGAGTCCTTTTTGCCGGTGCCTTCTGCGACATTAACTCAAGGGCCTGTTGCTCGCGATCTTTCAGGAGGAACCTCAGTCGAGGTAGCAATTTCACCTGATGGGACGACGTTTATCGAACAAGAGTTCGCTGCGAAGAGAACAAATGAGGGATCGCGTCAACAAGCTGGTGGACGTGTAGCACTAGGTTCGGATGCCCTTCCCGTAAATCGAAAAACAGGTGGCGGAGGAACACATCGACCGGGCGTGGACGAGGCAGCGCCACCCCCTGGAAAACGTTACGGCTCTTAGTCTGTGATACATCGTTGCTTTTTTTCTCGACCGCCTCACTTGCTTAGCCCTCCGCTTGAAACTCTTTGTCGATTCTCTGTTTCTAATATTAGAACGGGGCAGCACCGAGATCACCACCTGCGCCAGGCGCTGGACTAGCAGACCAACCAGGACTGGTGGGCGAAGCAGGACCCGTATCAGCATCGCCACCTGTAGGTGAAGCGCTATCACGATCGCCATCATCATCATCATCATCACCACCGGCATCATCGTCCGAGTCCGCAGTTAGCAGTGGAGATGGCGCTGGACTGACGGACCCAGCAGAACTAGAGTCACCACCATCGTCACCTCGGTCACGACCTTCGTCACTTTCATCACCAGCAAGTAGCCTGGATGCTGACTATGACGCTGCTGCGCTGACCCCTCGACCGACGGGCGATGCCGGACCAGCGCCGTCAGCGTCATCTGCGTCACAACGTCCGTCTGGTACTCTGAAGCTTGAGTTGATGAATCAACGATCCTGAGCCTTCGCCACTCTTAAGCTTCTACTTCTTAATCGATTCCTCTAGCTTCTGAATCCTGCATTAGTAGTATGTCCCTATCTCACTTACCCACTCACGTAAGTGAACGCTTAATATGAAGGACAGAGCTCGAAACTTGTACGGAACGCCTCAGGTAGTGTCGATGGCGAAGCAGGATCAGCGCTACGAAGCAAGGAGATGGAAGATCCGCCACACGCTTATGGCCTCTCCAGTCTGGTTTTAGTTACTGAGGCAGTGCGCTGGCGATGATCTTTCGAGCAAGAGCTTAGAAAATGTGGCCTCTCTCGGAATCTTTAGACGCAATGTTTTTAGATTTTTCCCATTTAGTGGGCCTCCCTTGGATTCTCTCTAACAATCTGCCGCTACGGGGTCAGATGACCGACAGGGGGAGAGCGTGCAAGTACTACGAGGACCAGACCCCGCACCACCAAAAACGGAAGAAAAAGCAAAACCAAAGGGGCCACCACCACCGAGGGCTGACAATTCGAAGCCGGGGCCAGACGCTTATGGCCTCCCCAATTTTGCTTTAGTTACTGAGGCGGGGCGTCGTCGATGACCTTTCGCGCAAGAGCTTAGAAAATGTGGCCTCTCTTCGAATCTTTGGACGCAATGTTTTTAGATTTTTCACATTTAGTTGGCTTCCCTTTGATTCTCTCTAACAATCTAGCGCCAGCCGGACAAATGTCGAACCAAAGCCAAAGGAACGCCGAGCAGTAGCAAGTCACCTACCATTACCCCCACCCCCACCACGAAAGCCTGCCGCGAAAGCTGGTACTCTAAAGTTTAGATAGAGTACTCGACGTTCCTGATTCTAATAACCTCGCTGAGCCCTCTTACTTAGTCACTCTCAAACTTCCACTTCTTAAACCTGCGCGATTCCGCGACCTTCTGAAGCCTGCGCGGCGTACGTCTCTACCTCATAACTTACCTACCCAGGTGGCGCAGCAGAATCTTGGGCGAGGTATGGGCCCGGGAGCTACCAGAACATCCGGGGCCTTCTGGCTCAGAACGAGGATAAGATACGCGCGCGCGCTGGCCGTGGCCTCAGTGGCGGAGTCATCCTTCCTAACGTCGTACAGGGCTTGCAGACTTATGGCGCCATTGATTGAGAGCAGAGCTGGGGGACTGTCGGCCGGCACTTGTGCAAGGGTTCAGGAATGCAGGAATGTCCTGACACGGCACTCCCCTAGGAACATTCTCAAGCAGTGGCGCCTGCCATAGACGCTTGCTCGACAGATGCAACCTCCCGGCAGCCAAAGTGTGTAACGCGTGGGATTATAGCATCCTTCGTTCGGGGCCGCCTTACGAGGCGCTGCGGGTTTTCCAGCGTAGCACGACAGCACTGGACGCTGATGCTTAAGGCTACCAGCCTCTAGCCCATCTGCGTCGAGGTCCCTCAAGTGATGCGCGCGCTCAAATATAGGGGAGACGCTGAGGCATATACTAGAGGGATCGCAACAGAGACGAGCCCCCCGGGATGGCTCTAATCAGGAAAAGCGCGACTCACGCACTACGAGAAGGACGCGAGGCTGGTGGACAGCAGCAGCAATGTCTGGACGAACGTGCTACAGCTACAGCCCGAGTCGGCGCGCGGCGAAATTCTGGAGTTGGTATACGGCAGAAGAGATTCTCTGGATGGCGGCAAGCGCGCGGGCATGCCAGGATTCTTCGAGGACAGGCTGCTGGCGCTTCTTTCCCATGCAGGAGCATCGACACACGACACGCAGCCCCCATGGGCGGGGGAGGGCGTGGAACTGTTTGTCTAATCGGTGACTGATACTCCAGCGCTTTGCTGAGATCTGAGACCGGGGAGAGTAATCCATCACTCTTGTACAGATTTCAAACGACATGAAGAAGCTCCGTTACTCATGTGCAGCCGTTTTTTTTCTTGTGGCTGTTGAAGCTGATATCCTGGATAGAAAGAAGAGGAATGACGCAACGACAACGGCGCCCATAATCGTGACAATTTCGGTGACCGTTGGAAAATGAACCAAGTGAAGGCGCGCCCCTCGTCTCTGGATCCAAATAAGTCACCCACGAAAGTGGCCAGCTTCGTTCTGAAGGGTTCGAAGATAAGTGGGTGAGAAGCTTGATCGTGGGTGGCTCTTGGTCCAGGGCTAATGTGGCTCGTCGATCGCTCTCGCCTTAACTTCTCGAAGTTCGAACTTCGTGCCTTCTCGCAAGTCTTGCGCCCGGCTTCGTTCTCCTTTTGTCTTGAGGATCTTCCGTCAGCTTGTCTGCCTTCGTATTGGATGTTTGTTGTTGTGATGGTTTGCCACGCATAGCGCGTGAGTGTTCATTCATGCATGCATGTATATGCGCACTCAATTGCCCATGTTATACCTGCCTACGCCTTCTTTCCATCCGCATCCACTCACCCCACCTGACTCCGTTGCCATTTCCTTACTTTAGTGCCTCTTGGCAGTGTTGTTCGTGTGAAGTCTTTCGCCGTGGTCAAAGCCTGAAAGCTCCCCCGCGTTTCTTCCAAGTGCAGCGCTAGCAGGGGACTGAGGCCACATCTGTCGACAGATGGGGAGCAGTGCTGGCCTGGTCTCCAGATACATATGAGACAAAAAGAGGGGCGGCCGTCTGAGTTGTCGAGATTCATAGGCGACCCCTGGACCTTTGCCGCGGGTAGATACGTCGCGACCACTCACACGCACGACAGCCGCACACACGCACAAACATAGCGCCTGGAGGGGATAAGCGTAGAACAGTACGCAAAACGCCGCGAGCTAATACCAGCGGCAACAGTGTCACGGCTTAGACTCGAAACCGAGAACAAAGAACGAGGACCAGCCCGGCCGCCAATCCCTGCACGGCAACCGCCTGGACTGAATTCAATTGGGTGGGCTTCAGTAAGGAGAACCGCGCCAGATTCTATGACTGTACACAACAGCCAGCGCATCAAAGTGCTACAACATGCCGCGCGTGACTAAAAACAAGCCGCCGCAATTTGCTCTGACTGACGCAAAAGCAGACTCGCACGCGGTTGAGCATCGACCACCGAAGAAAGCAGAAGGCGCCCGGTCTAGTTTTGAGCAGCAAACCCGTTGAGGATCCATGGAGGAAGATCAGCGGCCCCGACAGACCTCGGCGCAGGCCTCATACCGTGCGGGAGATTCTCGACGCCTAGGCGTAAACTACGCTAGCCGCCCCGCACTGAAATCGTGCGGAAAGGTCGGAGGACATCGCAGAAGCACGGACCCACCAGGGGAGGCCCGCAGCAGTAACCCCGAGGGCGAGCCAGGTGGACGAACTCGCCCGCACGCTCTCGCGTCTGGCTTTCTCCGGCTCGTGCACCTTCTCGCGCATCAACTTAGAGCAGCCAAGCGGAGCCGCTGCCTCGATGGGTGGGGCAGTGTGTGAAAACACCACAAGCCCACAACGGCCGCGGCCTTAGCTTTGACAAACTAGCGACCGCGCGCCGACCCGAGCAAAGCAAAACGGGACCCGCGTGGAAGCGATCGGGGTACCAAAAAGAAAGAGCGGGAACTACCAGCGCAGTGCGTAGAGGCAGCGCACGCTTTTACTTATTTTCTTTCGCCATCGATCGCCATAGCTGGGGGATGAATGAGTGAGGAGCTTGGAGACCAATCGTCAAGCGTGAAAAGTAAGCGCGTCGCTTTTTCTGTGGTGCAAAAGCACGAGGCTGCACATTTCGGGAAAGAGTTTTGCTCTGGGTGTGTTTTTTGGGATATGAAAAATAGACACAAAGGGAAAAGAGAAAGTCTGTCTTTGAGACGTGAGCTGATTGCTGTGAACCTTTCAACATATCGCGACGATTGGCCATGTACAGGCTTAGGGAAGTTGAGGCATCCCCTTCGAGGGCCGTCACTGACTGGCTCCACCTTTTTGCACTTGAGTCCACCAATGTGCTCCGACTGATAGCGGCCGGGCCGCTGATTAAATTTCGCCTCGTTTTTGGTTTTGGAGCATAGGCCTGACTTCTTCGAAGTGAAAGCAGCTCCATCGCCCATGCCTGGGCTTTGGGCGTGGGTCCCCTACTCTTTGAGTGTGTGGGTTTTCCGACGTGGCAGCGTCGCGAGGGGGGCCGCGGGCTTGTTGTTTTCGGTTCTCAGCATAGTGGGTGGCGCACTACGCTCATCCGTCGCCGTTGTATGTAAAAAGAGGAGGCCGATGATGAGGGCTCCGAGCTCGCAGGGCTAACCTGGCTAGTAGCTAGCCGCGGCGAAACTATTAGGAAGAGACTGAGGAAGGCTCTCTCGTCTTGCGGAACAGCCCCACCGAAGGGACACGAGCCAGGTCCGCACGCGGATACGAACGAAGCAAGGCCGCAGCTTTTGGATTTAGTAGCGGCGTCGGCAATGCGATCCGCGAAACTTTCGGCATTGTTTTCTTCTGAATTTCAGAGCAGTGCGGGCAGCTTCTTGCGCAACTTACAGCAGCCACTAGACACCGCAAGGCCGCGGCGCTACTTCTTGCGCGGCGCTTTCTTCTAGTAAGTTCGTGCGAGGATCGAGGAAGACCAAGCACAGCAAAACCCTCAAGAACGAAAAACAACTAAAAACATGAAAAAAGCGATAGGCATAGCATCCCAAATATAAAAAGCAGAAAAATCAAAATAAAAAGCAGCACAGGCCCAGGGGGTCACCAACTGCCTCAGCATGCTTCTCATGCATAGCCTTACCGGCTTCGAACTCCCGTCGACACACTTTGCGAAGACGACACCTCCCGCATCTGTCTCAAAGTAATCCGGCAACATTTTGGCGCTGGAATTGGAGCGCAACAATCTGACGAACAGCAGACCAAAGCGCGGGAGCAAATAATACCAGAGGACAGCATGGGCATCAGTCGCCGCAGGGTACGAAGGCACTCGCGCGAGGATGCCCCTGCGCAACCACTCCGGAGCATGGGCAAAATTTAGAATCGATAGACTTTGGCGACGAAGTAGCGCATTATTTCACTAGGGTGGAGAACCGTCAAAAGCGCGCCGCAGTTTGTACAATAGGGAAGACTCGAGGCCTAGCGGACGACGAAAACGAAGGCAGCGCCGTCGACCCCTTGGGCGTCGGTGTTCCAGGATCGCCGACTGACGAGGGGCCGCCGCCTCCTCCTGATCTAGAACGTCTGGACGCCTATGGCCTGCACTTTTCCGGTGCCACTTCGGGACGATATGGCGCCAACGTCTACGCTTTTTTGGGATAACATTTCCGCCCACTACCGATAACCCAGTCGGGCAGGCTCCCTCTTCGACACAAGTCCGACCAGGTCCTCACTCGAATTAAAACAAAACGCGAGCCATTTGCCCCGGACAGTCCCACGACAGAAAATAGCACGCAGCAAGCTGACAGCGTCACAATCGTCGCGGACCTTCTTCAACAATTCACGAACGCAGTTCAGGAGTCTAACAGCACAACCAGAGCCACCGGCGAAGGCGTGGCGAAGACGATGGAAGCACAGGGCTCAGCTTTTCAAGAATCCAACGAGCGCGGCCCCGACTACGAGTCAGAGCATGCTAAAGCTGTTCGCGTTGTCAGAGCATCAAGCAGGACTAGCTTCAAAACAGCGCGCGCGTTTGAAGTAGAACAAGGGCGGCGCCGTCGTGTCTGCAGTGCAAACCAGCTCGCGCGTCCGTCGGATTAGTCTTCGCGAGACCTGCGTGACCGGCGCCGCCCAATTCGCCTGGCTCGCTAGCCTTCTCGCCCAGAAAAGTTGCTTCATTCGCCGGAGGATCTACATCCCTGCGCCTTGTGGGATGTGTTCTCTGGTCTAGATCTTTCCCCTGGCTGTTTTCCTCAACTTGTTAGCGCTCTCAGGTGCTACCGCGGCCCCGTCGCTTGGCATAGTCTTGGGCGTGTCTACCGTCGGCATACTAGACCCAGGCGACTCGCTCGCCATCTCGAAAGGCATTAGCTGCGCGGCCTGACATCCGGAGCGCCTCCCCAGTTCGTTCCATCAGGTGGCCGCGTCCCATGTGCTCAGCGCCTAGCGCGTTTGGCTCTGCTGTTGGCAATAGTTTCGCGAGTGGAGTAGCTGGCCTTTATGAGGCTCGAGGCTACTCACCTTGTAAGCCTCGCAAATAGAAGCTAGCCTGTCTCGTTTCTTGTAAGACAAGCGGAATTCTCCTGCATTGTTAGAGTGACAGCAGAGAAATCCTGAGCCCTTTGGGCTGTAACCTGCAAAGACAGTGGGGGCCCACCTGGGTGCGCTCTTGTCTGCAGGGTGATCATCGTGCACGAAGCACAGCGCCGCAAACCGCCTCAGCTTATTGGCGTTCGGCTTGTGCTTGTGTCTTCGCTCGTGTGGCGATTGCTTGGCGGTCGGGCTATCTCTTTCCCTGAATTCGCGACCTCGGAGGCTGTGGAGGAGGGTCGCAGTCATCCAGCATACACCTGCGCGCCGCGCATCTACTCCCCATACCAATGCCCTGGCTTTGTTCCCGCTTGTTCTCTGCCATCTCTCAGCGCGTGAACCCTTTGCAGGCTGGTACGGCGGGGAGAAGCTGTCGACCATGATTTTCAACTCTGCCAAAGCCTTTGCCCATTTGATGGCCTGGAATTCTTTCAGGCCCGTGGTCAGGTCTGACCCCATCAGGAGCGAGGCCACGCGTGCCGGCCGATGTTCTGTAGCGCTTCGTCGGCGTGTTAGTTTGCTGGACTTCACTGGTAGCACCATGGGGGCCCGGTCGTAGTCGTCCAGTGCGCCGACGGGACAAGTTTCCCCAAGCGTGCCACTCTCCGAAGCTCGCTGGCTGTCTTTCGCGAGGTCCTTGAAATCGACCGGCTGACGCTGATTCGGCCCCACAGGCTCCCAGGTTGTAGGCCGTTGCTTTTTCGCTGGTCGCTTTCCGTAGTCCTGTGTCGCTAGACACGCCGCGCACCTGGTGCCTTTTGGCAAATGAAGGGAGTGCCTTGGCTTTTCATGCTCCAAGAGACTTGCGCGCGTGTCCTCTGTGGTTCTCCGCCCTGAGATAGCGCAAATCTGTCGCGGCAGTCCAGACTCGAACTGGAGCACGATGGCCGGCAAGCCGTCCCGACTTGCGCCGTGGCGTACGTCGCTCGCCCCGCGGTCCTTCTAACCGAACTCCGCCTGGAGGTGGGAAAGAACTTCGGGCACG